CTTGCCCGTACTCGCGCCCGCTCGCGCTAATTGCGGCGTAAGGGCCGTTTTGGCCACCACCACCACCACCACCACCACCCACCACCCAACTTTTACCAACCACTTACCCAGCCACCATCTGCAGCCGCCCGCAGCCCGTTGGTGCTGACGTTTGATTTGGTAATCTCATTTTTGCGCCGCCTGCTGCACGTCATGTCCCGATGTTGGGCAGATATCACACACACACACACAGTAGATTGGCTTTTTTCCCAATGAAATAAGGGAAGCAGGGCCTAGAACGAACAGGGTTTCGTGACGTAACTTCTGTTAGTGTGATGTGAGGTTAAGTGCGGCACAGTCGAGAGAGAGACTGGCAAATGTCGGGAGGTGCCAGATGTAGGTCCCTGACCCGCGTATGCCGTCGTCGTCGCTGTCCCCGTTCTTCTTCGCGCGCGGTAACTGCGGTAAGCCGAGTGGAATGGAAGCGTTCGCTCGCTCGCAATTTTCCATTGGGCTGGGAACGGTACACGCAGATTGAATAGGAGTGACCAGCGGTGATTGCGTGATTGAGGGGGATGAGCTGGGCTGTGCTCGTGTGTGTGTGTTGGGCATAGAGAGAGGGGTAAGGTGGAGGAGGGGAACGAAGGTGTGGAACTTTGGCCAGATGATGGCGGCTCTACTCTCGCTCTCGCTCTCGTCAGAGGAAAGGGTCCAAGCAGAAGAAAGGGCATGAGAAAACGGCAACCGGCGAGATATGAGCCGTTGTGTGCGTGTGCGCGCGGGTGCGGATGAGATATCGGAATGACCGGCCGTGCGGAGCGTAAATCGACATTAAATCCACCATGCGTCACCTGCTCACCCACACAGAGCAACAACAAAGGAAATAGGGACGGGCAGAGGAATATCACGAAGAAGCCAGGAAAATGATTCCACAACAAAGATCAACAGAAGGTTCTGTGGGAATAATGTCTGTTCTTTCTGTGTCGTAATCTTCTAAAGCTCTATCCCATTTTCCTTCTCTTCTAGAAAACAAAAAGGGCGAAAAGAAGAAAAAGAAGGGCGGAAATCTCGAACGCTCGCGCCAGCCAGAGGACCCTTCGGCCAGGAACACTCTCCGTCCGTCCCCGGTTTCCGTCTCCGAGAGATGCACAGCATAGCGGAATAGGGTTTCTCGAACCCCCCTCCCCCTCGATCTATCCAACGTGTCTCGGATCTTGTCTTCCCCCACCCCTTTCTTTTGGATCGCAACCAAACGCGATTTTTCTTTCCTCTACTGCATGTCCTCCTGCTCGGGCACGATGCTGTTGACCCTGCCCTTCTCGATCGCGGCGCGCACGTTCCCGATCGTCCATTCTTCCATCTTCGTTTGGGTCTGTGTGCCGCCGTGGAAAAAAGTAATGAGATCGTCAGCAAATCCGTACCATCCGCAAACAAAGATCGTCAAGAACATTCGAACACGTGGGTAGGGTTGATCCCTCTTTCCTTCTAGAAGGTGGGGGGTCGGTCATTCGGCGACTCCGTCTCGACGGTCTCTCTCCTTTCTCGCTCGCTCGCCAAAGGGGAGGGGGATGCGAACGAGCGAGACAAGCCGAGCGAGAGCGAGCGAAGCATTAGAAGGAGCAACTATGCCCCCCCTTTCGCTACGCACGAAACAACAACGACGATACGCGACCGTTAGGAGCAGCCTCGTCTCGAAGTTCGTTCGCCCCCGCTTCCCAACGGGCGAGGCGCTCGCGCCCTCCTCAGGGCAGTGAAACTCCCCACAGAGGACCAACCCACCCACATCGTTCCAGAAGAAAAAGCAATATTCGAGAAAAGCGCAGATCGGTAGGAAGTAAAAAAGGGAGTTGGGGTATATCAGAAGCTCGAGGAAAGTTTATAACGTACCTCGACGGTCCACGTCCCCATGTGCGGCACGAGCATGACGTGCGGGTTCGCGACGAGGCCCGGGTGCACCTTGGGCTCCTCCTCGTAGACGTCCAGGCCCGCGGATGCGACATGGCCGCTCTCGAGCGCCCTCACCAGCGCGTCCTCGTCCATGACGGCCCCTCGTGCCGTGTTGACGATGATGACGCCCTTCTTCATCTTGGCGAATTGCGGCGCCGAGATGATGTGGCGTGTGTTTTTCTAATAATATTTTTAAAATAATGTGTTAATGAGAGAGGCTCTTTTCTCTTGCCCGTTGCCGGAGCATTCCGGAAAATTTGACATATATATTTGGACATGGGAAGGGGGAGGGTGTTTGTGATGGGAGTATATTTGGGCGTGTGACGGCACTCTCGAGCGAGGCGAGAGACAGCGCAATCTCCTCCTGTGGCTGTGTAGCGCTGGGCGTGGGATGGGGACGGGGAAGGATGTTGTGTGAGTAAGTGGCGGCAGATTGCACATTTCGGGGATGATCGGGAGGGTGTGACAGTGTGCAGATGTGACGGCAAGTGTTCTGGAATCGCGGGAGAACAGGGAAGTGTCAGGGGAACGGTGGAGGGCCTGGAAGGAAGGGAGAAGTCTCGGATATCCTTCTCCAAATCACGCTTGCCGGGACGAGGGCGTTTTGGTGAGATAACCGAAAACGGCAAGCGAGCGAGAAGGGCCAAGAAGCGAGCGAGCGGCAAAACAGAGAGAAGGGAGGCGGACGATCCAGGAGAAAGGGGCAACGGGACGAAGGTGAGTTCGGCGAGTGCAGCGGGTGTGGACTGGCGAGCGATAGGGAATTCAGACTTACGTTGAGAGGCAGATTCAAGCTCAGAACATCGCTCCTCGCGAGAAGTTCGTCGAAGCTCACGTACTCGGCACCACCGGACTGCTCATCACTGAGCTTGCGGCGGTTGTGATAGATGACAGACATGCCAAAGACTTCAGCCTTCTTCTTCAGGTTGCGGCCGATACCACCCATTCCCAGAATACCGAGGACCTTGCCCTCAGGATCGTGACCGAGCGGGGGCGGGGGGTTGCCACGCCACTGACCAGCGCGCAGGGCCAGCATCGACGTGTTGAAGCCGCGCAGAGCACCCAGGATCAGGAACATGTTGACATCGGCAGTTGCGTCGTCAGGGATCGACGGCACGTTGGAGACGCGGATACCGCGGGCCTTGCATGCGTGGACATCGACCTGGTCGTAGCCGGCACCTTGATAGCTGTCAGCCCTGCGCTGAGACAATTGCAAGCAGATACTGCTGTTTAGGCCCATGAACCAGGACATAGGCAAGAATCAGATGGCTCTGCCGCCTCCGGGAAATGCAGCGTGAAAAATCCTGGAGATAGCTGACAAAATGCACAGATCAAAACTTACCGTTGTGAGCCAGGAACTTCAAGCTCTCGGGCAGTGCGTTCACGAGCTCCTCGTCGACCAGACCGGTGATGGCAACGCTGCCAAAGGTCCTGTAGGCGGCCACGACGCCATCGAGCTTGCCGGCCTTGCACTCCTCGATAAACTCGGCGCGGTTCTTCGCCGTGGGCCGCACCAGCTCGGCAATGTCCGAGAGACCTTCCCAAGTCGCCTTGGCGCTAAATTCCGGTCAGCGTCGTCGGTTCAATTATAAACCAAAGCAGGGGCCGGACTATCATGCAGGCACGCCTAGCGGCGGACGCAAGATGCTGCAGGTTCATGCGGGTGACGTGCAGGGTACTCGCTCCCTGCTGGCTCGAGGCCCGCTGCGGACTTGGGGCCAAAACTCACTGGTCAATCTCGCCCAGCAGGAGAGCCTTAGGCTTGCCCATTTTCGGCGCTGCTGCGAAGAAGTTGGACGGAGTAGAGTGGAAGAATTTGGGCCGGATAGACGCGACGGAAATGCGCGAGCCGCTCGTCCGTGATACAGAGGGGCGGACGGTGGAAGTAGGACAGCTGACGGCCGAGTAGTGCGCGCAGCGGACGAGGAACAATGGAGTCTTGAGCTGACGGGTCGAGCGAATAGCAGCAGAGATATTAAGCGGCGAAACTGTTGTCATTTGGCACCCCGCGGTTGAAGGTCGAGCCCCACACTTTGCCGCTCGGCGCGAGATCGGGTCGCTGCAAAGCCCGCCGATGTCACAATCTTCCGTCTCTTCGGCCTGCTTTCTGCCGCCGGCTTGCACTTGCGATTTCGGACGAGGGGAGGACGATGGAGATGGGAGACGTTAGGACGACGATCGAGCAGCGACAGGCGGACGACGCGTTGCCTTTTATGCCTGTCCGCTCCCCACGCGCCCGCCGGCCGACGATGACGATATCGTCAATATTCTCCCCGAAACGGCATTGCGAACCCGGCCTCGTCCTCCACCGCTGATTTTCCCGCCCAACTCCACCCCCAACTCGTCCATCGCTTCCCGCCGCCCGCAACCGGCCCAACCCTCGCCTTGTCGCGGCAGAAGACCTGCCAACCCCGCTCCGCTCCCTCTCCATTACCGCCGACGTCCACCGAGACCCCAGCCAATCGCTGTCCCAATGCGGTATACGTATCCTGCAGCCTCGTACGCCTAATTTAACCCAACCTCGACTCCCTTCGCTATCTCTCCCTCACCATCCTTGACCACATCAAGAACACACTTGCCAATGGCTATCTTGCATCCACCAACTGTCAATCTTTAGCCATCCGTTGCTATCTCACACACTTCGTGCCGTTGGGAAGCTTATCAAGTGACTCATATTCCTGCCCACGTTACACACTAGCCATAGACCATACTTTTCAACTCCAATGCCACCATTTCTATATGACAGCATTGTAAAGTGGAGGCTTCCCTGCCTTTCATAGAATACGTAGTTGCAATATAGTCGGCATGCTCAACAGATCTCTAGAAGGAATCGTGAATGGAGATATCTCAACAACAAGATGACAATGCTCTTCTCAAGTCTACCTACAACAGGTATCCGAACAAGAACCCTTTGAACAGAGCTGAGCAGCTCCCTTGCTATTCACATCCGCGACCAAAAATAGAATATGAATAATAATGTCTAAAGCAAACGCCGCCTCCATAGCGCACACAGATCCCATAATTCCCTTTTTTGATTTTGCAGAACCCCGGGCTTTATCATAAATGCTTCCTCTCTAATACCCATCGCTATCATCACCCAGCAACTTGGCGTAGTCCTCCACGCTCGCGAAGGTAGGCAAGTGCTTGAGCTTCCTCCTCTTCTTCCCTCTCTTGTCCTTGTCCTCTTCCTCGCCCGCTTCTTCCTCCACTGCCGCCGCCTTCTTCTCACCCTTCTTGCCCTTCTTACCCTTCTTTGGCTTCTCTTCTTGCACCTCTTCCTCATCATCCTCTGCGTCCTCCCAGTCGAAATCGCTCGGCAGCTCCAGTTCCTCGTCGCTACCGATGAAAGCGCCCTCATCGCCATCATCAAAGTCGAAGCCAGCATCGCTGCCCTCATCCTCCTCGACCTCATCCTTCGCCTTCGACTTCTTCTTCTCCTTCTTCGTCTCCACCTTCGCATCGACCATCTCCTCGTCATCATCTTCCTCCTCGTCCTCCTCATCATCATCCGGCGCATCAGCAATGACGACACCACCATCCTCGTCCTCCCCATCGCTCTCATCATCATCATCCATCAACTCATCCAACTCCTCCAAATCCTCATCATCCTCCTCATCCGGACCCGCCACATCCGGCCTACTCCCGACCAACGCCTTCCAAATCTCCTGTTCCTCGGCATCACTTCCAGCACCCTCCTCATCATCCTCCTCCGCGGCCTTCCTTCCCTGCCTCCTCCCCTTCTTCTGCGCCGCAACACCGCTCTTCTCAAAGTACTGGTGGAAGAACACCTCATCCGCGGCCACATCCTCGACCTTCTTCCGCCAAAACGCCTCCGAGTTGAGCGGGGCCTCCAACTTCGCCGCGTCGCCGCCCGCGCGGACGAGCAGGTCTGCCTTGGTCGCGCTGCCCGCCATCGGCTGCATGATGGAGACACCCTTTGTAGCGCCGCCTGCCGCGGTACCTTTCTGGCGCGCGTTGCGGTACGCGAAGCGGTCGAGGAAGTGCATGAGCGTGTGCAGCGTCGGGTCGGGCTTGGGCGGCATGTCGGTGGCGCCGTACAGCAGCCGTGACGCGAAGAGCGACACGCTGGGGTGGAAGTGCAGGCGCAGCGGCGTCAGGTCCCACAGGCAGCTGAGGTCGGCGTGCGCGTGGTCCGGGTCGCGCTTGCGGCCGTCATAGCGCGGGCCGGTGGTGGTGGTCGAGGGCTTGGGTTCGGGGGCGGCGGCGGCGGCGGCGGCGGCGGTGGTGTCGTCGGCTTCTTCGGGAGCGTCGACGAAGTGCTCTTCTTCGTCGTCGTCGTCGAGCTCGGGTGTCTCGAGCATCGTCTTGATGCTGGGGAACGTTTTGGTGAGTTCGTAGATTAGGTAGAGCACACCGCAGACGAAGGGCGGCTCGTGGAGAGTGATGACCTGCAGCAAACGCTTGACGAAAGCCTTGACGCGCTTGATGCTGACGTCGGCCTTCAATGATCTGTACAGGAGGTTAAGGTACATGACTTGTTTCGAGGAGTGCAGGAGGCGGGGATCCAGTAGTGATTCGTATAGCGTCCGGTAGAACCTGTCGGTCGAGTAGTGCTTAGTGGCCGAGATTTGCTGAATCAACAGCAAGGCTTGGATAGCGGTGTTGAAGTTTGAGGAGTGGGTGACGCGGAAGACGGTGTCGAGCTGCTTCTCGAAAGCAACATCGTCGGTCTTGGCGTAGGGGAAGGCACGGTTTACACCGGTCAAGACACCGGCGATGAGCTTTTCGTTCAGCTCTGATTCCGCATTTGCAGCCTTTTCCTGCTCCTTCTCCTTTGCCTTGGCCTTCTGTTTTGCCTTCTTGCCGGCCTGACCACCACCTCCCTGCGCCTTCTTATCGTCCTTCGCTTCCGACTTGGGTCCCTTCTTCAGCAGACTCAAGAAGAGCGCAAAGTAGATTTCCAGCAGCTTATTCGCAACCTCTGGCTCCTTCGCGCTCAAAATTGTCTGGTTCAGAGTGATGATGGCGTAGTACTTGGCGTGGGGGCTTTGGTTCGGGCGGAAAAGGCACTCGGATTCGATGGCGCCAATGATGATACCCTTCATAACCGGGTGCGAGTTCTGAAGCTGGAGGAGAAGGTACGAGGCACGAGAAGCGATCTTCTTCTCGTTGTCTCCCAGCTTGTTGATGAGCAGCCTCAACAAGTTTTCCTCCTGCTCAGGCTTCTCCTTCAGCAGCTCGTAGACGAAGGTGATGGCGCGACTCCTCGAGTATTCGACCTCATCGTTGCACCAGCCCTCGAGAATCCTTAGCATCTCGAAGTAAGTGCGCTTGAGCCAATCCTCATACGCCCAGGAAATCAAGTGGACATTCTCAATTCCAGGAGGCAAGCGCTGTCCCTTCTTCCAGTTTGCGTTGGCTCCAGAGAACCCAGCAAGCACAGCGGGTTGCTTGACGAAGGAGCGCAACTTCCTATCAGGCGGCAGCACCACACCCTGGCCTAGCAAATCCTTGAGCGCGCCCAGCGCGAGAAGTGCTTGGTTCCTGCTCTTCTTCCTAGCCAGTCCTAACAAATTCTCAAAGGCCTTCATGGTGTGCAGCGGCGATTCCTGAATCAACAGCGTTAAGGCCGAAACTTTATCCTCCAAAGTACCCGAAGCCATGATGGTGGACAAGAACTTATGCGACGAGTCGGCAGACATGTTGCTGTCGGCGTATGTCTTGTTCTCAGACTCGAGGAGGGACTCGGCATACTGGTAGACATCGTCGAGAACATAGCGAGGCGCAGGGACGAACTCGTCTGGAATCGAAATGGCGGGAAGCTCAGCGGCATGCCAGTCGGGGCGAGGCTGGAAAGTCTGTGCATATACGTCAGCAGGGACAAGTACTTAGGAAGGTAGCAATGCTTACCAGAGAGCTCTTCTGGCCGGACGGCGCAGACTTGGAGCCGCGGCCGCCATGGTGGTTGTCTTTGGACTGATTTTGGCCCTTTTCGTGCTTCTGGAAGGGCTTTTCGGCGCCGTGGCGCGATTCGGAAGCAGTCCGCTTCTTTCCCATGGCGAGATATGGATTTTTGCAGCTGGACCTCTCGGGTCCCGACAACGCGCGCGGTCGAAAGTCGCGACGACGGGTTTCTCGAAAAAACTCGCGCCAAGACGTCGGCGATCGGCAGTTGCAGGGGTCATCGCGACCCATGGGTCCGCGTCTCCGCTTGCCGCCCCGCCAGAAGCGCGCAGTTCCGAACAGTCATATTATTCGCGACTCCCAGAGCTCCCCTCTTCACGACTCAATTGCCCTTCTCTCACTCGCTTGAAAATGCCCCAGACAGCCATGGCTCAGGAGGGCAAAATTTCCATCACTCCGCTGCTTAAGCGGCTCTGGCCCGACCTGCCAATTCCCGATGCCCCGCCAATCACCGCCAACGAGATTGCTCTGGCCATTTCGCACATCTTCACCAACAGCCTTTCTCCCGTGCAGACTGGCGCCCTCTTGACTGCTTTGCATTTCAAGGAGTACGACCGGAAAGCCGATGTCTTGTTCAAGTGTGCCGGCGCAATGCGCGACGCCGCCGCCCAGGTCGATAAGAAAGCCCTGCGTGAGGTTCTAAAGAAGAACCTGCGGAAGGAGGGAAACTACCGTGGTGGGCTGGTATGGTATGCCCAATTGCTACTGCTTGCAGTTCAGCTTCAATTGCGACGAGAAACCCCCCATTGACTCGTTGCAGTGCGACATCGTAGGAACCGGCGGCGACTCGCACAACACGTACAACGTCAGCACCACCTCGTCCATTCTGGCCTCGTCGCTGCTCCGCCTGAGCAAGCATGGCAACCGCTCGTCAACCTCCAAGTCGGGCTCCGCCGACCTGCTCGACAGCACGCAGCCGCGCGCTCCCGTCATCAGCGCCGTCACGCCCGCGACGCTCGAGGAGATCTACGCCAGCACCAACTACGCCTTCCTCTTCGCGCCCATCTTCCACCCGGCCATGAAATACGTCGCGCCCATCCGCAAGGAGTTGGGCTGGCGCACAATCTTCAACCTGCTCGGGCCCTTGACCAACCCGGTCGAGGCGCTGATCGAGGCGCGCGTCATCGGCGTCGCCCGCCGCGACGTGGGGCCCGTCTTCGCCGAAGTGCTCAAGCTGGCCGGCGCGCGCAAGGCTCTCGTCATCTGCGGCAACGAGGACCTGGACGAGCTGAGCTGCGCGGGGCCCAGCAACTGCTGGATGCTCAAGGAGCGCCCCAACCCGGACTTCCGCGGCCCCAAGGACGAGGCTGACGAGGACTATACGACGTCGGACGACGAGGACGCCCCGCCCCGCTCGCTCGTCGACATCGACCACTTCGAGGTCGCGCCCGAGCACTTCGGCCTGCCCCGCCACGCCCTGTCCGAGGTCAACCCCGGCAAGGAGGCCCACGAGAACGCCGAGATCCTCATGAAGCTGCTCCGCAACGAGCTGCCGCCTGATGACCCCATCCTGCACTTCGTCCTTATCAACACGGCTGCCCTGTTCGTCGTCAGCGGAATCTGCGAGGCCGACGAGAGCAACATGGGCCCCGGCGACGACGGCAAGGTCATTACTGAACGCGGCCCTGGCGGCTGCCGCTGGAAGGAGGGCGTCAGGAGAGCGCGCTGGGCTATCGAGAGCGGCGAGGCGCTGAAGCAGTGGGAGGCTTTCGTCGAGGTCACGAACAGGGTCAAGGCGTAGAGAGGGGTTTGTGCTCGACGGTAGAGAACTGTGAAAGAGTCATTTCAACTTTTCGGTATCCCCATGTTTTGACGTGTTGGAAGGCTACGAGCGCTTGTAGAATGTAATGGGATTCACCGGGCGCCATTCCGGAAGTGACCGGCTGCTGCAGCCTGCAAATATTCGAATGTTTCGCGCACATCTTATAGGTGATTCATTGAGGTGCGGTGCCTACATGACGCTTACAGTGAAATGTCAAAGAATCACCGCGGGGTCATGTTAGCTGAGATGTACTTGTTCCGTTCAAGTCTCAGCATGCTATTCACTTACTTACAGGAGATGATTTACACGAAAAGATTTAGGCAAAATCAGGGCTTGAGTAGAGACCATATTAGGCTAATACCACGCTATTGGGACACAACTCCCCTATGGATGTCCTTCATCAATAAGAAATCACTATCGCTCGCAACTGTCACTACTGCTGGCATGTCCTTCAAGTCTTCTCATACCCTTCCCTTTCTTGTTGTTTATTTAAGCTTATATTAATTCAACCATTACCGATCCCAACCACATCGTCGCTCTGAGTGTGCGATGCAATCTAGCCCAGGGCGTTCGACAAGAGCTTCTCGAAACGGACATAATTCCGAAGTGAAAAGGGAAGAGTGTAACCCAAAAACCTGCCCATCAACCGACTTGCTTAATGCACGGAGAAGCAAAATTCCACCCCAGACTTAGAAATCCAACTAGCCATCATCTCTTCGATCAAAACAATGGTATCCGGCATTCGCCACTACGCATTACAGAGAGGCCTTCCCCACACATAGCAATCCGCATCTACCCAATAGGGAAAAACGAATTATAACCGCGCAAACCGCATCTATCGCCTAGAATCCGACCCAAAGCCATTTTGCGCGCCAAAACAAAAGATACTGGCCTTGACGACCTGATGTTCAAAGCATAGATTTATTCATTGCTTGACCCCTTGCCTTTTGTGGATCAAAAAACAGCAAAAGACAGAGTACCACCCCTTCATACCATCGTCACCCGAATGGCTTCATGCGCCATGATATCTATCCTGAAAAAGAAACACTATTTTGAGCAACCGTCTTCAGCGCATTCACTGGCCATTCGAAGGCTTAGGGCCGCTACCCGAGCCCGCTGGGCCAACAGGCGCCGAAACAGACGCAGCTTGCGCAACAGCCGCCGAGGGAGCGGCTTGTACATTTTGCTCAGCCTGCGAGCTCTCTGGAGCTTTCTTGCTAGGCGGGGTCAATATGGGAGGGTTGGCACTGGGCGCCAACGGAGCGACGGGGGGAAGCCTCGGGGCTTCAGACAGGCCTTGGGCTGTAGGCGGTGCGCTATCATGCTTCTCCGGCGAGATGCCGGCTGAAGGCTCGGGCAAAAGGCGGGAGTTGTTCTCTACGAAAGGGGAAGAATGCGGTTGAGGAGGGGAAGAGGCTTGCTTGACCGGTGAAAATGCTGGACGCTGGATTGGTGCTGGTGGGAAGGATGCACCGGGGCTAGTGAAAGGGGCTGTCGTAGGGTAGCCGTTGGTCTGGTATGGTGAAGATGCGGGGGCGGGCTTTGATGGCGACGGGGCGCCGTATCCCGAAGACATGGGACGCTGTTGAATCGTAGCCGGGCTCGGCTTCGATGGTGACGGAGCTCCATAGCCTGACGGAGGCGAACGTTGCTGACTGGGGCTGTTCGGTGCCGGATTATACGTCAAGGGCCGACTTGGGGATGAGTTGGCTGATGGATTCGGGGGGTATCCATTTGACTGCCCGTGATGTGGATTCTGGGATGGAGGTGAGTGGTGCCAGTTAGGAGAACCTGCCATAACGTGGTGCCCACTTTGGCCACTGGCCATGAAACGTGGTGGCGGAATGGACGGTGCATTTGCGGCTGATAATGATGGCACCGGCGCTGGTGGAGCGTGTGAGGGCGTGCTGTGTGCGGAGCCATAACTGGATCCTGCATGAATCATTCCGGGTGGACCAGAGGTTTGGCCATGAGGCGATAGGCTTGGACCATTCAGGATACCATTTGCCGGCGGTGGGTGTAGTGGGGCTGTTTGCGGGGGCCGTGCTGCCCGTGCTGGCTGCAACGGCTGCTCGGGAAGAGGCACGGTGCCGGAAGGTTGAGTCTGAGCTGGCGGAGGTGCAGCCGCCAACGACGATGCAGAGCTGTCCGGCTTAGGCGAAGCACCAACCTTGAACTTAAGGGGTGGCAGCTTGGGTCTCGCAGCGTCTTCTGCCTTTTGCTTGCAATCTGAGCAGACGAAGTGGAAATCGTCTCTCTCTGCTGTTGCCTTAGCAATACCATGGCACGCACTGTGTTGCCAGACATTGCACTTCTCGCATGCGATACTGTGCGAGCCATCATCCTGCCACAAAGTCAGCTGCCGAACCAAACAACGCAAGCATCGGATGCCGTACCAAGTTCTCGCCATGAACACCACAGACGGCACAATCGAAAATCCAGTTTTCCTCTTCCTGGGCCATCTGCTCCAGCTCTTTCTGACGCCTTTCCATCTCGGCTTTGAGGTGGCGTTCGGACATCCGCATTTCGTTGTTTTCTGCCTTTTCGCTGTTTTCCTGCAGCTTCTTCAGTTCCTCCTCGTGAAGTATGCGTTTCACTTCACGCTCTTTCAAGCGCTGCTCGCGGGTCATCATGCGTGATTGTCGTGCCTTTAGGGTGTCAGTAAACCGTTCCAGCGAGTGCTCGGATGATGGACGCACCTCCTCCATCTGCTTCTGCTTCTCTTGCTCCTTCTTGGCCATTTCAAGGTCAGATACACGCTTGCGTTCAGCTTCAACAGCAGCCTCCTGTTCCTTTTGCTTCTCCAAACGGCCCGCGATTCTGCTGGAGCGCTTTGCATTCGCCAGTTTCTCAAGGTTCTCCAGCTCTCTTTGCTTCCTCAGGGCCTTTTGTCGCTGTTGCTCAGCCCTCTTCTCGATAATGGGAATGACATCGGCCTGCAGACGCTTCACAAGTTCCTTCTCGTTTGGATCCCTGCTTTTGCGGATGGAATCCACAAAAGTGGTGTAGTCTTCCAGCGTGACAGCAACGCACTCCCATGTCATACCGCCAAATGTATCCTCCTCCGGCGCAGGGGCATCTTGGGCGCCATCTTCCTCCTGTTCTGCATCACTTTCTGAAGGCGACGTGGATAGTCTCCTTCGTTTGCTTGCTCGGGTACCCTTGGTTTTCTTAGGCTTCGCTTTCGATTTCGGCTTGGACTTTTGCGGCGGGGCTGCGGGCAAGGGCGGGTCGGTGCGACGGTAGAGGCGATCGTCATCGAGAACAAAGTAAGTGCGGTCCTCCTTATCCCATCCAAATGCTTCGACGCGCTGGTGGGTGTTAGCAGAGACCAAGGATGCCAGTGGGCAGTACCGCTTACCCAGCTTGTCTGGTCAATGTCCTTCTGCTCCGGCATCTTCTCACGTATGCGATCGGCATTGCCAAGCGTCCAGGTGGAAAGCTGTTGGAGAATGCGAACTTTGGTGAAAGTGTCCATGTCGTTGAACTTTTTGGGCTCTTCATCGACTCCGAAGGGGTTGCGCTGAGGGGCCTTGGCGACGTACTGGCGGCGCGCATACTCATCGAATATCTCCAAACTGGTCAAAGTTAGCAGGCGACCATCCAACGCGCGTGTAGGAGCTCTCACGTTAGTCCCTTGTGTGACGACACGTATTTGAGTAGAGCTAGGCCGATTTGCGCAAGCTTTTCAGAGGGCGTCGGCTTTAGGCATTCTGCCTCGAGTTCCTGCGCCGAGTTAGATTGATCCAGCATGCGGGTGCACCAGGTGCAGGTGGCCGATGGACGCGGGGAAGTGCTCACGTCGACGTCGATGTCCTCGTCGATCTTAACCACGGAACCAAAGATGTAGATGTATTGCACAAGGCTCGCGAACTCCCAGGTGTTGCGCAGCTTCTCGAGCTTGGTGGGCTCCTGTTTGCGCGGTTGTTCCTCCTGCTCGACTTCCTGACGACCGCGCTTCCTGGCAGGCATGGTGACGGAAGCGTGCCGTGCGGCGACGCGTTGCGGCAGGCGCGAGGGGGCAAACTGCGCGATTGGCGTGGCTTCGAGCGAGAAACGGTCGAGTAGCGCGATGCGGAGCGAGGGTAGCGCGCAGTTTAGTGCACGACGCGCGACGGGGCGTGGGGTGAGAGTTGGCGGGTGATTCTGAAGTTGTACCTGATCTCTGTAGAAATTGGAGAGGGCCGACCAGACATCCAGCGTCACTCGCGCGCTCTTGGCATCACCGCTCCGCAGGCCGCCGCCAGCACAAAGTCGTGGCCGCATTTCGAGGGCCATCCCTTGCCATCCTCTCGCAACTCGCGCCTTTTGTCCAGGCACAGCTGCGGATACGTAAATTAAAGTGAACACGATCCAACCGCGCCACTAAATTTTGCGCGCTGGCTGCTCGTGTGCCTCGGCAGGCGTTTGCCCGCACTATACGAGAGGCCTTAGTAAAAGAAAAGCATATTATACTATCAACTCGTCTCAGAATTCTTCTGCAAACACATTTGAATCAGTCCTCGTGCACCTCCCCGGCTGTTTGCAGCCTGACTGCAGTCGCTGCAGCGACGCGGGAAAAACTGCGCAGCAACAGGGCAGGGCCGGAGAGCCGTGAAGATCCCGCGTCAGCCCTATGACAGCTACCAATTAAGGCTGGTCCTTATCTCGTAACACCCACCCGCCTCAGCTGCAGCGCGCCATTGATTGCGCGGCAGCACAGCGCGCGTCGCGAGATGAGGGATGCAGGTGCTGGAATGCTCCGTCTCGCGCCCCTTCTTGCGCCGCAGGCTGGACGTCAAACGGTCAAAACAGGCGCGCAGCTCTGGGCCCTCAGCCCGACTTGGTAAAGTTCGACCTTGCATGTGCCAGGTCCGTCATTTGCCGTTTCAGATGGCGATGGGGTCGGCCGCGCCGAGCATGCCGTGCCTGCCGGAACACCTCCGTTGGTGAATGATGAGCATGCCGAGACCCGGGAGCAGACGTGCACACAAATAGGGACAGCAGCCCGCGGCGGCCGAGCAAACGCGTGAAGTCTTCTGCGAAATCGCTGCTGGGGTGTGAGTTTTGCGACGCGTGGCGGTGGTGCTAAAAATATTCGGCACTCTCTGCGCTCTGGCCACGCGTGGCTTGGGAACAGTGGTCCCTGAAGCTGCCAGACGTGCTTCTGCTTCCGACGCCAGCCCGTATTGCATGCACAATCCCGCGCCAAGCTGCCTACGATCGCCGTACTTCGCGACGAGACATTTCGCCCACACCTCAACCAACACCACTCCCGCCGTCTTCACGCGCTCTCGTCTTCTGCGCCGTCACCTCGAGCCCCCGTCGTGCGCCGCCAAGCCCCCCCGTTCGACCGCAACACCACGCTGCGGCGCACAGATCACCCGGATCTGTGAAGCCCGCAGTGCTGTTTACCCCAGATTATCGCATACCAACTCCGCCGCCCGCCCAACCAGCTCCCGCCGCCCTCTACCGCCCGCTGTCCCGATGACGCATTGGTGCGCATAGTCACTCAGGGACGTGTCGCTCGTTACCATGGCCGATCACAACAATAACCAACGCTATCGCGACGAATCGACGCCGCAGTCGATACCGCTGCAAGACCTCAACCGGCCCCCTGACACCGACAACCCCGAATCCCCGCATCGCCGCACCCTCAGTGACCGTGGGAGGAGCTTGTTACGAGGCCGGGACTCGCGAAACGCCAGGTATGCGCCGCTCAGTGAATCCAGTCCCCCGCGGGATGCTGGTCGACCGTCGCCACTCCACCTGTCAACACAAGGGCTAAATAACAGTGGCCGTGGCCCCGCGTCCTCGCCGATCAGCCCTGTGGGAGACGTGGGGGCGTTTCAGAACGCCATTGGTTTCGCAGGTCTGTCGTTCGAAGGCGACTCGTCTCGCCGGGACCAACCTTCAGTCGTATCGCCTGGAAATCCTCGCAGCCCGCCCGTCTGGCTGCACCCCAGCGATGGCACGCCGTACGATAGCCGTATATCAGAAGATGAGAGCACCGGTTACTTTAAGTCTGCGGACCCGGACGCGGCACCTAGCAGCAGCACTCGCCATCTTACACCTGCCTCGCCCGGCGCAGAACCCAGGACCCCTGTGGAGCAAACCGGCCGTTCTAGCTTCCAGAGCGTACAATTTCTGACTCCAGAGCGAGCTTCGGCTTCTCCGGGAAAAATGCGACTTGGAGATGATCTCAGTCAAGCCGAAGCCGGTCTTCGCTTGTCGACTCAGACTCTTGGACGGTCAGGTTCAGGCGGCCGCACAAGGTCGCTCTCTCCTTCAGCAATAGAATCTCCTCTCCGGCGGGCTGGAACTATGATGAGGAATATTTCTCAGCGTGTCGTCAACATCAGTAACGAACCTGAGCTTATTGAACGAGCCATTCGCCGGAAGTCTTCACAGAAAAAGCAAGGAGAGCAACAGTTGGAGGAGGATGAGTGGCCCTCTGCAGACGCGTACGGAAACGATGGTCCGCCTCCGTCTCCGCGCTCCCCGCGCTCCCCGATATCACCTGGATCGCCGCTGGAGAAGCTTCCGTCGCCTACGCACCGACGTAATTTCAACTGGAAATACCAAGCAAATCCTTTGAGAGGCAAATCTTTAGGGATCTTTCCGCCGGACAGTCCCATCAGGATGAAGCTCTGCGATGTTTTAACACACCCCGCTACCGAGCCAATTCTCCTTCTTTGTATCATTATGCAGACCATTTTGCTCACCATAGATTCGGCTCGCAGCGTGTTTACACATCCCCGGTCCAGTCACTGGGGTACTACCTGGATAGACTATTTCCTATTGGCCCTTTTCGTAATTTACACCATCGAGGTTATAATACGCATAATTGTGTCGGGCTTTATCATCAACCCAGTTGAGTACAGTACGATCAACCGTCAAATCGGCGTGCGGCAAGCTATGATAGAGAAGGGCAAGAAGCTGTTCGCCGGGCCTCAACGCCAACCCTCGGTTAAGAGAACGGACACAACGCTTCCACCGGAACAGCCCGTGCTCTTTCGCTCTTTCACGACCTACCAAATGGACGTCGATGACCCCGCGAATGCCCGGCAACAACAGAGAGTCCGACTCGCCCATAGAGCATTCCTGCGTCACTCTTTCAATCGACTCGACTTTGTCGCCGTTGTCTCATTTTGGATCAGCTTCGTCATTGGTGTGTTCGGTGTCGAGGAGCACAACCACGCCTACGTCTTTCGCATGCTTAGTTGCTTGCGTATTCTTCGTCTCCTGGGTCTCACTAGTGGTACAACGGTCATTTTGCGAAGTTTGAAAAGAGCAGCGCCACTACTCGTCAACGTCGGTTTCCTCATGGGGTTCTTCTGGTTATTGTTTGCCATTATCGGAGTCCAGAGCTTCAAGTCCAGTCTCAGGCGAACGTGCGTCTGGAAAGATCCATCGGGTGAACAAGAAGACTACACTACCGAACAATATTGCGGAGGCTATCTTACTAAAAATGGGACCGCAATGCCATGGATCAGTCTCAACGGGCTTGAAGGGTCGGACTATCACAAAGGCTTTCTCTGTCCCTATCCTGCGGAATGCATCGAAGGCGAAAACCAGTACAACGGCACCGTCAGCTATGATAACATTTTCCAGTCCTTAGAGCTGGTCTTTGTTGTCATGACCTCCAATACGTTCTCCGATCTCATGTACAATTTGTCGGACAGCGACTATCTGGCCGCCTGTCTCTATTTCGCCTTTGGAATCGTCATCTTGGCGTTGTGGCTGCTCAACTTGCTCATCGCTGTGATCACTTCGTCGTTCCAAGTCATCAGAGACGAGAGCAAGACCAGTGCTTTCACGGCTCAAGAAGTCACGCAAGGTCCGGATGAAAAGCAAGAAGAAGTCGCGCCTAAACGGCGCAAGCCCGCCATGCTCCGGGTGTATCTCAAAACCAGAGCCTTTTGGGTTCTACTCATCGTTTTCGATCTCATTGTTCAAGCTCTACGAAGCCACGAGATGAGTAAGGGACGCGAGAGCTTCATCAATAACACGGAAACCGTCGTGACGGGGTTCCTCCTCTTTGAGATCATCTGGCGCTTTGTCGCAGACTGGAGATACTTTCATCGCCGCCGGAGAAATCTCCTGGATCTCTTTCTCGCAGTCATTACCACCATCATGCAGTTCCCCCCTGTTAATAACAAGGAGCGTGTCTACGCCTGGATGACCGTCTTCCAGATCATTCGTTTCTATCGCGTGGTTCTGGCAGTCTCTTTGACACGCGAACTTATCATGACCGTCCTGGGCAACGTCTACGGTCTTCTTAACCTGATCCTGTTCGTGTTCCTCCTAACATTTTTGGCAGCTCTTTTTGCTGCTCAAATCTTCCGTGGCGAGATACCTGAAGAAGACGACGGCGAATCAATTCGAGTCACGTTTTCCTCTCTGTTCAACTCTTTTCTTGGGATGTATCAATTACTCTCTAGCGAGAACTGGACGGATGTCCTCTTCACCGTTCAGAAATTCGAAGTCGGCTTTAACACCGCCTGGATTGGAGCCGCTTTCTTGATCATCTGGTACATCTTGGCCAACTTCATCGTCTTGAACATGTTCATTGCTGTCATTCAGGAGAACTTTGATGTGTCAGAAGATGAAAAGCGGCTTCAGCAGGTTAAAGCCTTCCTGCACCAGAAAGAGCTCGGAGGTTCTACGGCTGGCAATCTTGCACTGTCGACCATTTTCAAAGTTACCGCTGGGAGAAAAAGGGATCCCCTTGACTATGGCACTGCTGCTACCGAAATGCTACTGAAGGATGCTGTGGTCCGGGATTTCCTTGATGAGCCTGAACAACCCCTCCTCGCCGGGACAGACACTCACCACCACGACACACGACACAACGGTGCAACTGGCGTAGTGAAGGTGGGTGTTCTTACAAGGCTATGGGATCATTTCGTCCGCAGAGTATGGCACCGCGAACCGAATCCTTTCTACTCTCGGCTTGAATTCTCCAAGGCGTACGAAGATTTGGACCCCCGGACGATGGCACAGGAGGTCGTGTCAGCTACCGAGCGCAGGAAGAAGGCACAAAGAGAATATCTGCAAAAGCACCCTTCGTACAACGTCTCACTGTTCATGTTCAAGCCACACAACCCCATCAGGAGGATTTGCCAACGCATTGTTGGACCAGGGCGTGGTGACGACCGTATTGAGGGTGTGACGCCTTCGATTCCTATCTGGTACGCATTCTCAGCGTTCATCTATGCGGCGATTGTTGCCATGGTGCTTCTTGCTTGCATCACCACTCCCGTCTACCAAAAGGAGTATTTCGAGACACATGGCTACAGCGTCTACAACTGGTTCGTGTACACGGATTTGGGTTTCGCTATCCTCTTCACAGTCGAAGCGCTCATCAAAGTCATCGCCGACGGTTTCTTCTGGACGCCGAATGCGTACTTCCGAAGCTCCTGGGGCTTCATCGACGGTATCGTGTTGATCACACTGTGGATCAACATTGCCACCCTTCTGCTCAACGAAGGAGACGTGTCGCGAGCTGTCGGTGCTTTCAAAGCTCTCAGAGCTCTCAGGTTGCTTAACGTCAGTGACAGTGCTCGGAATACTTTCCATCACGTCATTGTTCGAGGCGGTTGGAAGGTCATGTCGGCGGCTTTCGTCTCCCTGAGCTTCCTTATCCCATTTGCCATCTACGGACTCAACCTCTTCAACGGCCGTATGTACACGTGCAATGATGGAGATTCGAATATTGTGAATCTTGATGATTGCGTTGGAGAGTATCTCAGCTCGCCATTTAACTGGGACGTCTTAGCACCTCGTCAGGCCGCAAACCCCTACTACGACTTCGACAACTTTGGAAATTCCCTCTTCATCCTGTTCCAGATTGTCTCCCAAGAAGGTTGGATTGATGTCATGTATTCCGCGCAGGCGATCACCGGAGTGTTTCGGCAACCTGAGGATTTTGCCTCTCAAGGAAATGCGGTATACTTCGTCGTCTTCAACTTGCTCGGTGCAGTCTTCGTGTTGACGCTGTTCGTGTCCGTCTTCATGCGTAACTACACTGAACAGACTGGGGTTGCGTATCTGACAACAGACCAACGCTCATGGCTCGAATTGCGCAAGCTCCTCAGGCAGATCTCTCCCTCGAAGAGACCATCGTCGACGAAGAAGCGAGAGACATGGGAAGAATGGTGCTATCGCCGCGCGGTGAAGAAGACTGGTCGATGGCAGAGATTTATCACCTTAATCCTCATCATTCACCTGCTTCTTCTTTGCCTGGAATACTACCCAGAACCATGGCAGTGGGGACGCACCCGAGACTTCGTGTTCCTGGTTCTCACCCTCATCTACATCGCCAACATCACTGTTCGAATTGTCGGATTGGGTTGGACACGATTCCGTCGGAGCTCTTGGGATATCTACTCCCTGTTTGCTGTCTTTGGCACGTTCGCTACCACGATTCTCCTCCTCACAAACTTCAACGAGCGTGTATACGTCCAGCTGCACAAACTCTTCCTTGTCTCGATCACACTTCTGCTCATTCCCCGCAACAACCAACTTGACCAGCTCTTCAAGACCGCCGCCGCGTCGGTGGGCTCCATTGCCAATCTGCTCGCCACATGGTTTGTGCTGTTCCTTGTTTTTGCCATCGCCTTTACGCAGGCATTTGGCCTGACCAGGTTTGGATCGCAAGAAAGTGGCAACATCAACTTCAGGACCGTTCCCAAGGCGCTCATTCTCCTGTTCCGGATGTCTAGTGGTGAAGGATGGAACGAGGTGATGGAAGATTTTGCTTCCATTCAGCCACCTTTCTGTACTGTGGCTGACGAGTTTTACGATGGCGACTGCGGCAGTGCTGAATGGGCTCGCACTCTCTTCATCCTCTGGAACGTGCTCAGCATGTACATCTTCGTCAACCTGTTCGTCTCGCTCATTTACGAATCCTTCTCGTACGTGTATCAGCGCAGTAGCGGCATGTCCGTTATTAGCCGAGAGGAGATTCGTCGGTACAAGCAAGCTTGGGCAGAGTTCGACCCTCATGGCACGGGATTCATTTCCAAGGAGAAGTTCCCGCGGCTACTTGGCGTAAGTCATGCTCTAGTCTTTTGAGAATCACGTTACTAACTCATTTAGGAACTCTCTGGTGTCTTCGAGATGCGAATCTACGACGGCGATTTTACGGTCAGCCGGATCATCGAAGACTGCAGCAAGCCAACGGCCGACCATGGCTTCTCGATTGATGGCAGGAAGCAGAAGCCCGAAATCGACCTCGACAAACTCAATGATCGGCTGGCTTATCTGCCCTGCGAGGAGATCCGTATGCGGAGAGCGCGGATGAACAGATTCTACGAGGAGATGCTCAATGGCGCAGACCCTGACAGAGGCATCCACTTCACTTCTCTTCTCATCACTCTTGCTCATTACAAGGTCATCAACGACAACAAGAGCTTGAGGTATGTGAACCCCATAAACACCATACACATATCTATACTGACAAAATCTTTAGACTTGAGGAGTTCCTGCGTCGCAAGGCTCGACTCCAGCGCGTCGAAGAGTCGGTGCAGCGCAAGATCGTCATAGGCTTCTTCGACACGCTCTTCTGGGCACGCCGCTTCCGTCGCGCCCTGGAAGCCAAGCGCGCAGGCCGCATGACAGCGGTGCCGCAGTTCGAGTTCACCATGGCCGACGACGCCAGCCCAGCAGGCGGCCTGCGACCCGAATCAAGCCTGCCATCGCCCTCTCTCTCGCCGTACCAGCAGCCGCCATCGGTGGGAAGCGACGGCGGCTACTTCGACAACTTCAACAACCGGCCGCAACCTCCGCCGCCGCTCGACACCGAGGGCGCGTTCCGCAGCCGCGCCAACAGCATCCAGAAGACGCCCGTGCAGAGCCGCGCAAACAGCATCCAGGCCAGCCCCATCATGAGTCCCACGCGCGGCGGCGCCCTGCAGAGCATCCCGCTCAGCCCGACCCTCAGCCCCACGCACTCGCCGCACACCAGCCCCCACACCAGCCATGCGCCCGTCGACCCGGCCGAGCTCAACTGGCAGCTTGCCAGCGCTCTCAACCTCAGCAGGCCGTCCAGCCCGTCGGCCGGCGGTCCTGCTGGCACTGGCCGCGATAGCACAGGCACGGCGGCGGCTGGGCCGAGTGGCGTCAGTCGCTCTTCCACCGTGCCGGGAAGCGTTGGTCGCCAGAGCGCCATGCCGGAGGGCGGCGGCGCCGGGCATCGGAGCAGGCAGAACAGCGACGTCAGCGCCCAGGATGTGCTGGAGGTGCTGGACAACAGCATTTGGGGCGAGAGTATCAGGAAGAGCTTTACGGTCAAGAGACCGGGGAGATGATGAGTGGATGAGTGGAGGCCGACCCCCGGTTCACTTTTGGCCCCCCATCCTCCTCCCCGCTTTTTGAGCGGGGGGATGAAGGTAGAGGGATGGGGAATGGGAAGGGAAGGCAGCAGCAGGCCAAGACTAGGCAAGGGAAGTAGTGTGGGAATCATTGGACGGGAGCTAAAGTGTTCGACATACTCCTCCCCACTGCGGGAGGGAGGATGGGATGGGATGGGGGGGTGGGAGTTCTGTTTTTGGGATGGGTGCGGGTTTTTGTGGGTATGGGGGAAATATTGCGTGCTGCACGCGCGCAAGCTACTTTTTTCGCTACTGCTGCTCATTTTTTCCCCTCTCCCTTCTCTTCTTTCATTTATGTATGTGCGAAGGAGAGAGGCGAGTTGCACATACTGTGCATGCAGAATGCAAGAGAGGCGCGCACAGGATATGCAGGGGAAGGGCCCGGTGGCAAAGGGAAGGGGAAAAAAAAAGAAAGAAAGATGCAGAGTAGTCACATTTTGGCCCTTTTGCCAGCCTCTGCGGCGGGTGGTTTGATGACAGTAGCAGCAGCAGCTGGAATTTTGCGATTTTGAAAAGGTGTCTGGGGAGAGGAGGGGAAATCAGGGGGGTCGGATGCAGGGAAAGTGAAACTCGGGACATGTGTCGTAGCATAGCGATGGCGTTCTTCTGTCTTGTCCCCATTCTAAAATTGTTCATCATTTGCCTCTTCTTGTCTTTCTCGCACCACCATGCTCTCACTAGCCGTGGTCTGGAGCGGATGTGATGTGTGGTAGGCTGATTCATTTACAAGGTTATTAGGCTGAAGAGACACCAAGGCAGCTCGTGCGGCAGCGGAGTGTGCTCGAGGTGGTGGGAAGCAATACGGGCCGGTGCGCGGGTGGTGGCTTTCTGATGCGTTGTTCACATGGGACCCTGGTAGAGTGTGATGTGATGGGGTGGGTTTTCGTTCGGGCGGTGTGCAATGCGTGCATGCGCTCTGCTCGACTGCTGCCTCCTGACTTCTTCTTTGGTGTTCGGCCATGCCGGCGAGGAAAAAAGCAAGAAAGTATGTCAGAGTCGTCGGCATTTTGCGTGAAGATAAGAATAGTCGCTTGTCATTAAGCGGGAAAAGAGGACCCACTTGTCCCTCGCTATCTCGATGATGCACCTCATGGAATCACGCGGTGATGTGTATGAGGTGAAATGAAGCAGTTCGCACGAAGCGAGAGAGATGGACGAGATCCCCACAGCTGGCGAGTCGGCTGTTGATTGTTACTCGAAATGAGGGCCGAGATAGAGAGCGATGGAACGGCGCAGGCGGCGAGGACGTCGCTCACTGCCTGAAGGGGTTTGGAGAGGCGCGCAGTCACGCGGGCGGCGGCATGCAGGCGGCGCGGGTTGCCGCCAGCTGGCAGGACACGTGGGTGCTGGGGCGGCCGCGACTTCAACGACACAGCCGGCATCGGCAGCGGCGTCGAGCTTGTTGCTTGCCGGCGCGGGCGCTGCTGGGCTGGGCAGGCACAAACGCGTGTGTGAGATTTGGGACGGATGGTGAGACGTCGCACATTGACGGTAGCGCGTCTCAGGCCCAGGCCGCGACAGGGACCGCTGCGGGACGGCGGACGGACTGACGATTGCGGGCTTGGGCCGGGGGTTCGCTCGGTTGCGCCATCCCAAAGGTCGAGGCCGGATGCGCGGCCTGGGTAGGGCTGTGTTGCACGCCTGTTATGCGGGCTGAGACGCGGTCGACGCGCGAGCATTCCCCTGGCCGGAGCTGTCGCGACGCATCCCCCAGCTACTTTATCGCCGTCTTGCGTTATAAGGGCGCGCCGGGACCGCGTGCCGCCTGGGAATCGCAATCCACGTTGCTCTCACGACACTTTCCCATCACGCGCCGGCCGCCGTTGACTCTCCCAAGTGCACACGCCCGCTGGCTTGGACCCTGCAGCTGCTCGCCACGTCTGCTCTCCACTAATTGACGCGCTCACGACACGACCCATCAAGCCCCTAAGCAGCCAAGGGCGCACACACCCTTCGCACCTTAGCATTCCGCGAGAAATTTGTCGGGGCTCGGACAATCAGCAGCCTTTCCTCATCAGGCGAGAGACCACTCTAGCTCAGACCGCGCCGGAGCCTTATTATTTACCTGCTCCCCGCCCGCACTACTTCTCCTCCCCCAAGGACGCCATTCGCTTGTCCGCGGATCCCACTCGTTGCCCACGCGCATTGCACAGCCAGAGCAGCCACACCTTCAGCCTCGAACAACAGCTGCAGGTCATCCGGCACCACAACCGTCACGCCGTCACGCCACGACCCAAAAACAGCAACCCACTACCGCCTGACCCATCCGCTTTTGGGGCCTTCCGGAAACGCTTCTCTTTTTAACGTCGTCCGACGTCACCGCACCCGGATACCTGGCGTTCCTACCCATCGCGATCTTCCGATCTCATCTATCCGCGTCAATCAAAACCCCTACTCTACCCTCTCACCTGCCGATCGCTGCAAAACACACAATCGTTAAGATTTAAAAAAAAATAATAACGACCATGCCTCGGCACGCATTCCGCCTCCCCTCCCTCCACCGCCTCAACACCAAGGACCTCGCTGCACCACCCACGGCAATCTCCTCCTCTACTACCAACAACAACACCAACACACACCACCACACTCTCTCCGCCTCTTCCACCTCATCCTCAGGCTACCAGCCCCTCACCACGCCCCCTACGACTAGCCACGCCAACAAGCACCACCACAGCGACTCGGCTACGCTGTCGCCCTCGTCGACAACCAGCTCCTCGTCGAACTGCTCGTCTTCGTCGTCGTACTCGCGCATCCGCCACCTGCTTGCCGTGCGCCGCAAGCAGAGCCGCATCAACATCGAGCGCGAGATCGCCGACGAGGCTGCGCTGTTTGGCGGGCCTGACGGTGGCTTCCTCAGCGTGATGGAGCCCAGGCCCGGCGTGGCGAGGGTGGATGGGGGTGCGGGTGGTGTAGTGATGGGGGGCATCTTTGAGGTGTTAGGGGGACGTTAAGACGGGGAATGGGGGTTTGGTGATTGGGGGATTTGGATTGGATTAGATGGGATTGACTGAGCGTCTTGTGGAACGTTCACACACCACGTGGTGGAGAGCCCCTTTCTACCTCTTTTTTCTTGTTCTTGTTCTTGCAGAGACGATTCGACGATGATGGTGGCCTCCACGAGAGGTACCCTGGCGTCACGCTCCAAACGTTTACGAAGGGGAAGGGGGGAGAGGGGCTTCACGCACTCCCCCTCCTTTTTATTTTTTCATCCCCCGGCTCTCTCTTCGGAGATGATAATGAAGTAAAGAAGATTCTGACTACGTCCGCGCCTCTTCTTTTCTTCTTTTCTTTCCTTCTCTTGTCTGCTTTTTCCAATTCTCTTCTTCTCATGCGCCAGCCTACATTGTGGCGGGCTCCTTTCTTTTTCTACTTTACCATCAGTCATGCGGACATCTGCGCTGCGTGACTGACTGGACTTTATTTCTTTCTTTTTCTTTCCTTGAAACGGACATTACCAGGCTCAGGCTTGAAGCTTTTTGTCTAATGACGTTATTCGATGTACGTACATGGGCTACTCGGCGTTATACTCTGTATCCTGCAAAATTGGATACTGATTTGGCTTTTCATGTTCATCTCTTTTTCGCTCTGATGTTGTCTGATTAGAAACGAGCGACAAACGGCTTCATTGCTTTTTCTCTGCTTCTTGCCAGAATGCCATGTCTGCAGTGTGTGACCTTTGTGTGTTCTGCTTGTGCTGCTTCATTTCAATTTTGCTTCTATGGTGTGTGCTTGTGTGTGATCAGATTATGCTGCGTGTGTGCGTGTATACTGCTCGCTCCTCTTCTCCATCATTTTCGCTTTGATACCTGACTCTCTGGTTTGTCGGAGTCGTTCCTTCTCTTCTCGACTTTTCCTTCGTTGATTCGGATTCCTTTTTTTTTTTTTTTTTGCCACATAGTTGGTTCTGGATTCTGCGCTTACGACTACGACTAAAAGCATACGTCACCTTCGGTAATGGTAATACTATTCGGTCTTCAACTACGCAGATCTATCTTGAGACGATCTCGTTCTTCGTCATGTGTGAATCACTGTGATCTAGATGATTCTACAACGCATTGATAGCTTGACTCATATGATGCAATGCTACACATCGACACCGAGGACACAACAAAAGACACCCAATAACTCGGATCACCCTTGCAACTCTGCTGTATATGCAGGCTGTGCATTTACAAAAATAACTACATTTTGCTGGGGAAAAGCGACTGGGGGCTTCCCTGGAGTTTCCCGCACCTTGTTACTTCACATCAATTTAGCAAAGGGTAGGCGTTCATGCAAAACTGCTCACGATCGGACGAATAGAAGTTTGTCCCCAGCAAAGAAACGCATAAGCTTGTTGTCAGCCGGCATAGCCGTTACTGCCAGTTGTTGGGTTTTGGGGCAGGTTGAGCGGTTTTCCCTGCGTTATTGAAGGATCGCGACTAGCCCACCGTTGGGGAACCGTTTGTGGCCGCTCAAGCCCCGAACACATGACGACGGTCCAAGCTGTCGGGCGGCTGGTCATAGGACGGCATTTTCGTATCGACAATTTCTCGACGAGAAAACTATCGAATGGGAGGAATGGACGGAACAGGCGGCATGACTGCTGGTTGCAGCAGCAGTGGTGAGAGATTTTTTTTTCCCCCTTCCCTTACTGTCCCGTTCGTTCGGTTAAGGTTTGGTGGGCGGTAGAGAGCCGCGGTCTTGTTCGTCTTGTCCCGCCCGACTGTTCCCGCGCGTCCGCCTCTGCGATATTACTTTTTTCTGAAGTCTAGACTTTTGGTACTACGCCTTATTACCTCTTTCGGTCCACTTTTCTTTTTTGGGGGGAGATGGGGGAGGGGGATCGCGGAGTGCTTCCCGTATCCACCTTTTTTCCTCGTCGTCGTTTCTCCAGCCAGCCCTACGCACGCTTATTACGACACACTTTTTCAGCCCGCCCCAAACCCGTCATCGCGAGTCTAGAATGTTTCTCTACCCCTTTCATAAGTGGGTCGGCGAGCGCCTTATTGGTGGGCGGTGCTTGTGTGTTTGGTGTGGCTGGGACCCGTTCCTGGGTGGCCGCGCGCCTTGTAACAGTAGCGCGGGAGTGTGGCGCAGGCCCGGTCTGTTTTGAGTCGGCATAACGCAACGACGTATGCGTAGGCGCGATGACGAAAACACAAGCTTGCGTAGGTGATGGGGCTGGCTGATGTTACGTTATCAAGACTGTGGGTCTGTGGCTGTATACATAGTATGTACAAATATGAAACAAAAATAGGATTGCTACTATAGGACTGCTAGTGTTGGTTAGAGTTGGGAATTGGAACCTGGAATAACTGCAACACGACGATAGTAATAATTGTGAGATACATCTCATGCTGGTTAGATATTGAGATCTATCTATTTTGCGAGTCATTGGATGAGCGAGACCTCCATTTCCGCAGGACCCATTTCCTCATCATCTGGGTCCTCTAGTTCCTTTAGTTCCTCTATGATTTGCTGCCGGCGAGCATTCAACTCAACCGCCCTTTTCAGAAGCCATTTTCTCATCCCTGGAGCTCCATTACCCTGAACAAATGCTTGTGGTAGATGCCCATAGCGATCGACAAACATACGCTCTGAGGTGTCGTCCAGTGGGAACATTTTGACGAAATCAAAATTCCCAGTCTCCAAAGCACATTTATAGGGTGAACAGCCATCCGCATCTCCAACAAGCGGATTCAGATTATTGGAGAGCAAGAAATCAATGATAACAAACGCGTTGTTCAGCACCGCATGGCGGAAAGCGCCTTTTGCCTCAGCATGCTCCTTGACGAAAGAAACTCGTGCATCAACACCATAAAAGTCCGTCAGCTTTTGTAGATCTCCATTGTCGATGGCTGCAATGATTTCGGCTTGCTTCTGCAAACGCATGCGCTCTTCCTCAATCGCGTGTTGATTGGATGATAGTAGATCCAGTGCATCAAGGCGGCTATTCATCAGTGCGTAAGAAAGCGGTTTGTTGACTGCCTTATCCATATCTTCGAGTGGGAATCCAGTTGATATCAAAAAGCGGATCATGTCGGCATGGCCGAGTTCCGCCGCATAATGAAGTGGTGATTTTCCTCTGTGGTCATGGGCCTTGAACCTGTGTTTGTGGCGAGGTAATACGGCACTCAGGAAAGTCGCATCACCCCTCTGGACGGCTATATGAAGCTCTAAGCCTGATAATGCGCCATCTGAAAGAATGATAGCGTCTATCCGGTGTGAGTCCGAGCTTGCTGTCACGAATGGGACAGCAAGCTCCGCCAAGCTCTTCAGTGTATCCTTCGACCTTACTGCTCCCTTGACTACTGACACTCCAGTGGGGCAATTGACCCATGAGATTTTCTCCAAGATGAAAGCTTCCAAGTGGGACATCACCTGCTCCTTCAATCCGTAGCCGAGTTTGGAGTCGTTTTGAGATCCGAAAGTGCCTGGCGGAAAACAAGCTCCAGCATTGAGTAAGATTTTCAGCACCTTCCAGTGCCCATGAATGAATGAATGCGCGACATGTGAGTCGAATTGGTGATTGACCCTCTGTTGAACAGCAAATGTAGGGAGAAGTATTGCAACGAGCGTATCGTGGCCGTGTCTGCACGCTACATCGAAAGATGAACCTTCAGGGCCATCATGATCCTGCATAGTTAGGCCGTTCTGTAGCAAAAGCTTGGCGATGTCTTCCCACCCGTAACGAGCAGCCATATAAAGGGGACTAGTCCTCAAAATCGGACTATGGCGTCTTTCCCAAGGACCATACAGGCGGGGTTGGACAGAAAATGCTTGCAACTGCTCATGGTCGTACTTGTCACAGTCGCTGGAAGTGTATCCCTCAAAGAGGGACACACCAGAGTCCAAAAGCGCTCTAACAGCATGACCAAGCCCAAATGTGACTGCAACCTGCAATGGGGAGGGAATCTCGATGCCACTATCAGGCAGGCACACTTCATTATGACCGAAGGTGCATGGGAGATAGCGGTAGCCGCCGTCTGGTTTGAAAACGAATATCCATCGTTGGAACGCTTGCGGATCAGTAAGAAATTGTACAACTAGATTCTACGTTGTTTGATCTTGTTCGCAAGCTTTTGCGTGTTGTGGCCACCAACTTGAAGCGTAATCAGAAAACGGGTAGTCTCTGCGAACCACCGAAATCGGAGTATTTGGCCGGATCGTATTGAGAGACATGAGGTATTTCAAGCTCAGATCAACGAAGATTGAGTGAACGCGTTTCTCTTCCAACTCTTCGCGGATATCAGCTCTCATTTTGTCAGATCTCAGGTATTCTGTCACCGAAAAGTGTGCCAGACGCACTTGGGTGTATCTAGAAGGTGGATAGATGGCTGCTTCTCGACCAGACATACTAATCGCACGGTTTGAAATCCACTGGCGTTCAGGCGTGGCATCTTGGTTCATAGTATAAAACCCCGCCTGTGCATCTTGGTCTATGTCGGAGAGCCGTTTTCGCTGGTTGAGTAGGGACATTGATGCCATTGTAGAGTCAAGCTCGTCAAATTCCTCAAGGATCACGAGGCTCGGGCAATAGTCCGGAAGATCTTCTGGTTTGAACATCCTATAATGTGCCTGGAAACTAGGACTCTTATCCGAATCAACCACAACGGCATCGGCAACTTCATCAAGACGTAGCGGTCGTTTGGCGTAAGCGAGAAGTTGCAAAAGTCTGATTGCTGTAATCTTTCGTTCTGGGCGAATTTGTCGGATGATTTCATCGTACATTCCGGTCAACGAGGCAGGAAGTGACACAACAGCCTGTCGCAGCTCTCTGGGCATCCCACATGCCAGAAGAGAATCCATCTGGAGAGCAGCGAGACGGAACCTATGATGAATGGTGTTAACGAAGACGAATCTCGCAGAGTGGAATGCTTTATTACCCACATTCCGTTAGCTCTCTCCATGAGAGCTAATTCAAGCTCTTTGATCTCATCAAAAGCTAGGGTCCATCCCTTGGATACTCGTATATCCAACAGCTTGGCTTGAATGTACCGTTGAATATCACAGTCAACATCGCTTCGGGAGATTGGGACATGGACACCCATTTCCTTGAAACGTGATTGAAAGGTAGACTCATGGCGACTGAGAACAATGAGACTGATACGATTCCCCTGGGTATGGAAGATTTCGGTGATCCAGGATAGAATATCCTCACGATCCTCACCCTTGACCTCATCAAGTGCGTCCAAGACTATTCTGACTTCGTCAAGTGGGCTGATCATCGCGTAGAAATCCTCGAGTAAGGACTGCGTTTCAGCATGCGTCCATCGTTGCTGGCAAGTTTTGACGTTCTCCTGTAGACTCATGGGTATCTCCGACTTCGTTGACATGATTTGACAGAGAAGCGTTCTAACAATCCCGTTGAGGCAGTTCCACGCGGAGCCGAAGTCGAAGTAGAAATACAACACTATGCAATGATCTCCGCATTCTTCGGTCTTCAAGCTCTCGATGATGGCGGAGGTGAGTATTGTCTTGCCGCATCCAACAATCCCATGGAGCCACATGAAGGACCCAGGAGCACGTCTCCAGTTTCTGAACGCTTCTCCTTGTAGGAACCAAGCACATGAGCCGCCTGCATGTTTGTTCTTGGCTCTGGCATGGCTAGTTCGTGTGTCCGCGGGGGAGAGCCATGTGGTAATCTCTTCAATTCTTATCCGCTGCTGCCAGCTGAATATGGCTTGTTTGATGTCCGATATGTCGGATTGAACGATTGAGACTAGATAAGTTAATAGCTGATAAGCGCCGTTCATAGTCCGTTGAGAGGTAGGCTTGCACTCACATTGTTCATTCATGGCATCGAGAGCTTTCTGTTGGTACCGAACGTTGACCGGGGATACATAGCTAAGCAGCTCTTTGGCGTACACAGCAGCTGCTGCCGATGCATATCGTTGCCAGAGGTCATTCTTGTGGGAATCTGAATAGTCGGAGATCCCACGAATGACGAGGCAGGGAAAATTATTCACGAGACCGGCGGCCTCCATCTCATAACACAAGCAGTTAGCTGGGATGTGTTGAAGAAGTCTCTCTCGTTCTGAAACATCCTTGACCAGCGTACTTCCGGATGCAATCACTCCATAGTGAATGACAGGATCTGCGTCTTCTCTTGGGTCTCGTTGAACTTCCTCTTGACTTGCACAGCTGCGACAATCGGTTCCACCTTGGTGATCGTAAGTCGATAAAAACAGGCGGTCTTGCAATTGACTGGGGTACTTGTAACCGGGATAGTTCGGGCGGGTCTTGAACATGTATGGATTGCGATTCTCCATTTCCCGTAAGAACTCGCTTACTCGAGAAGGTTGCTCTTCGTGCTGGCTCTGCAAGTTCACCAGAGCGTACAGAAGGACCTCTGGTGGAGAGTTAAGAAAATCCTTGCGTTCATGGGCGCCACCAGCCTTGGCTTTCAAAAGGTCGTATTGGATGACACCTCCTTCGCTACCGCTTGGCTGGCCAACAACGATGTCACCGAGCCGGATGTCCGTACCGTCATGAGGAATGGCGCCGCCAATGCCGACAAGAAGGCCAAAGCGAATCTCGGGGAAAGATCGCAGCAACATTATCGCACTCGATGTTGCAGAGGCAGGACCAGAGACACCGGCTTTGAGGGAGGCGAGTACAATGTTATGACCTCTTATTTCTCCCCAGCAATAAGAATTGGGGTCTCCTCTAGGCTGCTCAAAATCGGTTGGTCTGCCGTGTTCCTCGTCAAACATAGCCTTTGCTGCTGCTCGTTCGATGGGGAGAGGCGCTACCCACCCCACAGTGTAGTGGAGGTGGCTCTCCAGGGCTTTTAGCGGTTTCGCCATTGGACAAACAGATTGACTTAGATGTCAAAGAAGAGAGGAAGGACACATGGTGGCGGTTGTTGGCGGTTTGGCCTCCCCGAGTTGTGATCTCGAGAGTCGCAGCCTCGCCCATGAGTTGAGGGGCTGACTGCATACTGAAATTCGAATGTCAGGAGAGTTGGGCCTAGACCTTTCGCAACAACTCAAGATGCATGCATGATGAGGCTGGTTAAGTGTTAGCCGAAACCAGTCTAGCCAATAAATCCAAAGCTGACATGGGTCGTCTCTTCCAGTTATTTCCTGGCGAACGCTGTTTGGCCCTCACATACAGGCCATCCGACCGATAGCCGAAGGATTCTGGGCCTATAGAATATGAGTTAATGGCACCCACAAAATGATATGATAGGTCGAAGTCATTAGCACCAGCTTACTTTAGGGATTCAAAATATTTGAGAAGCAGTGTGAATTTTAGGATTACATTCCAGTACCCCCTTTGCCCTCAAGAGGGCCTGCATGGCTGCATGGCGTAGTGGATTTGCTGCACCCACTCACCCTACCATGCAAACGAACTGGTAAACAACAAACGGGAAGAGAGGCCAAAATCATCTAATTGCCTATGAGGATGAGTCAGGTGGTATATCGTTTTTAACTGTCACCAGATAGGGTAGGAACAAACAGTCAGGGTCCAGGACCCTGAAATCGAGATGTATAAATATTGACCTCTGCGTTTTCGACCTTCTATCTTCTACACCACCGTGCTTCAACAGTCACTGAGCACTGACTTCCATTGAAAATGTCGAAGCCTTGGCAGGAGCCATCTTTTGGCGATTTGAAGATCAAAGACAAAATCGTCGAAGGAGAGTTCAGGACCGGTTGGCCACGACTCGTTCCTGCCCCTGCGCGCATCCGCCCGATTGGTGACCCGAACACCTACATCGAAAACTACGACGAGAAACGTCGTCGTGCCTTTCCCTCCATCCTCCGCGACGAGGGTGTCAGCTATTCCCGGATACGCCTGATTGGGCGCCAGTCAGCCGGCGTCGACAAACCTGATCCGTTCCCTACGTTGCTCGTCGAGACGACGTCGTACGAAGGGGCATGGTCCAACGCGGTGTTAAAACTAGTGAAAGCTCTCAAGAAATCCACCGTCAAGCACCGCGGCCCCATCCACGTCGAGATCGTGGAGCGGGGCTACGACGATCCGCGCGTGCTCCCCATTGAAGCGTACGACACCGTGCTGCCGATTTGGCGCGACGACCTCGGTCCGTCGGTCGTGCAGACGCTGGCGGAGTTTCGGGTGCAGTGGAAGCTGCTTTCGCTCGTCAAGATGGGGTGCTGTCCCGTTTCTGAATTTGATCGGCAGGCTAGGCCGCCCCTCCCCATCATGCTGGTCGAGGCTTGGGACGCGAATGAGGAGGTCTGGGAGCGCGAGATTTTGCCCCGGCTGAAGGGTCTGATTGCTGACACGAGGATTGCCAATGTGGAGATTTGGCAGGCGTATGAGTACGGGGACAACGAGGTGCTTAATGTCACACGGCTTCCCGAACGTACATGGTGGGAAAGGCCCTTGCGGATCGGTGATGGTTTGGGTCCTCAGGGGGTCCCGTCAATCGGTACGCTCGGTGGCTTTCTTGACCTTGAAGATCGAGAGAGGAAGAACAGCACTACGTGCATTTTGACAAGTTTCAACGCTGTTCGAAACTGCTCTGGTGTTGCACCTCGTAAGTGGATAAATTTCATTTCATGGGTAGCTGAAGCTATCGTCCGGATGCAAATGGATAATTAAATATTTGACATTTACGTCCGGACGATAGCTTCAGCTACCTACGTGGATAGCCTAATTTATACTGACCAAACCACAGGCTCAGACTCTCCCCCGGAGAAAGCATTCATATCCCGCAACATCACGGATCCCGATCCCCGCCCCATCCTCAAGTCTCCCACCGACCCAGATGTAGAAAGGAAGATCGAACTCGTGCAGAGGGAGATCGAAGGACTCAAGAGGGAAATCTACGGAGAGGGACAGCCAGCCGGCTCGCCCCCCTGCATCGCGGACCTGGCCGAAAAGGGCGATCAACGCGCCATGGAGGCGGTGGAAGTGTCCCGGCGAATGCTCGCCATCCTCGACGACCAAGCGAGCAAGCTCTCAGAGACGACTCAGTTCATCGCCGGCAGCGTTCGGGCGGTGTCCGGGTTCGCACATCACGACAGCAAGAAAGTAGCTTTGGACTGGGCCCTCGTCGACGTTGCCCCGGGCCGTCCGGTCGATCTCCAGTTCCAACGAGACAACCAGCTGCAGGGCGATCTCGACTTGCCGTTCTGGACGAGAAGGGAGTTTTCGAGCTGGAAGAAGATCTCGTCGTTCAAGACGGGAGACGTGTTGAAGGTGGGGAGGGCGACGGGGTGGTCGTCCGGCCAGCTGAACTACGCGAAGGCGTGGTTGAACTTTAGGAAGGAGGAGGGCGCGTTGGGTGGGCAGCAGGTGTATGGCACAGTGGTCGAATGCATGCGGATCGAGAATCCGCGGGGGCAGCGGCACCCGTTTTCCATCGGAGGTGACACGGGCTCCATGGTGTTGGACGCTGATGATGGCGCCTGCATTGGTCTGCTGTTTAGTGGCGACGAGGGTGAGACGTACGGGCTGATGGCGCCAATCGAGGACGTGTTTTATTCTGTCGAAGAAGTTACCGGCTGCAAGGTTGTGAAGCCACAGCTCATTTCCGAAGCTGACTGATTTGGGCGTTACCAATGGACTTAACGGGCTATGTGATGGAATTCAGTGCAGTAGGAGACGTACCATCCAGCTTGATACGGCTGAGGCGGCAGAGTAGATAATTATCCTCAACAATATGGCTGCCTATCAAGTCATGAAAGACGGCATGCAGTCTGAGTTTCTACACACTTTGGTTCATGAGCATGCTATACATGTCTCGGGGGGGTTTCAATGTTGGCATTTATTAGACAGCGATCGATCAGAATGTAATAGTGATTATATGAGCCCGCTGGATCCCGGGCTGATTTTTGAAATGATTGTCTGGACGTAAGTGTAGAATTTATTATTATTTACGTCTAGACGATAGCTTTCACTACCCTTATAGATTGAACATTCGATTTATTTAGACAGTGCGCCGTTTAGAAGGCAAAGGAAACAAGCTTAGGTATATCTACCTTTTCTTAAGGAGCTATTATTCTTCGCGCTAACTTTTATGTAAAGGTGAGTTAATGTGACAACAAACGTCGGAGCATAGCGGTGTATAAAAGGTCGAGGGCGCTGCAGCCTAGAATTATAAGTGTGAACTTCAAGTCGTAGACCCTACACATAGAATTTACTTATTAATACTCATCCACACGTGGCTACTTAACCGAGATTTTATAGGCGACTGAGAAATTTATGTCTTAAAATAAGTCTCATAAGCAACGTTAGACGCTTCGATAGAATGCTTCGAATACACCTACTTATCACACTTTTTCTTTTTTTTTAAAAGAAAAACACCAACAGTAGAGTATCTACGAAAAGATAAATACATCGTAGGATTCGTTACTGCTAAAAGTTTAAAGCTTGATAGGTAAAAAGAAAAAAAATTTAAAACCCCGCAACACCTAAAAGATAGAAGTTGTTGAAGACTTATACCTGAAACTGCAGCTGCCAGTTGTTGAAACGTGCATCCGGAGATATAAGGCACTCGAAAACGACAGTGTTCTGTAAGCAAAACAGTGCAGAGTAAGGAGCAAACCTCTCAAATAGCCACAGTGGCTTCACCGTAAGTCCCAACGCAAAAGTCCCGGAAGCCGAAAACCTTACTGACGTGGATGATAAAAAAAAAATGACGTAAAAGAAAAGAGGTTACGTTAGGAAACGCACTGCCCCGGAAGAGAAACACACCCTCGACCATAACTCCAACGTTCTGATGTCTCTTCACTCGTAAAACAGCTTAGACATCCAGCAGAGAACAACGGACTCTCCCGCAGCGAGCTTCCCTCTCGCTCATCATGCCAATCCAACACTCATCACCACGTCTCCCACTGCTGAAACACTCGTGGGATTGGAATGACCACAATCCCTGGAAAGAAAAAACACAATTAAGGGGGAACTTAACATAGACTTTAAAAAAAAAACGCACAATCATTCATGTGTGAAGAGATAAGCTCAGCTCTTCAACAAGGGATAGGTCTGAACTGAAATCGCGACAGCCTATCATATACCAGATTGCGATGGCCAGGGCGCTAGCGCCAGGGGCCGGGTATCATAAGACAAAGGAAATGTCGCATCTGGTATTGGTAGTCGCCAGTCGACTCATTGACCAGCCAAACCTGTGGAGAATTAATTAGACAACGCTTTTTTAAATGGAGAAATACTCACAAGAATGAGTTTGTTCAAACCGAAACAGATATCTTCCAGTTCCTCTGGCAATCTCAAAAGCGGCAAAAAATCATTCGTTCCTTGGTCGTTCCTTGCAAGTTTTCATGTGTCGCTCCGCGCCGTCTTTGCGTTTGAATTTCCTGCCGCACCACGAACATGGATATTCCACACCTATGTGCTGGCTTCGTAGATGGCGTTCCAAGTCCTTGGCGTGCCTGAAGAGAGTTGTGCAACCTTCTTCGGTGCATATGGACAGGCTGTGTTTCTGCAAATGGTTCCTTCTATGCATTAGCAGCTGTAGTATTTCTACACTTTTGAAAGCTTACTTAAAATCTCGCTCGAACGCACCCATCCATTTGCATCCGTGATTGGGGCATCTGAAAGGATATTGCGGATGTAGATACTGGGAGATGTCTCTGTCCGCAGGTTGAGCGAATGGCGTGGAACGCGTGGCTGGAGGAATTTTGGCGACACGGGTAAGCTGCAAGGACCGTTCATTTTCAACGCACGGAGTGGGGCTCGAGCTAGACGAGGAAATTGACTGCGCGGAGGAAAAAATACTCTCTAGCCGGGGCGAAAGACTGTGATGACTGCTTGGAGAGACAGAACTGAGATCTGCTGTGGCAGTTGAGGGTCGCTGAGGATCGTATGTCATTGGGTCTGAGACATAGAGCTCTGTAATTGGTGCCGACAACAGTGGTTCTGGAGACCCCGCAGAGATTGCCGCTTCGAAAAATGACTCTGTTAGGCAGAAAGGAAGATCCTGTATGGTTGAACAAACTCCATCCTGAATGGTTCCCCGTTGTTGAGGGGCATTAGCTCTCCGACAGCCTATTGAATGATCATGGTAATACTCAGGGATTGCGGATACGCGAGGCTTAGGTCGCCTCGCGTCGCAATCCCGTGTTTAAAAGAAAAGGTAAATTCGAAATACTCAAAATTGTCAGTCAAGACGAAAGCTTCGGATAAACCTAGAAACGTACCTTTGTATAGATGCCGCAACTTGGGAGTATGCTATACACTCAAATCTCTTTATTGCCGTCTTCGCCGGAAGTAGCTACTTCTCATAGTTGAGTTGTCTAGATTTGGCCGGTGTGCCCAGCTGAATGTTATCGAAAGGGATTGCTGTAACGAGATTTAACTGTAGTTTGTTGGCGAAGAAGAAAGGGCAGTGCGCTGAGGCTGGGGCTGAATCGCCTTCTTATGTATTGCGTATATGCAGGGCTAGCGCCTGTCAGCTCGCTGTGATTGATGGCCACGTTTATGTGTTCGCATCCTCAGCCGCAATGGTCTCCTGTCAGCCTTGCAGCTCCACGTATGTTGTGTCACAACAGGTCTTCAGCTCGTTGGCGGCCACACTCAATGAGAGCCTCGTCCTTAAGATATGGTTTCCACTCCTCCGAGGCTACGTGGATCTTTTTTTTTCTGTGCAAATTGACGAAATTGTGCATTAATGGTTGGCCGTTGGACTTTCGATCAACAGCATGGATTTTGAGGCTGTTTTCCGGGGCCAGAGTTGAGGTCCAATCAAATTGCATATCTTTTCCGTCCTATTGGTGGCCACACCGAAGGCCCCTCTTTTTGGATTCTGCTGCAGCAGGTGTGCCATGCATGAGCGTGTTTCATAATCAGCTATCTAGGAAAGATTGTTACATGGTTTTACAAACTTCGGAAATCTTTCCCATACTATTCTCCTACCGCTAGACAAAGGTGTTACCGTAGACCACAGCTCATTGGTGGCCACGCTCATGAAATCGATTCATCTGGAAGTCAAGGTTGTGTCTTAGAGCCGGTACGATGCACCAATCAATTCGTGTCAGTAATTTTCACCTCATTGGTGGCCACACCTTAAGTCTCTCGTTTTGGGCTGTACTACATAACTCATCTTTTACAGACTCCTTGCACAAACGGCCATCGAGAGGGGAAAAAGAATTTTTTTAGATCCTGAAAAGCTCTCCCCACCACCTCCGCCTCTCCCTCACGAACACAACAAGCCTACAACCTCCCCAACAACTCCCCCACAAAATCCCCCAACTTATCCACCACCACATCCTCCTTAACCCCGAGCCTCCGACACTGCACCTCCGCCTTCCTCTTCTCCCTCCACGCCTTCCCCAGCACAACCACAACGCTATACCCCACCAAATCCGCATCCCCCAGCTTCCACCCGACCCCCACCCCCCTCCGATCATCCAACACGACATCCACCCCCGCCGCCTCCAACCCATCATACACGGCCACGGCCTCCGCGTCCATATCCACGCCCTTCCCGCCCGCAGGCACGACAACGACCTCAAACGGCGCGACGACGCGCGGCCAGTTCAGGCCCTTGGCGTCGGCGAGCGCGTCGGCGACGGCCGCGATCATGCGGGACACGCCGATGCCGTGGCAGCCCATCTGGACGAGAGCTGGTTTACCGGAGGGCGTTTGGATGGCGAGGCTGAGGGGCGCGCTGTAGCGGGTGCCGAGGTGGAAGGTGTGGCCGACTTCGACGGCGCGGTGGGAGGTGACGTGGCCAGTCGCGCACGAGGGGCAGGGGGAGGCGTGTTGGAGGGCGAGGAGGGAGGTGTATTTGGATTGGGGGGTGAGGTATTTGAAGGTGGTGGGGTGGGGGGAGGAGGAGACGGTGGTGGATTCGAAGGCGAGGAGGTCGCGGAAGGTGTGGATGTTTGCGTCGGCGAGGACGAGGCGGGATTTGTCAGGGGAAGGGTTGGCGTGCCAGAGCTGCTCAGCGATGATGGTGGCGCTGTCGCTGGGGCCGTCGTCGATGGCTGTGTCGATGTCTGGGAAGAGGGATTTGATGGCGTGTAGGTTGATGCGGGCGGCGGGCTCGGACGTATCCGCCGGGTTGAGCATGGCGTGGGCCTCGACTAGCGTTTTTCTGTCCTTGCTGATACCCTTCCACACGAGGATGGGGCCGGGCTTGTCTTCCAGGGTGAGTTGGGCGTCGCTGTGCTGGGCGACCTCCTCGTTGGCGGTGTACGAGCACGTGTCGCACTGGAAGACTGTGTCCTCTCCTTTCGCGGAGATGAAGTGGTACTCGTGGCTTGTGTCTCCTCCTATGGATCCGGAGTCTGCGTCTGCTACTAGATAGGGGAGCTTCAAGTCTGTTAGGATATTCACGTAGGCTTCCCTGACGCTCTTGTAGGTTTCCAAGGCCTCGCTTTCCAGATGGTCGAAGGTGTAGAGGTCCTTCATGAGGAACTCCTTTGCCCGTAGCAAGCCTTGTCTCGGACGGAGCTCATCTCGATATTTCCTGGAAATCTGATACAGTCGTAGAGGCAGCTCTTTGTAGCTCTTTACAGTGTTGCGAACGAGTTGAGTGATCTCTTCCTCGTGAGTTGGGCCAAGCAAGAGCCCAGAGTCATTCCTGTCCTTCAGTCGGAGGAGCTCTTTGCCCTCGAGTCTACCCGTTCGTTCCCATAGCTCTTCAGAGGAGATGGAGGACAGGGAAACTTTGGATGCGCCAACGCTGCGCATATGCTTGTCGATCAATTTCTCAAACTTCTCTTGCACCCGCAGGCCCAGCGGAAGCATGTGGAAGAGCCCGGAGTGAGCTTGACGAAGGAATCCAGCGCGAACAAGCAAGGCGTGGGTATCTTCTCCTTCAGCATCCTTGGGGGTGATGCCACCAGTTGGAACCCAGAAGCTGGATAGGCGGTTCCGCTCGTCATTCTGAATGCTATCAGCGGGACCCGAAATTCCATGAATGTGTCCAAAAGCTTACAGAAAAGCAACGGACGGACGCCCGAGAAGAAATCCATGGCTGGGGCGATGTAGACGAGATAAAGAGACGTCGCGAAGAGACGCGTTGAAAAGACTGTACAAGCATATGGAAAGACGGCAGACCCACACGAAGAGGGATCCAACAAAACGGGTATCAAAGAAGTCAACGCCGGGTCATGCACCGACGCCAATGGAGAATGAAATGGAAAATGGCGTACAGATGATTGGAGGAGAAGCGGCAGAGATGGATGCTCGTCCGACATCACAACCTCAGCCGAAGAGCGGCCGAGGCCTAGCGTCGATCCAACAATTTGATGCTGCGGAAGTCCGCAAGCTCCTCCGCACCGCACGAGTCCCCACGCCCGCCCTCGACGGTCAGCCCTCACCCATTGGCCCGTATCCAATCCAAGACTGCCCTGCTGACGGCATTGCAAGGTCGCCCTCATCTCCACCATGCCTCCCAGAATACGGCTGCCGTCGGCATCAACACCATCGCCCGTCCGCGTCCGCACCTACAACCACGCCCAGCGCCTCGCACACTATCAGCAATCGTCACAATGCAGCCGCCGTACCTACGCCAGCCTGGCCACGGCCACCACGCCGGCGCCGTCGTTTGAGCAGGCGACGCAGGCCACGGCGCCCATCGCGCGGCACCCGCCCACGCAGCCGCCGTCGTACAAGCCGGCCGACTTCCGCAAGACGCAGCTGATGCGGCAGTACACGTCGCTGCTGCGGTCGACGCCGCTGACGCTGCTGTTCCAGCACAACAACCTGCGCGCCGTCGAGTGGACGGGCATCCGGCGCGAGCTGGCCAAGGCCCTGCGCAAGGTCGACGAGGAACTCGCCGCGGCTGGCAACCATGCGGAACCCATGGAGAACTCGATCAAGATCCACACGGTGCAGACGGGCATCTTCCGCGCGGCGCTGCGCCTAGTCGAGTTCTACGATCCGGTCCTAGCGCAGGAACTGGCATCCACGCAGCAAACCCCACCACCCAGCTCCCCCGCCACGCAGAGCAGCAAGCAGCTCCCCGCCTCGGACGCGGACTACAAACACACGCTCTCCACCCGCGCCCACACCATCGCCGGCGACCGCAAGAAAAAGCACGAGCTCGAAGTGCTCCTCTCCGGCCCCATCGCCACCGTCACCTTCCCCGTCGTCTCGCCGCAGCACCTGGCCGCCGCGCTCTGCATCCTCGCGCCCAAGGCGCCGGACTTCCCGGCGCCGCGCCGCAAGGCTAACCCGGATTACCACGAACCCGCCGTGCAGGCGGGATTGCAGAAGCTGATGCTGCTGGGCGCCCGCGTCGAGGGCAAGGTCTTTGACCAGGACGGCACGCGCTGGGTCGGCGGTATTAAGGGTGGTTTGGATGGATTGCGCGCGCAGCTCGTGCATATGCTGCAAAATGCCGGTGCGCAGGTCACGAATGCGCTTGAGGGGGCGAGTAGGAGTCTTTACTTCACGGTTGAGAGTAGGAGGTTGGATATGGAGGAGAAGGAGAACCCGACGAAGAAGGAGGGGGAGGGCAGCGCTTAGTAGATGGATGGGTGGCGAGGATTGTATGATAGCAACAAAAAGAAAAACATGGATACGGGTTGTGGGCAGATGTGTATCAGGTCTAAGTAGCGTGGGAAGGAACAGGAAATGTACAAAGAAAGCAGCGAAAAGAGAGCACACACAGCAGCGCTCGTACCAAGCAGCAACCACCACCCCCCCGCCATCTAAAACTCTACATCTTCGATCCATCTCATCGAACATCTCCAGCATATGTGTGAACAAGAATCAAAACCCACGGCAACTGCAGCAGCTACTACACGACGCATCACAGCCTACTACTCTTCCTCCCTCCCAGCTTCCCCACCACCTCCTCCCTCAGCACCGTCCTCAGCTCCTCAGCCAGCCGCCCGGCCTCGTCGTCGTCCAGATCGTCGCGCTGGCCCCGCCCGAACATGGCCCAGCTCTTGTTTTGCAGCTCCGGCATCTGCGACGGCCGCGGGATGATGTGGAAGTGGACGTGCGGGACGACTTGGGCTGCTCTTGCTCCTGGAAGAGAAAGGGAAGGTCAGCCGATATGGTGAAAAGGGGGCGGATGATGATGATGATGATGGTGATGAGGGGAAGCAGAAGTAAGTGGAACTTACCGTTGTTTTGCACGATGTTGTAGTCCGTGACGCCTGTGACGCGGGAGACGGTTTTGGCGAGGAGGGGGAGCCAGAAGCCTGTTGTGATGGTGGTGGTGTTAGCGTGCTGTGTTTCTGGGAATGGTGGAGAGAGAGAGAGAGAGTCTGATGGTGGAGGTTGGGGGAGTGTATCTATCTGGCTAAGGCGAGGGTGAAGATTTCTAGGTCGTAGAGTTATTTGACCAATGACGAATGGCCAATCCCCCATGGCGATTCTGAGGCTATAGGCGTAACATGCCTCAGCTCTTTCTTAGAAAGACAACATGTGTGGGTAGCTGAAGCTAATGTCCGGACGTGTATGTGTAATTTTTAATTCCATATTCTCATCCAGACGATAGCTTCAACAATCCATGACATGAGCAAAAAAACAAATCCGCGCTAGCCATCAGCTGCGAGAGGTGACTGTGTAGTAGGAGAAAAAAAAAGTAGAGAGCACACTTACCAACATCCCTCCCTTCCAACCCCTCCACATCCTGTACTTTCTCCCTATGCTCCCTCGTCGTGACCAGCAGATGGCCCCTCGTCATTGGCAGAATGTCCAAGAAAGCCAGCACCCGGGGCGCTGACAACACAAGGTACGTCGCCGGGTCAACGCGGGCCGGGTCCGCGGCGGACGCGGTGGGTATGCATGCGAGTAGATCCTCTTCTTCCCCGCTTGATGATGGCGACGCGGCGGTGGTGGTCCCTGGGTAGGCGGCAGCGATGCTGCAGAAAGGGCAGGATTCGGGATACCGCTCGGTGATCTCCTCGGGTTCCACCATGGTTTCTTTTTTTTTTCTTCACCTTCTTGTATCTCTTGTCTTCGCTTGATCTTTGCTCTTTTGTCACCCGCGCAGAGCTTCGTCTCGTGATGATTGCCTTCCTTTCTTCTTCAAAATGCAAGCGATGCCAATCGATCTATTCCCAAGCTCTTTCCCGCACTTTCTCTTCTCTTTACTGTTACGAATTGCAACAGTAGCCGGGAGCAACTCAAGAATCCACCAAAGCCAGATGACGTCAACAGCACCAAGTTGTCGTAAAAGGCGCAGGGCGGGCGAGATGAACGATGCGATCCCCGTCGCGTAGTCACGCACTCATTCACACACGGCTCGCAATCAAACCAATCAAACCAACCAGTCGCCCCGACCACGAATCAGTCAAACACCCAGTCGACCAACAAACCGCCTAGTCCCCCTCCAACCAGGCAAATCCCGGTGAAGAGTCAGTATTGTAGTTTAGCTGGCTGGCGTTTTCCCCACTCTTTTCCCCAGAAAAGCAAAACCCAAACAAACAACAAACACAATTATGGATCTCTTCCCCCCCTTTAACCCACCCTTGTCCAAGCTGAAACGGGGGACGATGGGAATCTGGAACCCGGTGATCGGAGAGGAAGAGCCAGCCGGTCAAGATCCGTTGCCAGGACAGCCAGACGTGGAGAGAGAGAGAGAGAGAGAGAGAGAGAGAGAGAGAGAGAGAGAGAGAGAGAGAGATCGAGCAAGGCAAGGCCAAGAGGACTGAATTATTTCCTTTTCCCTTCAAGAAGGACAGAAATAAAAAACGAAGGCGAATGCGTCCGCTCGAGTCCAGACACACCTGAAACGCGTATGAAGATGGCAGATGCCAGGTACGAGACGTGCGTGCAGCGCGGCGCAGTTCACAGACAAGAACCCCAGGTGCAAGGAAAAAAGAGCCCTCAAAGGGAAGAATGCCGCTCACAAGCCGAAAAGTGGGGGTGGCACACCAGGACACCCACTTCGCTTTTTCCCCCGTCCTTTGCCATGACGGGCTTAACGTCGTCGAGCTTAGCCTAGCCCGCAGCACTCCACGGGTAGCCGGCCCGCACAGCACGTGAACGTACCTTTTTTGACATGGGGGGTTCTTGTTTACTGCTATCCCGTCTGTGTACGTGTCGCGGACGTGTTGTTTACACATGCTTACCGGGTACGTACCCTTGCAGGCATGAAGAAGGAAGGAGGAGATGCGGTGGTGGTCTGTGGGCTGTTGTTGTCGCGCGCGCGCACGTAGGCGCTTAACACGCACGACGAGCGAGTTTCGTGTTCGCGAGGCGTTCGTGACGCGCTCGCGAGTGACATGCAGGATGCATGCATTCATCTGCACACGCATTCTCTCCCCCCTGGTACCAATGCCTGCGTGCTCATAATTATCGAAAGCAATGCTTCGATTTTCTTTGAGCTCAATGAAGCAGGAATTCGAACTCAAAAACAGATCAATATTGATTTCCCAACAAGGAAATGGTCGTAGCCTCATACCAACCCGCCATTGATGGTAGGAGTAGCGGCGGGGCAATCCGAGTATCTGTTATCCACACCACCACCACAGTCGTCATCCGTCTAGAAACATAGCACAACCGAAATGGAAAAGTCAATCCGCGTCTCACCCTCAAGCGCGAAAGGCCATTGAAACCCCCCAAGAAAAACACCGTGCATGATACAAATCCCAAGAAAGAGGTTCCCCATTTCAGTAAAAAAGTTTACATGACCACCAGCCAGCCAGCAAGCAATGTAGCCCTTCCCCACCCATACCAATTCTGAACTAGAAAGAGGTATTAAGTCTAACATGGGTAAACCATTGCTATGAATGGTTGGGTGTGGTTGCCTGCCCGCCGCCGAGATCTACCTTAGACATAGCCAGAAGGGGATTTTATCCAGAGAATAAAGAGCAGCCGGTATTGCGCCCCACGATTACGCCCGCCAGCCCCCTGCATGAAGTGAATAAACAATTCAGACCCTTGCTAAGCCGTTACGCCGATGATGAATAGAAGTGGCCACAATGCATAACCCACACCTCCGGGTCGTCGGATCGCCCATGGTGATGTGTACGTCGATATTCATGAGCACAGAACATGAGAATGGAGAGGTCAAGCTACCAAGCCCCTTACAAGGACTTGGTAGGTTTCTTCGCCTCCTTCGACGAGCTGGTCGGCTCTACGCAGTACTTCTTGGCCCATTGGCGAAGGACGATCGAGGCTGCGAGACACGTTAGCATTATTGAGCATTGAGAGCAGGAGAGGACTATCTTACCCTTGAGGAACTTCTTGCTGGCGTACTTCTTGAAGAAGGCCTCGTGGATGACGGGAGCCTTGAGGTAGTCGATCATGAGGTCCAGCACAGGCTTGATCTCCTCCTCAGTGTAGCCAGCGTAGTGGGCAAGGACAGCATCCCACTCACCACGGTCGAGGACCAGACGTGCCAGGTACATGGCGGCGGCCGAGATCTGGCTCGGGGGGTAGGCGATGAAGCGGTGGTCAAGGCAGCTGATTTCCAAGAGGTACTTGCCAAGAGTACGTGTCTGGATGTCGTAGTTGTCGGCCTTCGATATCCTGCGCAGGAAGTTCATCGGGTTGGGGTAGCTCAGGTCGTAGTCCAGGGCAGCGAGGACGAAACGCTCGGCGCTCAGAATCTCCTCCTCAGTGAAGCCATCATCAGCGACGTGGCGGAAGTTCTGGACATGAGGCGACAGGACCTCCTCGTACTTGGAAGCGATGAACATGGCAGTAACACCGACGAGCTGGAGACGATCAAGCTGAACAACCTTGCGAGAAAGGAAACGGTCGATGATGTTGACGGCCAAGAACAGAGTCTCCGGGAGAAGACGGAAGCGAGTGTGGACCTCCAGAAGCCAGTCAACCAGGATACCACGCATCTTCCACTCAAGCTCGGACTGGTTGTCCATGTAGTCGGGGTTGGCCATCGTCGCAATCTCCAATTCCTTCAGGTACTCGAAGATCTCGCAGACGTACTCAGAAACCATCAACGGGTCATTGGCATCCTCCTCATCCAGATCGGGGATCTCGGGAACGTCATCGTATTTCTCGACAAAAGCTTCCTTCACTTCAGGAGCGGCCTTGGCGGGCGCGGGCTCGGGCTTCGAGGGGGCGGCCTTCAGGGCGGCCTTCGGGGGGGCCTCGACAACGGGTTCGACAACCTTGGCCTCCACCTTCGACTTGGTCGTCTGCTTCGTGGGGGCAATGTTCTCGCTGGCAGGGACTTCCTCCTCCTTGATCGTCTCCTTAGTCTCCTTGGTGGTGGTGACGCGTTTCTTGGTCGTGCCACCAACAGCACCAGAACCGCTAGCAGGACGCTTCACGGTAGCCTTCTCCTTAGGACCGAGGACGGAACGCGTCGTAGTCGTCTTGGAAGCCTTGGTGACACCAGTGGGGGCGGCAGCCTGGGCAACGGCACCGCGCTTGGCCGTCAACGGTTTCTTAGCCTCCTTGCCATCCTTTCCACCCTTCGCATCAGCCACCTCGCCCTTCGCGTTCGTCACATCACCCAGCGCGTTCCTCTTGCGAGTAGTCGTGGCACCGGTCGTGGTCTTCTTGGTAACAGCCTTCTTGGGGGGGTCAGCAGCGGAGGCCTCGTGCGATGAGGTCAGCGCAGCAGCCTTGGCGCGCGTCAGACGTGTCGTTGCCGCGTTTTCATCGTTCTCGTTCGTGACGTTACGACGACTGGTGGGCCGTGCCTTGAAGAGATGGTTAGAGGTGACGTGATTGACGTGTTGATGTGTGTGGATGCGAGCTTATGACGCACACGGGTCATTGTTTACATGGGGCTGGCGGGACTTACAGGAGGCATTGTGATGGATTAAGGCAGAGTTAGTGCAATTGGGAATCTCTGGATACCGTAGCTGGTGCAATGCTAAGAGCGTAGGCTCTAACGGACGTGAATGTTGCAGATAGGGTCTGTTGATGGAGTCCAAGTCAGCATTTCCGTATTGGGCAAGAAAGTCAACACAAGCGGTACGACGCACATCTATCGTTACGGCGGTAGCTGTATCGGCGAAGATAGGCGGTGATCGAGCGGATGCTGAGTGAAATGCGGGGAGCATGCAGTACCTGAAAGCGCTCCAAGGTATGGGTTGCAGCGGGAGGCGACAGTCACGCGGCGGTCCAGGGAAATGCCGGGTCTAAAGCGCGACCGACGTGCAGCGAAGGACGGACGACGCAGCAATGCAACCGGGAGGCAGCTGGAGGTGGTTGCGTTGCGTGGGGCCGGCTAGCGGAGGGGAGTATTTGAGGAAGTCGCTGTGGTGGAAAGCGAGTTTGTTATGCTGTCGGCTTACTTAGCGCGACTCGACTGCCTTGGCGCTCGCGCGGTACGTGCGTCTGAGGTCGTCAGGTCGCGCCCGGGCAACCGTAGTGCGGTGGCCGGCAGAGGCCACAAGCGAAGCAACACGCGACGGGAAGCGGGCGCAGCCGACGGTACGCATGTGCAATGCGGATTCAGGCGCGTCGAGACTAAATGCTTGCACGCTTGCAGACACGCGCCGCGCTTGAGAATGACGTTGGCGCTGAAAATATGGCGGTCAGCGCGTTCTTGTGAGGGCTGCAGAACGCCGTAGTGCTCGATGCGGCCTAGCGCCCCAGCGACCGCGCGCGGATTTCTCGACATCTCACCTAGCCTACCAGCTGCTCAACCTCCAGCGCGAGCCACCACCATTCCCACCCTGCCCCGTACCCCTCCAATGGGCCGGTAGACGAACCTAGAGCCACACCCAACCACCAATGCTGCACTCTCGGGCGGCCCTGCGGCCGGCAGGCCTCACGGCCTCGCTCGCGACCTCGATGCGCACCTACGCCGTTGCGTCGGCCACCGCCCGCACCGCTGAGAACCCCGTCAAGTCGCGCGTGTCCACCCCCGAGGCTCAATTCCAGAGCGCTGCCCCGACACGGACAAGAGGCACCATCCAAATGAAGACCTACAAGCCGAGGACACCAGGTTTGCGGCACCTGAAGCGGCCCGTCAACGATCATCTCTGGAAGGGCCGACCGCTCAAGATGCTCACGTATCCGAAGATCGGTCAGGGAAAGGGAGGCAGGAACGTGACTGGTCAAGTCACTGTAAGACATCGCGGAGGTGGGCACAAGCGGAGGATACGAGTTGTCGATTTCAAGCGTCAAGAGCCTGGCAAGCAGGTGGTTGAGCGTATCGAGTACGATCCCAACCGCAGCGCGCACATTGCATTGCTCAAGCACCTGGAAACCAAAAAGCTGAGCTATATAATTGCTCCGGAGGGCATGAGGGCTGGTGAGGTCATCGAGAGCTTCTTGAAGGGCATCCCTGGCAGTTTGCTCGGATCCATGGGTGGTACTGTTGATCCCGGTATGCTTGCGGCAAAGACGGCTTTCCGCGGCAACTGCTTGCCTCTCCACATGGTGCCGCTTGGAACCCAGGTCTTCTGCGTGGGATCGACAAAGAACAAGAGGGCTGTGTTTTGCCGCAGCGCTGGTACATACGCGACGGTCGTCTCCAAAGGCGAGGTGGGCAAGAAGATTCGCGACGTTACGATCCGTCTCCAGAGTGGCGAGCTCAGAAGGTGCGACAAGGATGCTTGCGCCACTATCGGAGTAGCCAGCAATGTCCACCACCACTTCAGGCAACTTGGAAAGGCTGGTAGATCACGGTGGTTGGGCATAAGGCCTTCGGTGAGAGGTGTGGCCATGAACGCGGCCGATCACCCTCACGGTGGTGGTAGAGGTAAATCCAAGGGTAACGTCCACCCTGTCAGCCCTTGGGGAGTGCCGGTAAGTTCGAATCCTCCGTCAACAGTGATGAAAGTGTTTATTAATTTTTTTACTAGGCCAAAGGTGGATACAAGACCCGAAACAAGAGGAACCCCAACAAATGGGTTGTACAGGAACGCCCGAGGAACCAGGGCAAGAGGCGCGCGAAGAAATAGACGAGATGAGGCAGCTGCAATTATTTTCGTTGTACGACTTCTGGATGTATACTATTGAAAAAGACGACTGGAAAGTTCGACCGGAGCCCGTTGATGCCGTACATGATGATTGCTCATGGAGTAATATAGTGGAGAGGTTGTGTTCTGCTATTCCGTGTAGACCGGAGTCTGGTCGTCGTGAAGCGATACTCATTGCCGTGGAGCGGGGAATTTTGCTGCTCGGGAATTTATAGCCGCGAGACGATCTATGTCGGGGAGAAAAGAAAAATCCAGGGGAATAAATTCCCATAACCGGCATCGAATTCTTGCTCACCAGAGTGATTCGCATCTAGCACAGTTACCAGAAGCTGAATGCGTGGTAGTCTTGCCTTGGGCGGCGAGCACTTGTCGCGGCGCACAGACGCGTTGGATGAGGCTCCGACAGGCAGCATGCCAAGGCCGGCCGGCAACACCTGGGCTCGAGGATCGACATCCCACTTCAACTTGTCACTGCCATATCAAAGTGCCTGTACCGGCCCCCGGTATCGCGCACAGTACCTTCCGCCCGCTTAAAATTCGCCGACCCTCCCAGAAACCTCTTCGCGCATTAGCTTGACGCGTTCCCGGGTCCTTCTGCCCCACCAGCCTCTCCACCGCCCGCAAGCCGGCAGCAACCATGGACGACTTCAACAGCGAGACCGACAGTGACTACACCAGCTACTGGCGCGATTGGGTAGGTGCACTCTCCTTGCCGTCTTAGTCACTTGCGCCCTCCCATTCGGGCCACCAAGAGCCTCCAGCAACCCATGCGCCGTGCCGCTCGACCTGCCACCTTCCGTCTGGCCCGACCGCAGACCAAGTCAACCTCCTACGACATTCACGAACGCGCCGCCTTGTCGCGACCAGGCTCCAGCTACATGGATGACGCAAGCACCCCACGCAAACGACGCTGTCTCAGACCTGAGCCAACGTGGGACATGAGCACAAGCATGGCCAACACGCGCAGGAATCGGTTTAAGCGCAAGGCTTTTAGGTCTTCCAAAGGGTTGAGCCCACAGCCGTCATATTCCTCGGACGAGAATACTTCCTCCAGCACTGACTACGGCTTCCTTTTCCCGGGCAGCCGGTTCGCTGTAGACCCTGGCTACCTTGGAAGAGACACCATTTCTATAAAGAGAGGCTGGCGACCTTCAGATGGCTCCATTGGATTTTCGGCTCGTTGTCATTCAAAAGCATGCTGGAGGGCTGTCTGCTAATTCGTCTTGTTGTAGTTCATCTCTTCCCGCGGTAATGAGTACTTCTGCGAAATCGATGAAGAATATCTCACGGACCGGTTCAACCTGACTGGCTTGAACACCGAGGTTCAATACTACCAATATGCCCTCGATTTGGTTACGGATGTCTTCGACCTCGACTGCGATGATGAGATGAGAGAGGCCATCGAGAAGTCTGCAAGGCACCTTTACGGTCTGGTGCATGCTCGATACATTGTCACCACACGAGGCCTGGCCAAGATGGTGAGCTCACGCTCCCCCGTTTGCCCATAGAACCTTCCGTGCTGACCAAAATACAGCTGGAGAAGTTCAAGAAAGCCGACTTCGGCAAGTGCCCGCGCGTAATGTGCGATGCTCAGCCGCTGCTGCCCATGGGCCAATCTGACATCCCCAACACGTCACCGGTCAAGCTGTACTGCGCCCGTTGCGAGGATCTCTACAACCCCAAGTCTTCTCGCCACGCCTCCATCGATGGCGCCTACTTCGGCACTTCGTTCCACAACATCCTCTTCCAGGTCTACCCCGCCATGCTCCCGCCCAAGTTTCAACGCCGCTACGAGCCTCGTGTGTTTGGCTTCAGAGTGCATGCTGCCGCTGCTCTACAGCGATGGCAAGATGACCGTAGGGAAGAGATGAAGCTACGACTGAGGAAGACCGGTGTTGAGGTCGGCTTCGAGGATGAAGACGATGAAGGTGACTTGGATGACATGGATGAGGAGGCAGAGGGCTACGAGGCAACCCTGGCAGCACGAGAGGCACAGCTGTAAACTTTTTTTCCTTCTTCCTTTCACACAAACAAACACACGAACTCACACACAAACGACTTTCGGGTGCGGGCGTTCTGGGATGTATACAGAGCCTGGGCGAGGGCTCGTAGGCATTTTGTCGGCGTCGGCGGGGAAGGGAAGGACTCTCACATGATGGTCAAGGGTTTCGACGGAGCCAAAGAGACGCCGGTGAAGTGCGCGCGCACGTTTGAATCAATGATACCGAGATAGCGAATGGAATAGACACGACTCTAGAGAACCCCAATCAAAGGATTGGTCGGCACTCGTGGATGAGAAAATCGATGTCACCTGAGACCGCGCCTCTAGCGTGGAAAGCCCTGGCTTACGTCATGCGTCCGTGGTTGGGTCCTAATTGATCTCGCACGGACGTTCCAACTACAAACAGACAGATACAAATATCAGAGACGAACCTCTCCCCAACGCTGCTTGTATCTCTTGAAGCTTCGTATCAGTTTCTCAGATCGTTAGACGGCGCTGGCTAGCAGAATTCATCCGTAATGGTTCAGGTTCGTAATAGGGAGATTCCGGAGAAAGCATCCAGGGTACCCGATTCCGCAGCTCGAGGCCGTAAACAACCCTTAGGTGAAGAGCGAGCATCAAGACCAAGACGGGACACGGTACCACAATGCATCCACCACGCAAGACACCACCGCAACGCCACAGAATCTCGTGCCGCTGAAGCGATCACGCGAAGAGGAGGATCACGTCGCTGCTGCCGGAAGCGGCGCGAATGCTGAGTCCAACGGCGGCGGGAGTACCAACGACGATGGCCAGGGAACTACTCGTCCCCCCGGCCGCTTCCCTGCCTATCGCGCGGAGGTCGCGGCGTTGGAGAAGAAAGAAGACGACAAGAAGCGGGCGATGGGGCGAGAAAGCACGCCTCCGCCGCCCATCATGCCGCCGGACCGCCGTCCTACGCCGGGCCGCATCATCAACGCGCGTGAGGTCAACGAGCACGGTGCCGAGCCCGTGTTTTCGCGCGGCGACCCGGCCGAGTGGCCGAATGTGCGCGACAAGGACTACAGCCACCGCTTCAGCCGCGACGACGACGACGATGACGAGGGGCCGCCGAAGAAGATAGGGAGGCGCAAGAACCCGGAACGCGTGAAGTGGGAGGAGGAGCGGCCGTTGAAGGATCAGAATCACAGGTGGCATGACTTGCACCTGTGCTATCAGAGAGGACCGAGCGAGCAGCCGCCGACGTACGATAGTGCTGGGTATCAGCTTGACTACGAGAAAGTGGCGAACTGGATGAAGCCGACGCGAAGGGGAAAGAGACCTAGTTGGCAGAAGGAGTCTCAGAGGATCGAGGATCATCAAAGGGTGCAGGAGAGGGTGAGGGAGATCTTCTTCGAGCCCGGGGCGGCACCACCGAAAGGAAAGGTAAGTCCGGCCATGCAGTGGACTTGGGTGGATAGGGTGTCAAAGGACTTGGGGGTTCCGTTCCATCAAGTGGGTCTGGAGGAGTTCGAGGAGTGGGAGAAGAGGGGATTTGAAAAGGCGAAGGAGGGGGATTATGGGAAGTTTTCGGAGGAGCAGAATGAGAGGATGCTGCGAATAGCCTCCGGCTCCGCGATGAGGAAAGGAAGTTGCAAGACAAAGATTTAAGATATGTTGTGGAAGATTCCCGGGTTGATGTGAAGAAAGGAGAAATAAATTGCAGTGTTCTACATTCTTCATCAAAATTGCTATATTCGGGAGAGTCGTTCATCAGCCACCTGGTTAATGTACAGAGGGATGCTGCAGCCGATGGCTAGCGCAAAGAATAGCAGGGCCCTTAGAACATAGCTTCAACTACCCATATATGTTCTTTTTCATTGGAAAAAAAAAGAACTGAGGTATACTTACGCTCTCTTCCGGACGTGAATGTATAATTATTAATTACATCTGGATGATAGCTTCAACTGCCCATTACATGGGGGGAAACAGATGTACGCCAGTCGTCTGCTGCAACCCCCCTGTATCATCAGTGAAGAAGGCGCGCAAGATGATCCATAGAATCTCTGCAGGCAGTTGGATACATAGGCTGCCAGTGACTAACTAGCAACTAGCAAACAACAAACGAAGAGAGGCGAATATCATGGAATCCACCGAATACTCCGTCATTCAGTGAGCACAGTGATATTGCGGTTCTAAATATATATAGGTTCAGTTTGTCAAATAGCAACGGTACAAGAAGCTGCCAAGACGTAGTGGAAGGGGTGTTGTGTACGTAAATCGACGATATAAACTTGGCCGGAGAAAATCCTTGACGTGTCTCATCTGTCAACAAGAACTGCAGCATCCGAGCTGCACTCGTACCGTTTGGAGCATTAACAATACTACTGGACTTCTTTTCTTCGTACAGATCACAAAAACTTTTGCGCCGAACGATGAGTGGTGGAAGGGTTTGATACTCGCTGCAGAAAGACGTGATGAACGTTCGAGCGGTGCGCTGATCTCGGAAGTGAAGCATTTATCCGGACGCGACATGGCGAATACTAGGCCAAGGCAGCTCGAACCACCGACGTTTCAACTGCCTAGTCGGGGTGCCGTGTGGCATGGTTCCATGCAAGACTGACGTAGGGGCCCAGGAAGGCGGCAGTCAAGATTTTTGAGCACTGTAGCAACGCTCTTGTTGCGAGAGTCAAGGCAATAGGCAAGAGGGCGCTATACCCGTCCAGACAAAGAGATTAGCTGCTCGGGCGCAAGGGATACCGTTGATGCAAGGCTAGCTGGATATGGTACACCAAAGTCTCGTAGCCTCGCAACCGGAAGAATGACCGGGGCCGTTAATCATGGGAAAAGTTGGGCAGGGATTCCACGAGCACTGCAGCTGCAGCTCGTGCCCGTTCCGAGTGGCCGCAGCACATGCTGCAGTGGAGACGAACGGAAAGCATGGCCAGAAAATCCTTGGCGGAATGAGCGCACACGGCAGCGGCGGCTGCAGGGAAGGCAGCACAAGAGGTCGAGATTGTGCGCTAGGCGCCGCAGGACTGTGATTGGCGAAGGCTCAGCCACGGCCAGCGCGTGGGATGATACGGCAGCGTGATAGCTGCAGCGAGGGAGCGCTGCTTCGGGGCTAGCCCGTGAATTTTTGGCTGCAATAACGTCAAGCTGCAAGGCCACGTCCGTCCAGCCAATGGCGCAGTTGCCCCACTAGGTTGGGCTGACGTTTAGCGCGGGGCCCTACCTTCCATCAGCACCGATCATCGCTCTGTCCACAGCCCCTCCTTCTCCAAGCAACTTCATCCTCTCTGCACTGCAACACCGCCAACGACGCCAAAATGTTCAAGAAAGAGTGCGCAAAGTCTGATTGCACCTTGCGAGTCGTCTCAATGCTGACCACCACCTCTACAGCGTGTCTGTCGGCGCGAAGACCAAGGTCAAGTCGTCCGTCCAGCGCGGCATCCGCTCCAAGGTCGCTGAGCAGTATCCACTGCTCGAGCCGTACCTCGACACCATAATACCCAAGAAGGAGCAGCTGGATTTGGTCAAGCTGTACGTTGCCTGCTTGTTTGCTCTCATTTTGCCCTCATTACACCCACCACGGCTGCTGGCAGGAGCCCAAGCTACAGCCTGACTCACACCACCCGCCTCGCCCGTCGATGGGCTGCAAGGCAGCCTGGCACCTCGGAGTGACGACAACAAGAGCTCCTAGACGCACGAAAGTGCTCTCCATCCATGGTTTCTCAGCTCTGCAACCAGAATTCTGGGTTCGCTAGGCTGCAGTTAACCGGGATCGAGTGTCGTTGAGGATTTCAAGCTTGATCTAATCAGACCTTCCGAGCCTCGACATGATGATTTTTCACACCACCTCAACCCACCTGTGGCACGAGCTGACGTTTGATACACCTGGCAGGCCTGACCGCGTCTCGCTCTACGCCCTCAACAATGTCCCTCTTTTCTACCAGCACATGGACGATCCTCTGATCCCGCACCTCTCCCTCGTCCACAAGTACCCTGCCTGCTTCAAGCGCGTCCGCATCGACCGCGGCGCCATCCGCTTCGTCCTCTCGGGCGCCTCGCTCATGGCCCCCGGTCTTACCAGCCCCGGTGGCCGTCTCCCAAACTCCCAGGCCCCAAACGACGCGGACGACACAATACGATACGGGAGCGAAGACATACCGGCGGGGGAAGTGGTGGTGGTGGAGGCGGAGGGAAAGGACAATGCCTGCCTTGTGGGCCCTTTAAAAGTGGGAACCTCGGAAATCAAGGCGAAGAAGAAAGGCGTTGCGATCGACCAGGGTCATTATTTAGGGGATGGCCTGTGGAAGATGCGCCTGGACTAACATCGCCTTCGTCGCCCACCTCTTCCTCCACCTCGGACGACTCCTTCGAGTCCATGAGCGAGGCCAGCTGGGGTGGCTGCAGCTCCGATAGCTTCGGCCACGATTGCCTAATCTGTGACGGCAATTGTGAGGTAGGCGACCCGTGGGCAATGGACACGTCTTGGTAAGCCGGGAGGGTTTCGGATTTCCTTTTGCAAAATGGGTCTTGACTCGGACAGAATTTTTAGCCAGTGGAAGTGGTGAATCCACGGCGTTGACGCCCTCGCACACGGTGTGAGGTGCGTAGAGAGCATACCCCACAACAGCGATTCATGATGATTTCAACAATTTTCTTTTCTTCCTTTCTCGAAACAAAAGTAGATAGACTTTACACCAAAAACCAGTGCGTCGATGACCTTTCCTATTCCGACGCAGATGAAATTCTATTCAATCAGCAGACAACCTGAGCAACCCTTCCTGGCAAATTGCATGTGAGCATGTGAAGAAATTTCAAGACCTCAGCGTTTAAGCTTTACCAGAATGATGACGCAAGAGATTATCATTCCCTAATGCAACTATCACATGTCTTTCTCACGATGAAACAATTCCTCAATGCGAGTGGCCCAACAAATGAGCAATTCCTTTTCCTTTCCTCATATCTACCGCTGTTGTTATTGTTGATGCACCCCAAAAAGACCCAAGAAACCAGCTTCGACCGCGTGGTATCTCAAAACAAAAAAAGGATGATAGTCAAAAGGACCAAAATAAGAAAGGGAAGGGAGAACCTTCCATCATGTACCGCTGCGGCGAACCTTTCCGTCTTTCCCTCTCCCTGAAATGGGGTTGCATATAAATGAAGAATCGGAAAAAGGGAGAGGGCTGGAACGCGACATCCTCTCTCTCTCTCTCGTCTTTGACTTCTCTTTACTCTTTCTTTCTCTTTCTCTTCCCCCATCTTCGTCTACTGGCTGCCAGCACCACGGCCGGCACCTGCACCACCGGCACCACCGCCGGGGGCACCGCCGCCGCCCATGAGGTTCCTTGCCCTGTTGGTTTTTTCCAATGTCAGCACATTGACTCGATTTTTCTGTGGTTCTCAAGGTAAGTAGGGTGGTCGTCACTCACATCTCCATGATACTGGGATCCTGCATCATCTGGCTGAAGTCGGGCATACCGCCGCCCTGGCCACCAGCACCGCCGGCACCAGCACCAGCACCAGCGCCGCCGCCGCCGCCGCCGAACTGCTCAGCCATCTCGCGCAGGCGAGGGTTGCTGAGCATGTTCTGCATCAGCTGCGGGTTGCTCATGACGTTCTGGGCCATCTGGCGGAGCATGGGGTTATTCATGAGGGCGCCGAAGTCGGGCATGCCGCCGCCCTGACCACCAGCGCCGCCTCCGCCCAACATGCTGGCGAGGGAAGACAAGTCCGGCATACCACCCGCACCGCCCGGCGGGCTGCCCGACCGCGCACCAGCGACGCCGCCCTCCTCCTCGACGCGGCGCTTAGCCGTCTCGTAGCCGCGCTTCATGGCCTCGCTGCCGCCGTTGCCCTCGGCCTTGATGCCCTGCTCGTAGGCCTCCATGCTGCCCTTTGCGTCGCCGAGGGCGAAGCGGGCGAGCCCGAGGCGCGACCACGCCTTGGTGTAGGCCGGGTCGGCGGCCGTGGCCATCTCGGCGTCCTGCTTGGCCTCTTCGTGGCGGCCGGAGCCGGAGTAGGCGGCGGCGCGGTTGGAGAGATAGATGGGGTTGAGCGGGACGAGGTCGAGGGCCTGCGTGTAGAAGGAGATGGCCGTGTCGTAGTCCTTCTTCTGCATGGCGGCGTTGCCCTGGCCCTTGAGGCGCTCGGCTTCGGCCTTCTTGCTCTCGGGTGTGGTTGCGGTGGTGGGAGTGCTGGGGCGGGCTTCCTTGGCCGACGACGCGCCTTCGGTGGAGGGCGTGGTGCGCCCCTTGAGCTTCTCGTAGACCGAGTAGATCGAGGCGAGGTTCTGTCCGCCGAGCGCGTCCGCCATGGCCTTGGTGTCGGTCGGGTCGACCTTGAACGACTCGGCGATGCAGCTGGTCGCGATCTCGATCGACTCGCTGTCCTCGGACGAGAGCGTGCCGTCGCGCGTCGACGTGTTCAGGAAGTCGATGATGGCGAGCGCGAGGCGCTTCTTCGATTCCGTCGAGACGGGTGCTGCGGCGGAGGCCTGTTGTGACATGGTGGTTGGTTACGGCGTTTGAGGCTTTGTAGGAGGAGGTTTTATGTGACGTGGAGGAAAGGAAGAGGGTTCGCAGTGAAATTGAAGTTACGAAACCCTGTGACTGAGTATAGGTTGTGCCTGGCGCGACGTGGAGGGCGGCGCCATGGTGGGGTTGCGCGGACAGATGCGCGGGGCTGGTTTGTGCTTTCTGCTCACCATCTTGGAAAACTGTGTCTTCTTTGCCGTGGGGTGGAAAGTTAATTGCGTTCCTCAAGGCAAGACTGCGTATGTATGAATGAGGTCAGGGTGGGTCGGAGGTGTCAGAAGTCGGAGGGTCGTTGTGGCCTGCGAACCGTGGAAAGCTGTAGATGAACGTGGACGTGGACCTCTCTGGGATCGCCCGCACGCATGTGGCAGCCGAGCGCCTCGAGCCGCCTTGACTCGAGCTTCCGGTCCAGCCTCAAGTCTTGGCGCTCGTGACATCAACCGCGTCCAACCAGAACGTCTATATTTTATTCAGCTTGATTTTATTACATATAAATTCTGTCTCGCTCAAGACTATGGCCATGACTGGATATTATGAGCGCAATGAACAGCGGGTCAATGAATTGAATTCTTCAAGAAAGCTACTTTTCTCTCGCGGACTTCATGCCGCCAGCCAAGTTCACACATCACCACCACGTCGAATGCAGAGGAACTTCATGCCATGACGCATAAAAGCATAATTCGAATTCTACCCATCGAGAGGTGTATCTCATCTTCATCATCTAATACCCATACATCCCGTCATCATCATCTACAAATCCTCCAACAACTCCGGATCCCTCATCACCCCATTCGCCGCCCTCTTCAACCCCTCGACGGCGCTCATCCGCCTCCTCTCGTTGAACCCCAGCCCACGAATCGCCCTTCTCATGCTCTCCAGCCGCGCCTTCTCGACCACCACCATGCGGCGTGCGAGCTCCTTGCAAGCCTTGCGGCCCTGGCGGACGCGCGCGTCCTGCCACGCGGCGAGCTCGGCGGCGACCGTCTGCTGCGTGTACTTGAGCTCCTTGCCGAGCGTCTCGAGCTCCTGGACGCTGCGGTCGACGCGCTCGGCGGCCTCGCGCTGCATGCGGTGGCGCGTGTCGTCGAGCAGGCCGAGCGGCCAGCGGCCGCTGCGCTGGAGCGACAGCGTGTGGCGGTCGATCTGCTTCTGTGTCTGGCCCATGGCGCCGACGATGGTGCCGGGCCGCGACAGCGCCGCCAGGATCGCCTGGATCGTCGAGCTGATGGCGTGCATGTTGTAGTAGAAGCCCGTCAGCGGCGACGACTCCATCTGCGTCAGCGTCTTGACGTATCGCTCGAATGCAATCTTGTGCGAGTCTGGCAGGAACGCGAGTGTGTCCAGCGCCCCTGAGCAGATCTGCGCCGCGTCGATAAGGTCGCTCGACGCCGCTCGCACCTTGTTGGTGCGGCGGAGGACTGATTTGGCCGAGTGATGCATGCCACGAACGGATTCGCGGGCGTGCTGCACGAAAACCTCCACCTCACGAACGTCTAAGAGAGGCGTATACTCCTCCTTGATCCGATCGATTCGAGTCTCTGCCTTGCGTTTACTACGCTCAGCTAACATCTCTTGGTCGATATCGGGCACGAGGAAGAACTCCCAAACCATCTCGTGAGTTGAGAAGGTTGGGTGGAGGAGTAGGATCTTGAGGAAGCTGTCAAGCCGTAATTGGATGTCCCTGAGAATGGCTCGCGAAGGTTTGGACGGAATGAGGAAAGGCGTTGCGAATCCAGTGACCGCCGGTATCCAGGAAGCTGGGTTCTCCTGAGACAGCCATTTTGCAAGGTTCTCAAAATCCGCTAAGGACCGGCGACACGTTGTGACAGTGATGGAATTGCTGTCATTCGGCGCTCCTGACTTCAGCACCATCCTGATTGTACCGTCCTCAACGAAGTAGGACCGTACAACGGTGGTGGTGCGGCCATTGACACCGGAAGGACTCGACAGGAGCACCAGGTCATCGATCCGATTGCGCACTTCGTCATCCTTGGCCAGCTCAACCGCTGTCAAACCCCGTGTGTCCTTCACATTGAGATCCACTCTGGGATCACCAAACAGAACTCGAACAAGGTCTGTACGTCCGTATTTGCTGGCAACCATCAGAGGCGTGAATTGCTTGTCGTTCGCAGCATTGGCATCTGAATCGCAGTGGTACAGCAGCTTCAGCGCCAGATGCGGGTCATTAACGATGTGAAGCAGAGTATTCCCTTTGGCGTCGATATGGTCGTCCAGATGAAGCAGCTGGCCATCGCCCTGTGCTCTCGTCGCCGCTGCTACGCCAGCCTCTACCATAGAGCGATACTCTTGGTGATCGTAGGACCTGCAAAGCGCGAACAGCGGTGTTTGGCCATTTTTGTCCTTCAACGTCCACGGGACAAGGTGTCCGATCCGGGGAATCAGCAACGGTAGGTTGAAGAGATAGTGCCCTGCACATCTACCCTGAGAATCCTGCTGCGCGATGTACTCAGCCAAAGCGTGCTCGCTGTGCATATTGTGCGCGAAATACTCCAAGAGTATGTTCACCATTCCTGTGTTCGACTGCTGGATTGCGGCACTCAGCAAAGTGGTACCATCGTTGTTGCAATCAGAGATGACCTCTTCGAAGGGGTAGAACTCGTCAAGACTCAAGAGATACTTGAGCGACTTTTCTTGCCCACTATCGACAGCCATCATCAGAACTGACTGGCCAGTCCGATCTTGTGTGTGGGCGACCTTCTCGATCGAAGCATCCCCTTCAAGACCGCTGCCCGTAGAGATGACAGTATCACTTCGCGACAAGAACGATATCGCAGAAGAGCTTGAATTGCTCCGCGGTTGCATTGACACGCGTTTCTTGATCTTCGGCCTCTGCTCCGGCGGCGGCGTTTGAGCTCTTTGGAAAGGAAAGACGTGTGCTAACGACCCGGATGGAGAGGTTCCATTTGGCGTCTGATCGGCGGGCTGAACCGCACCACCCATCCAATCATCAACACTGCGTCCGTACAAGGACTTGTTCTGCAGTTCAGACCATGCAGAATCAACGTGCGGAACCGTGTCGTCGGTATTTTCCGGCTCTTCTTCCATGCTGCCGTCCGCGGCGGATTTCTTGCCAGGTTCCAGGATGTTTCGGATGCCCGCAAGATCTCCATTTTTCGTGGCTTGCCACAGCTGCCTGTTCTTTTTGCTCGCTCTGCGCAGACCGTGCGAATCTCTCGCAAGGTAGGACAAAACGGCCTCGAACGTGCTCAAGGCGTAGCCCATCTCTCCACTCTCGACATCATCGATAAAAATGAAATGTCGCATATACGACAACCGTGCTTGAAGATGTCGGACGGAGGAGCGAATGACCACTACCAAAAGCAGGGAAACCAGGGTGTCCGCATTGATGGTCAGCATGGCATCATGCTTCTCGGATTGGGAATCGGAAGATGTGCCGGCCCGCGAGGACGGTTCCTTCGCGGGCTCTGGCATGGTGATAAGCTTCTGTGTAGCAAGCAAAACATCCAGCATTTCCTGGGGGCTTCCGGCGGAGCCCATCTTTTTAAAGATTTCAACTCCTTTCGCCAAGCGCGCTGCTAGCTCCAACTTGCCCTGCTGTCCGTTTTCTATGGGTATACCAACTTGCGAGATATCCAAATCCTGCATTTGTCGCACCCGCGACTCGAGCTCAAGATCGTCGAAACGCCGCACCGTGCAGATCCTTGGAAATAGGATCGACTCATGGGCTTGCTCGCAGACGTATCGCTCGATCATGCGCTCCACAATGGGGCCAGTCAAATCGGTAGTTGCGCCCAAGTTCGACAACTGCTGCTTATCCACCATCTGGAAGAGATCGATGGCAGCAGTGACTGCAGTCTCCAGGGATCGGCGCATAATATCCTCCTCGTCATATATTTCCAACGTGGAAGGCATTTTCGTGCTTCCGTTAGATAGGGTGCTGTGTAACGAAAGCGGCAAGCTCACTCCGGAGGAAATAGAACTGCGCCGGCTGGAAAGGCTAGCCGGTTTCGAGTTTGGCACGGGAGGGAGAGGCTTTTCAAATTCTTTGCCGAACTCTTTGAACAGGCGCTCCAAACCTGGCTGCATTTGCCTCGCGATCATTGGAAACATGTTCAAGAGCTCAGCAAAGGATTTAACCTCCCTCTTCCGCGGCATGGAAGCAGTATTCGAACTCGTCCCATTCGCTGGCTCGGCTGGCGGCGGTGGCTTCGGCGGTGCATCGGGCACGGCAGGGACTATTGGTATGGATTCGTACACCCCGATCAGCGGCCTCGATATGTAGTACACCAGCCAGGGTTGGGCGTCGAAACTGTCCGGATAATAGATTATGTCGTGCAGAAGCTGTGCCTGGTTGAGTGATTTGAAGCCTGCCCATGTCAGCGCGCCATCGCGCAGCTCGGAAGAACTGGTGGAAGCGCACCCTTATTGCTGTAAACAAAAGTGTCCTTGATTATCACCGTACGCCCATTTGCGGTGGTGTACTGTTTCGCCTTCCCCCTACTTTCGCGAAATGACGTATCTTTGCCATTGGCGCCTGGCGGGATGCCGCCGGGTACGCGCAGGACATGGCTCGCGAGGAACTCCTCGGAGCCGGATAGGTCGGCGTACAAGGCATGGCTCTCGCGGTCTCTGGCGTTTAGGAGGACGTCTGTGGTGGGGACGAGGAGTACCTGCGACGGCTACGGTCAGTATCGCGCGGTCGCATGGAGTCAGACGGGTCGCATACGTGATGTTGCGCGGGGGAGCACTGGCCCGGGAGAGTGCTGCGGAAGAAGGCGCGCAGAAATGGGTTTAGAGGTTGCATTCAATCGACATTGAGCGCTCGCTGGGGAGAGGTCTACGAGCAAGGCGCATAAGCCCTTGCGTGCGAGGAGCCGGTCCAACCGGTCCGAGAGGCCTGGTAGCGCGCGTTGAGGGTTGTGTGGCTTGCTAACGCAGGATGAAGAAACGGCGAGAGTTGCGGCGGATGCGAAGAGCTTTAAGGCGCAATGGGGGTCGGCGGCGGGCAGAAGTGCTAGCGCGTGTGACGGCGGTGGGAGCGACTGGTGGAGCAGAGCCGGAGTTGAAGTGCGGAGCGAGAGCGCGCAGGCAGCAGGGTGGTTTCTTGTGTTCAGGAGCAGCAGAGTGTCGATGGCTTGTGACGAAGCTTGCCATGGCGCGGACGGTGCCCGGCGCGCATCTTGGAGCTTGGTCTCACTGCAAACCCCTAGTCTGCGCTTATCTGCTAGCGCGCCGTGCCGGGCCGTGCGGCCTTCTCGTTCTGCCGCCGTCTCCGCCGCCCATCACACCGGCTGACTGAAGAATTTGGCCCTCCCGACCTTCTTCCGCAGAGACATATTGCACCCTAATTGGGCGGGTAGTTGAATCCAATGTCCGGATGTATTTGTCTCAAGTTTAAAACTCACATCTACATCCAGGCATATTGCTTCGACTGCCCACGTGGGCCTTCGAAGCTTCTTGCTTAAAGCTCTATTCTCATTCCAAGAAATGAATTGATGGCTTGATCCTCGCTCACTCGGGTATGCTCAAAGAAAGCCGCGCGCCAGGGAAAGACAAAAATGCAGCACGCCTCCCGCCAGTAAATGCTCTGGTTGCCCCTCTCCAGTAACACCAGTCCATCCAGAAAAAGCGAGCATCCAATAACTCCCATCCATCGCCCTCGCCAATAAAACTCATCCTCTACTTTTCCTCTCTCCGCCTTGCTCTCGTCTTCTTGCCTTGTACCACCCCTTCCTCTTCCTCTTCCTCTTTGCCTTTAACCAAGTCTTCCGTCAGGCCCCATTCTTCCTTGTCGACCCAATCCTCGCCATCACTCATCTCTCCAACGTGGCCTTCCGCCTTGGCCCACTTCAGCACCATCTTGCGCTTACGGTCCGCCTGCATCAACCCCGTATAAAGCGCGCGTGTCTGCCTGACAACTTCCTCCTGCTTTTGGATGTACATGAGCAGCCATGTGCGTGTATCCTCCGCCTCGTTTTGCGGAAGACCCATGTCGCGGTCGACGAGGTTCTCGACGGGGAACTGGAATAAAGGATGGACCGGCGGCTCTGCAGGCGACTCGGGGGATAGCGTACGCGGGGATCCCGGCGCCGAAGATGGTTGCGAGTTCGCACGGCGTTGCGCGCGGGTCGTCATGCGGTGTGACGTTTGCTGGCTGTTGCTGTCTTCGCCGTCGTCCGAATGCGCGTCGTTGCCGCCATCCTCTGCCGTCCCATTGGCCATGTCAACTTGCATCTTGTCCCCGGCGCTCTCTGCAGATGCGCCCTGATCCTCGTCCTTGAGACCATCGTCGTTCGCCGCTTGTCGGCCCCCCTCTGTACCGTTTTGTCGAGTGCCATTTTGGTGGGGAACCTGGCCTGACGCGTCCGAACTTGGGTCTGGGTGGGTGCCGTTCGATTGAGCATTGTGCTGAGGCTCGGTTTGCTGGGTCAATTCACCCCTCGTCGAACCACTGTCTTGCGCCTCGGTGCCATTTTCCATAGGAACATCGTTGTCTCCGGTTGGTGCTTGAGGCTCCGCCTGCTGGACGCCCGCTGGCTGAGAGGCCTCTTGCATGTTGGTGTCTTCTGACGCTTTGATAGGGTCCTCCCAGCTCGCGCCTTGCCGCTCGGCGTTGTCCGCATCCAGAGACCCCACAGACGCCGAAGCAGCGGCGGCAACAAGAGCACTCCCCTCGTTTAGGACCTCTCTATCATATTCTGTTTCCATCAAGCCTACCGGAAGCCATGTATCGTCACCGAGAAGCTTCGCCATGATAGCTTTTGCCCGCCAAAGACTCTTTTCTTCCCTCTGCAGAACTTCGCGTGAATTGTTCGCCAGTTCGGTGATATGGTTCGAGTAGTACGGTATGGACATGGAAGGGTGCGTCGCCAGGTCGGCAGCGGATGTCAAAGGCGCGAGGAGCTCTGAAACCTAGTCAGCCCGGGCTGTCTTGTCAGCCCATAGTGCGAATACGCACCCTCTAGTCTGATATCTCCATACGGATTGTCCCCGGCCAGTGAGCCATCAATAGACTCATCATCGTCAATGTCTTCGATCTCGTCGCCATCTTCGTCAATTAGAGGGGGGTTGCGAGCTATGATGTGCCGTTTGTAGCCGGCATGGTCGATTTTGGGCTGGCGACTTGTTAAAAGTAGCTCAATGAGCCGTGCGGAGCTCAGGCCTGCAGCGCACCTTTTTGTAGATGAAGCGGCCGTTGTCCAGAATTGAGTGGGATCGCGGAGCCTTGCGCTTGAGCTTGTGCTGGACAGAGCGAGCGATCTCGGCGGCGGAGTCGTCCTCGTCAGAAGCTGCGTTTCGCGGCGAGCGTCAGGACGGCAAACTTTCGAGGCACGCGCGGGAGGGGCTGACCATCATATCGCGCGACGGCTTTCTTCATGCCAACGATGGCCTCGGCGAAGACGAACTGCTGGCCAGCCATGGCGGCGTGGGGGCGCGGGAGCGGCGCGCAGCGGTCGGCGAGGAAATGCAGCGAAAGCGCGCGAGGCCGGGGGGCCAGCACTGGAGTAGGACGGGCCAGGGACGCGTTTGGGCGAGCGGTAGGCGAAGAGGGTAGGCGAAAGCGCGTTGTGGGGTGTAGAAGCGGAGAGCAGAACTGAGATCGGAGTTTGGCACGGCCGGAGGAGCGCGCCTTTGCGCGGCCAGGGTATCATCTGGCGTCACTCGTCCAGCAACAAGCTACCCGTCCGCCCACACAAACCCCAGTTCCGCGATTCGTCTTCGCGGGGGAGCCGTGCTCCTGCCCAGCACCGCCCAAGCCAAACCCGAGCGTTGCTGAGTGCCTCTGCTGCTCTTTCTCGCGAACCCGTGCGCTGCTCTATGTCTGTCGGCCGCCGATCCTCAACATGGACGTCTATCCTCCGCAGTACATCGAGCACAACCTGCCCTTCGTCGTCCTCTCCGGCCTGGGCGAGACTCCGTCCTACGATTCTGGATACGAGCCCCATCCGCTGCTGAAAGGACACGGCATCGAGATTGACTCAGCCGTGCCGGTTGTGACGGGCGAACGAGTCGACCATTTGCGCCAGGAATTCCTCAGCGCAGATGCAAGAGACGCGCCATGGAATAACCTGCGGACAAGGACACGGAACGATCATATTGGGTTCAGACTGAAGGCTGTCGGGAGGGTAGGTTAGGGACACCAGTGTCCTCCGTCCCCCGCAATGCAGGCTTACAGAAATACAGGGCTACGTACTGCCTCCCCGCAAAGCGCAACCTCCCCAGATCTCCCCCGATGAGACTCCTCCTGGCTCTCCGCTCCCCGCTAATGGCCAACGATGGGTCCTGCATTCGCCCATATCCCCGCTTTCCCCCGGCTCGCCCACTTTCCCCGACGGCGTTATGACACCTCTCTGGATTGCTAAACATCAGAACCATATACCCTCAGTCTTCATCTCCTTCTTCGACTTCACCTCCGAGCCTGGCAGAGATACCTTGAACGACAACCAGCTTAAGGCAGAGATCAACCGCATAAAAGCCATCTTCCATTCCTCTGGATACAAGACACATTATGCCGTCGTTCTTATGAGTGATCGGTCCATCTTCGAAGCGCCAGACATCGAGGAACGGCTTGCGAACATTCGGCGAACCACCGGACTTGACCCCAAGAATGCTCTCTTTTTCCTGCCCGCCAATACATCTCGTGCAGAACTGGCCGCTTTCGTTCAGTCCGTCTTGACCACCTTGCAACCTCTTTGTGTAGAATATTACCGCGACCTGTCCAAGCATGCGAGGCGGAAGAAGAACCGCAACAGCGTTCCGGCGCCAACGGCAGCGCCCACCCGGGGAGCCTCTCATCCTCTTTCCGGCCCGGGCTGGAGCGTGAGATACGACTTCAAGCTCGGAGTATTTGCTGAATTCCGACAAGAGATGGACGCGGCATGCAGACATTACAGCTTCGCCATCGATGCTCTCTTGGATGGTGATGGAGTGTTTGAAACAACAGCCAGCTGGTCACCGCGCTGGGATGACACTCGACTGCTTGCCGACGGTATCGCAATACGCATAGTAAGGTGCTTGATGTGGAACAACGGGCCTACATCTGCAGTGCAGTCTTGGCAGAACTACAAGGACCGAATGCGTGACCTCCTTGACCGGCGTGGCAAAGGTACTGCCAATTACGGTTGGCAGGCCTGGGAATCGAGATGGGCTAGGGTTATGGCGGAGATCATCCAAAGAGTGGACCCACCGATCTTCGCCATCGTTGGCTCGCCTGAGTTTCCTGATGCTCTGCCAGAGAGGAAAGCTATTTACTCACCGCCGGAGAAAGCGTTCCCCGTTGGCGAGAGGCTGGCCCCGTGGCATCTAGTTCACCATCCGGGATATTGGTTCAGAGTTTCTGCGGAAAGGGCCATTTCTAGGCGAAGACTGGCGGAGGAACTCCCAGAGGAAGATCGTCTGCCTCCCGGAATGTCTCCTGCGACAAAGGTCGCAAACAGATTCGCTACGTATGACACCTATCTGGTACCTGAGCCACACGTTGAATACCCTATCCCTGACAAGGGTGGCGAGGGATTTGATCACACTGGTGAAGTCGTGGATTTGTTCAACAAAGCGGTTGGGGAGTTCCACGCTCGAGGCCAACAACGATTTGTCGACAAACTTCAGTTGGACATGGGTAAAGAGCTTATCCACGCGGCGAGGTACAGCGACGCCTTGAGCGCTCTAAAGCCACTATGGGAGGGCATGAGCTGGCGCAACGAAAGGTGGTGGACGCTTGTCTCGGATGTCGCATGGGCATTGAACGACTGCGCAGAGAAATGCTCAGACGAGGAGTCCTTTCTGGTGACTGAATTCGAGTTGCAAAGTCGCTGTAAGTGGCTCATCAAGTCGTGGTATCATGGTAAACCTACTCACATGGCATCTAGTATTACGTCCAAAGCAGGGCAAGACCTATGATTTCATGACTTGTCTGGACTCCTTTGCTCAGGCTGAAGGAGCAGAGAAGCCTCGCGTCACCTTGAGAGCCCAGGATGTTTTGTCGTGCAGTAAGGATTTCCACTTCGCCGATTTGATCAGCTCTGACATTTTGCAGTCTCCATCACGGCTGAATTCGCTGTAGTCGAGGGGCATGTCGCCGAACCAATCCTGACGCAGATCGCCGTGAGATCCAATGCCCATAAAGGTTCAAAGCCAATCACCCTAGACAACCTTACGGTAGCATTCACTGGCTCTCTTGGCTCGATCAAGCTACAACACCAGCAGAATGAGAGCGGGCCGTCACCGCTCACAGAGCTTGCCTTGGCAGAGGATGAAGAACACAAAGCCGGAAACATACCAAGCTTCAAGGGCAGTGCCGATCTGACTTTCTCCGCTGGCGAGGTCAGAGTGTTCACTTTTCCAATTACCTTCAAGGAGGCCGGGGAAGTCTATGTCGAGAGTGCCACGTTTGAGATAGACACCGACAGATTCCACCTCACATACACTACGGAATCGCCACAGGAGAACACGGAGCCCATTTGGTGGGTCATGGGGAAGAACGACTTGAAGACGAAAAGGCTGGGCAGGATCATGGACGATCCGGCCATCAAGGTCTTGCCAAAACCACCGAAGATGGAAATCCGGCTACCCAACCTGCAGAAGCGATACTACGCCACCGAGCTTATCATTCTGGAGCTGGAAATCGAGAATGGTGAAGACGAAGAAGCGGAAGCGGCTCTTGAGTTCGTCTTGATGGACCAGCAGAAGAACCCGCTCGAATTCAGGTGGCTTGTCTCAGATGCTGATGCAGCGAGCGAGGAGGAGCAGTCTGATAAATCTGTCCATGCCATTGGGAAAATGGAACCAGGAGCGAAACGCACGCAAAGTATTCGCTTCACGGCACCTATCGATTCAGGAGAGGTGTTGTTTGACGCCAAGGTCATCTACCATGTCATTAGCGACCCGGAAGTGCCCATCTCGAAGACAATCGTCGGAGAGCTTGCCATCATAGATCCTTTCGAGGCTACCTACGATTTCACACCTCAAGTCCACCCGGATCCCTGGCCGAGTTTCTTCCACATAGACGATACACAACTGCCAGAAGCATCTACGGACCCGGCTACGGTGAGGGCATTTGGCTTGACGGCGAGATATCTTATGAACGTCAGAATCGGCTCTTACGCAGAAGAAGACCTTGTAATCCACGACGCAGACCTCACTATCCACGAGATCGCAGGCGGTGCCATAGCCAGCATAACCAAAAAGACGGTCGGCGAGGCCGAGGTCGACATAGCACCGCAAGCAGTCCAGCTCCGCACGTTCTGCGTCGACGTACAGAAGATAGCGCTCGAGGACCGGCGGTCGTCAGCGCTGGCGACGAGCATCAGCGTAACGTGGCGCCGCAAGAAGCCCATGTCGCAGCATCCGGAGGCTTCGAGCAGCGTGCGCACCGTCATCGCCAACCCGCGCCTCATCGCGGCCAATAGCGAGCCGCGCGTGCTCGCGTCAGCGCGGCCGTCGACGCAGTTGCCTACGCTCATCCATCTCGACTACACGCTCGAGAACCCGACGATGCACTTCTTGACGTTTGACGTGAGCATGGAGGCCAGCGAAGAGTTCGCGTTTAGCGGACCGAAGCTCACGGCGCTCCATGTGCTGCCGCACAGCAGGCAGACGGTGAGGTATAACGTGCTGCCCCTGGTCAAGGGCGCGTGGATCTACCCGCAGCTCAGGGTGCAGGACCGCTACTTCAACAAGATCCTCAAGCCTGCGCCGACTGAAGGCATGCGCCAGGATAAACGGGGCATCGCGGTTTGGGCTGACGTTGCAGAGGAGGAAAGCGGCGAGAAGTGAAGGTGGTGAGTCAAGACTAGACTACGGGATGCTTGAAATGTGTGTATGACTGTATGGCCCCTTGTACTAGACGAGGAAACCTAGGGTAGAAACGAATTCGGATGGGATTGGGTGCACATGTTCTCGTCAGCTGAACGGAGATGGGGTTCTCCGTTGCTGAGACATGCGGGTCATCCCGGAGACCCTGCGAGCGATGACCGGAGGTCTAGCTCTGTGCATGCGACCATTGCAATGAATCGATGCATACACGGAGTGCGTAGGCTTCCCCGACATGCGCCGTGCAGTCGCAGGAAGCTCGTGCTCGCTGCGTGCGGGACCCTTGCCCTGCTCGGCGACCCAAGCTCCCGCATCCGCGGCGATCCCGGATGCCGCAAAATGACGCAGACGACAGGCGAAGTTCCGCGGCTACACCTTGTCTCTGTCTCTATCACCAATCTTTTCCCTTCAAAACTTCCCGAACCCCCGTCGCTTGCCCGCCATGTCTTCCTGATTGAAACATCTCACACATTTTCTCACGCATTCGTCGAATTTTTGATACCCTCGACGAAGCTCCAATTGAGTGAGAGTTTTCTTTTCCTAGCGGGCTGCTTAATGCAACCACGGCAATGTCAGATGGCGGCCAATCGCGCTCGTCGTCTTCCTGTAAGTCACGATCGCCTCCTATGTATTGACATGGAGGACCAGAGAAAGCATTTCACCCCTCAATTGCTCTCCTTCCCCGTTCACACCCCCGCTTCGAAAAAGAATCAAAAGTTCCCAATCCACTGACCACGACATGCGAACCAGTCCACTTCCTCGCCGGCCTCTCGTCAGGCGTCCTCTCGGCGGTACTGCTGCAGCCGGCGGACCTGCTGAAGACGCGCGTGCAGCAGTCGCGCAGCACGACCCTCTCCGCCACCCTCTCGGGCATCCTGCGCGGGCCGGACCCGGTGCGCTCGCTCTGGCGCGGAACGGTTCCCTCAGCGCTACGCACCGGCTTCGGCAGCGCGCTCTACTTCACGACGCTCAACGCGCTGCGCACCAGCGTCGCCAAGTCCGAGGCTCTAATACACCACAACAGCACAAGCGCCACCGGACAAACCCCACAACAACAACATGGTAGCGGAACATCAAGTAGTAGCTTGGTCAAGCTGTCGCGCCTGGGCAACCTGATGACGGGCGCGGTGGCGCGGGCGTCGGCGGGCTTCGTCATGATGCCGGTGACGGTCATCAAGGTGAGGTTCGAGAGCAGCTACTACGCGTACCGCTCGCTGTGGGCAGCCGTGGCGGACATCCGCAAGACGCACGGCGTGCGCGGCTTCTTCGCCGGCTTCGGCGCCACCGCCGTGCGCGACGCGCCCTACGCCGGCCTGTACGTGCTGTTCTACGAGGAGAGCAAGAAGCGGCTGGGCAAGATGGCCGGATTGGCCGCTGCGGGCGGCAACAAGGACGGCACGAATACGGCTGCCATGGGCACCAGCGCCGCTGCGGCGGTCAACTTCGCGTCTGGTGTTGTTGCTGCGGGATTGGGAACCGCCCTGACGAATCCGTTTGATGCGATCAAGACGCGCTTGCAGCTGCTGCCCGATCGATATTCGAATATGGCGCATGCGGCGAGGCTGATGCTGAGGGAGGAGGGCGTGCGCAGCTTGTTTGATGGGTTGGGCTTGCGCATGGCGCGCAAGGCGCTTAGCTCGGCGTTGGCATGGACGCTGTATGAGGAGCTAATTCGGCGGGCAGAGAGGAGATTTGTCAAAAGCGAGGCGGTCATGAAAGGGTGAGCATGGTCACGGCCAAACAGCATATTTTCATAGTGAGAAACGGACGTGGAGGGAAGGAAATGGGGATACGGCGTTTTGTGGGAAAGGCGATACAAACCAACTCTGGGCGGACAAGGGTTCTGTGGATGGGTTTTTGCCGTGCTGGATCACCGCTTGCTTTTAAAGGCATGTGCATCTCTGTACATTACTACTCAACTCCGTGAGCGCAACAAAACTAGCGCTAGTTACTCTCTAGTGAATTCACATGGGACTTGGCGTTCAGGGTCTAGTAAAGCAAATTTTTTAGATTGAAAAGGCCTGTTCTTGCTCTTTATCTATCTTTATTGTACGCCTTAAATGATGCTGCCTGCCACCGTCTTACTCGTCTAGCTTTCATAAAGCACATGTTGAACTCTCCTATGAAAATCCAATATATCCTGTTCATCCCCGATAAAGCACTGCTCTTCTCTTCAATACCCAGATCAACCTTAGTAATGCATGCCAGTAGAATCCAATTTATTTGAACCGACGCACTCTTCACAAGTGCTTCTTGCCGCCGTTAGCACTGCCGTTAAGCTGGTAAGGTTTGTCCGTCTTGACGATGAGCGGCATGTGGAAGTAGCTCGGCCAGACAAGCTTGTACTCGTCTTGCCTGCCGTTCAGGCAGTGACGAAGCCAGACGCCCCACACGATGTAAAAGTAGGCACCAATACCGGTCATGAGGTGCCTGTAAGCAGTTAGCTGGCCTGTATCTGCACGCCTCTCGTACGATACTCGCAAGTGAAAAAAAAAAAAAAAAGCAACGACCGAGCGAAGCCCGAACAGCTGGCCCGGGGAGGGGAAGCACTTACCACCAACCGTGGCCTTCCAGGAAGATGCCCCACGGCAAGCCGACGTCCCTCCTCCAGCGGCGAAGGGTGCCGCAGAACTCGTTGTCAAGAGTCCAGATAGCGAAACCACCGAGGAAGATGCTCAGGCCGGATCCAATCATGATCCACATGGACCGCAGAATCTCAGTGTCACGCGCATCCCTGCGCTTCTGCTCCTCGGCGGGGGGTAGCGACGAGGCCTTGGCACTGCCGTTCGTCGCGGTCGCCGCCTTCCCCGCCGCCTTCTCCTTTCCCTTGAGCTTGGGGCGCAGGCGCACCTCCATGATGTACATGCTGCGCAGCAGGACGATGGCGGTGAGCAGGGCGTACATGTTCTGGTGGAAGACGGGGTCCTGCAGGTAGTGGTAGTAGCCGGTGATGAAGGCGGCGAGGGCGACGAGGAAGACGCCGAGGGCCTGGGCGTAGGCGCGCGAGCGGCCGTAGGAGAAGGTGGCGTAGAACATGAGGCAGGTCGTGTAGATCATGGACAGCTCGTCGACCAGCTGCATGGGGTACTTGAGGGTGCTGTGGAAGAGGAAGCTGCCCGTGCCGACGATGAGGTAGCCGACAAAGGTGACGAGGAAGATGCCGTCATGGTCGTTGCGCAGGCAGTTGTTGATGCCCTTGAAGGCCAGGTAGATGAAGAGCAGGTTGGTCAGCGTGTTGATGATCTCGGCGGCGTAGACGGTTGCGTAGTAGTCCTGTCGCGCGAAGGGTTGTTAGCTACAGAGTTGCACGGCGCTGCGTTGTTGTTCGGCTTGCAACAGCGGGGCAGTGCCATTCGCGGAGCTGGGGTCGTCTTCCAGGTGCACTCTGCATGTTTGGTTGCTGCATCGTTTCGCACTGGCATAGGACTGCAGCTCCGGCGAATGGCAGGCCTACTGAGAGCTGCTGCGTGGGTAAGGTTGCTTGCCTCCTCGCACCAGTTGAGCGTGCTTGTGACCGGGCTCCAGAAGCCATCTTGCGGGCTCGGATAGGGGATGGAGGGAAGCCAGTCGGGCATTGTTGCACAGCAATCTGGGGAGCAAACGACCGGCGTGTGGGACTGAGGAGGGGTGGAGGCAGGAAAGCTGCAGTGGACCGCGGATGTGGCGGATACCTAGGCGATGTGGACTATACAGAGAGCACCATTTGTCATCGTCGTGCGGGAGCAGAGATTCTTCTGTTCTCAGCGGACGCGCGTGCCCTCAGAGCCTCACAGGCGCGCAAAACGAACCTAGCTCGCGGTCTTGGTGGCTGTTCCGTCGCGGCGGGCACGCGCGATGCGTGCCGTCATCATCGCCTTGGCGCGACTGCCCGCGGCGACCGCTCGCAGACGCGCGCCTTGGCGGCGGGAGCTGCGCGCACTGATGAGAGCGCCGTCGCGACTCCACACCACCGCCGCCCATCTGCAGCTCGGCCCGAGTGTAATTCCACCCGCCTGAGCTCTCTCCGCGACCGCGCGACCTGTCCCTCCAGCGCCTCAGCTCCGCGTCAGCCCGCACCCCGCGCCCCGCAATCAATCATGTCCATTCCCAACGAGGCCCTGCAGAAGGTGAGCCCGCCGAATGCGGACCTTCACCGACACCGACCTTTCTAACCCCCGCCAAGCTTCTGCAGGAGATTGAGCAGAAGGCTGCCTTCTCCCAGCAACAAATCACCATCGTCAAGGCCCAGATGACGGCCAAGGCCCGCGAGCAGCGCATGCTGCAGCTTACCTCCAGCGAGGTTGACTCGCTGCCGAAGGATACGAATGTCTACGAGGGCGTCGGCAAAATGTAAGCACATTTGCCCCTTTAATATTATCTTGCCACGTTCTTGTGATGTTCACGCGTTTCCCTCAGGTTTGTGTGGAGCCCGGTGGAGGATGTGAAGAAGCGTCTGGCTTCGGAGAGCGAAGAGTTGAAGTCGGACACGTCCAACCTGGAGAAGAAGCTCCACTACTTGGAGACGACGTACAAAAATAGCCGCGACAACCTCGAGCAGCTGTTCAAGACTGGTCCCAAATGAGCAAAGAAAAAAAGAAACGAAACAGCCAGGGGGCGGCGCGGGTAGGGCAGACTGTGCCGCCCTCAGCACCACGGGCGGCATTCGCATTAAGAAAAAGGATTGGATGTATAGCCGCGAAGGCGAACCCGAGACGAGCGGCCCACTATTTTCCACGCGTCAATTTGTATCTCTGCAACGGACGAAAGATGGGATTTTGCAGATTGGTGCAACCCATGAGCCTGCCGCTTCTGGCCCCCACGACTAACTGACGGCCGGCTTGCTGCCGCCTTAATGGGTGGCGGGGTTGACGACGCTAGGCCCGGGCCAGGCCTTCAGCAGGGAAGTAGTAATAATAGCATCCAGCGATGATGAGTCTTCCTTTGAGTTTCAGTGAACCGCAGCGTGGCAGAAGTGGATGGAAGAGTGCTAAGCTAATGGTGCAGACAGACGGCGGCTTGCGAAACAACACTAGGCTTCCCGAAACATGCAGGTCGGCAAGCTTTGTGCTGCGAAAGCGGGATGCAAGTGCGAAGAGCCGCGCGACGATAAAGCCGATTTCCAAAGGCCGCTAGCGGAGGATGTTGGTGGCGTCTATTCCCAGCCTCTGCCCCGCGCCGCCGCCCGTCAGCACCCGATTCAGCGCAAAAGCCCACAGCTTACTACATGTCAAACGCGCATCATGCGTGCCATGATCCGGGTGCCGCCGCGGCTGTTGGCACCAAGGCCAGGGCAGCGGCAAGCTCAGCCTTTTGGTCGGGCCTGCACGTTCGCGGTTGGCCCAAGCTTCCACGGAGTGAGCGTCGATGATAAAAGCACTGCTGCTGCTTTTCAGCCCCCAAGGCTTCCACAGCCTAGTACTTCAGCTCACGGAGTTAGAGAAAAGCCACCCGAGTCAGCTGGCTTTCATATTCTCTGTCTCGCCTCGTTCCCTCGCACCCCTCCCCAGCATCAGTTGCGCGCGTCACGCCGTGCTCGCTTCCCAGGCGTGTGACCCATTTCAGTTACCACCACAGCCGACTTGCCTCTCACACCCGCTCTGCTGCCTGTTTGCTACCTGCCCTGGCCCCACTCAGCGCGCCGCTGTCGCCTAGTTGCCATCAACCGTTGCGTTCGCGCTATTCCTTCCCACGACCCTTCCGTACCGTTGTCTGTCTTTGGCATCACGCCTGCCTACTTTTCTCTATTCCCACAGAAAATACTCCGTACCTGCAGCAAGGCAACCGCACCCCCCTGTGACTTCAATCACCATGCCGCGGGGTTGGGACGATGAGTTTTACTACTCGGACGAGCGCTACGGCGCTCGACACGTACCGCCTGGAGGCATAGCCCGCGACCCCTTCCGCCACAGCGGAGGACTTCTCGATCCCGGCGCCGCTCACCATCGGTACGCAAGCGGCATCCATCGCTCTCACTCTACCGGGTCGCGCGGCAGTCCTCGCGGCGCAGGTACCCCGAACATCCACATATACAACAATATCGACCAGGATATGCACCCGCGCATGGACGCGCGCGCATCGCAGCGCACGCCGAGCGCCTCTCCTCGCGGCCGCCCCCTCGTGCTCGACGACGAGTGGGCGCTCGAGGACGACTTCCGCATCCAGGCGCGGTCGAGGTCGCGCGGTCGCCCAGGCTTCGCTGAACACTTCCACCACCACGATCACTTCGGCGCTCCCGTGCCTCCAGCCGCCGCATCGCCCAGCCCGGACTACCGCGCGGTGCAGCTGGCGCTGAGCGAGGAGCGGGCGCGCGAGATGGAGGCGCGGCTGCAGCGCGAGCAGCAGGAGGAGTTCCTGCGCAAGGACATGGAGCTCAAGTACATGCGGCAGCAGCAGGAGCGCGAGGAGGAGGAGGCGCTGTTCCAGAAGCGGCTGAAGCTCAAGATGCTCAAGGATAAGCAGGAGCGCGACGAGGAAGAGGAGCGGCTGAAGCGCGAGGAGGAGCGCATCCGCGAGAAGTACGAGCGCAAGCGGCTGGAGGATGAGCGCAAGCGCCAGAAGGAGGAAGATGAGATCAAGGAGCTGAAGAAGCGCGCGGTGCAGGAGGAGAAGGAGCGCGCTGCTAAGGAGGCCGCGGCCAAGAAGGCGGCGGCTGAGGAGTACAGGTTGAAGATGGAGAAGGAGGCGAAGGAGGCGGAGGAGGAGCGCAAGCGCATCATCGCCGAATTTGAGAAGAAGAAGATGGATGATATGAAGAAGAAGCACGAGCAGGAGCAGGCACTGATTGCGCGGCTGAAGCAACAGGAGGAGGACAAGAAGAAGAAGGAGAAGGCGGAATGGGAAGAGTTCGAGCGCAAGCAGAAGGAGAAGCAGGAGAAGGCGGCGGCGGAGAAGAAGAAGAAGGAAGAGGAGTTTGAGGCCGACATGCGCAAGCGCCTCTCCCAGTTCGGCTTCCAGGAGAACCAGATCCAGGCCATGATTAAGCCCGAGAAGGCCCACGAGCTGCCCGTCGGCCTCAGCCCGGCCAACCCCATCGAGCAGCACCACCACCATCACCACACCCACAAGCCAACATACGTCAAGGTGCACCGCGATCACCTCGCCGTCGAGACGCTAACGTACTACGGTCTGCCGTGGGAGTGGGATAGGGTAAGTTCACGTCCGCACTACAGCAGTAACAAGAAACATTCTAACCGAGATCGAACGCAACAGACCGACACCGACTACATCATTATCCTCCGCGAGATGGACCCTCGTGAGACGGATATCCTGTTTGAGCACACGAAGCGCCTCCGCACCAAGACAACTGAGACACGCTTGCTCATCCAGGAACGTCGCGACCGCGATGGCAAGCCTGAGTACGCGTGGGTGCGCAAGCGGAGCAAGAGCAAGAGCCCGATGAGGATTCGCTCGGCCAGCAGCCCTAAGAGGACGCTGTGGTTGGCTTGATGACGTTACGACACTGAATTTGGTTTTGTTTTCACTGGAGTTCTACAGCATAATAGGACACGATTCCGGTTTTCTTTTGTTTTTCTTTCTCCTCTCTGGCTTGGTTTTCGGATACCCGGTCCCTCCTTTCCACACATTCCGTAATTTGGTTTGACGGAGATGGACGGTGAGATTGGACGGATGGGTTCTGGCGGTGTCTGGGGTCTTGGGTTTATGATGACTTATCGCGAGCTTTTCATTGCCGCGCCTTTTCCTTTCTCTCTGGTGACGATCTATTCCCCCCGATTCACGACATACATATACCTCATGTTTTCCTTTTTTTTTGTCTTAACGGTTGTTGCATAGTAAAGTCAGGCTGAGTATAGGGAATGGTAGTGGCTTTTTCTTTTACTCGTTACCTCGGCCCTCACGAGGCTTCTTGCATTATCTCTCGCAACGAGAGTGGTCGGGGAAAACACACAATCGCAGGGATAATATGTGCTCAGACGTCACGTTGCTTTGAAGAAGAACCAGCCGGTTCTGGACCCTTCCAATTATTTCCGTCTCTGCTGCCTGCTGACACTCCCTGCTGCGAGTTGACGTTATTCAGCCGCGTCACTCGGTCGCGGCAGGGAGCCTGGCGACTTGCAGGTGTTCACCCTCTCCCGTCCCTCTCCCCCACTTGCCTCTTTCGCTGCCTGGCAAAAACCCCGCTTGCGGCTTGTTCCCTTTCTCACTCTCGCCTGATTTTTTCGACCTAGGCGGCTGAAAGAAAGTTGCCTGCGGTCAGCCTCAACAAGTGCTATCGCGTCTTGATACACGTAGCCCAGCGCGGTGAGGGGGGCCGCATATTTTCGGGCATGTTGCGACAGAAGGGGAGAGTGCATTCACTCTTTTCGGATGTGTGTGTGTCGGAGTAGATTCCTGATCCTCTCCAACAGACTTCAAGCTCCACGGCAGGAACAGGTTGGGTGGGGGGGAGCAGTCCCGTCTTCTTCCTGCGAATAGAAAATACGCAGACACACCTCCTCGTGTTGGATTCGACTACAAGCGAGCGGAAGGATCTGAATGGGGAAAAGAAATTGGCTGGCCCACAATGACCCTTGCACCCGTAGTCACCTGTCACTTGGCACCAACTATTGTTGTGATGCGTTAGTTATTGTTGCTCTCGTGCCGAGCGTCATGGCGTGCTCGGCTGCCTGTGATCCGGAGTTGAGTCTGCAGGGCTGGCTGTGAGGCCGCCCCGGCTTGGGGAGAACGTGGTGAGTACGTCACTCTTCCTCGTGCTTGGAGGTTCTTGAACCTCTTATAAAAGACCACAGATAAAGTGCCGTTCTTGATGGAGCAGTGATGGCGAACAAGGTATCATACTGAGCGTAATGGTCAGAACACAGACGATTCACTAGCTATGAGTTTTGCGTTGTCTTTCGATAGACATCTCCGCATTCCGCCCAGCGTTTCCTTCGCACTTCAGGATCTCATCGCAGAGATTTAGATCAGCATCAGGTAATACTGAACTGCATCACTGAATGGTGACTGCTGCAGCCCACCATCAAATTCACTTCTTGGTGTTTGATATTGCAGAGGCGATGACGGCTGGAAGAAACCAAAAGCCGGGACGGGAAAAGTGGCTACCACTGCATTGCATGGAAAGAGACACCAGAGTGATGAAGATTTTCTAAGCTCTAGCCACGGGCATGATCCGATCTGATGATGTTTTCAAGGATTGGTCGAGACAGATGCCCTCTTTTATAGAGCCACATGGGTACCAGCGCACGTACCCCGACAGCCATGCTTCCCCTTGAACGGACCATGTAAGACGCAAGACAGCAGCTGCCAGGCGGACGTGCAGTCCTCTGAAGACGGAGTATATAAGAACTCTTCGTTTCGATTTTCGTTGATGCAAATCCACAGCGCCATAGACGCTAACGAGCTATCTAAGTGAAGCTGGCTGACTATCTGGTTGAAAACGACATGCACTGTCACTGGGTTGGCGCGTTCCGCCGCTCTCGGCTCCGTCGTGTCGCCAACAGACCGCTCGGCGTGGTGGGCGCATCTGGCGCTACCATTCGAAAGTGATGGAAGAGCCCGTCAGTTTGTCATCCTGCGGCAGGCCATCATCATCGTCATTTCATAGTGATCCGCATGGCATCTGGTCTCAAGCAGCTGCCTAGGTGAACTCAGACTTTCGAGTCTTCGCAAAGAGCCGCAATCCCACAAGTGATCTCGTTCACCCAGTCAACACCTACAAACAAGAGTGTTTGTAGGAATACATCCTTCCTGCTCACATAACATCAACCAGAAGGAAATAGAATGCAAGAAGAAACTCAATGCCAGGCGTTTCAGTTTATTAATGAAGAAGAGAGCAGAACGGCAAAGCAGAGCATGTGCCCTGACACATTCTCCCGGTGGCATTCTCAAGCCCATCACGGGACAAGCCCTGACACCTGAGCTCATCAATAGGACGCTTTCTTGCTTCATAAAAGCTATGGGATTACGGGTTCTCCTCCGTGCAAGCCGCGAAAAGCTCGTCTGAACGCCTTGGTACAGACCATCGAAGCGCAGCTACATATACTGTCCCTGGCTCTGCGAAGGCCAGAAGATTATGTGCTGAGGTGTCACTGCGTTCATTTCCATTTCGTTCTCTCCAACTTCTTGGGAACACTGGATCCCCCATCCAGGATCTCGGAGAATTGCGCCATGGCACTATCAAGTACTTCCTCTGATCTTCATCATCACCTCTCTTTGCTGCGCAGCATCAAGAAAGCGCATTTTACGGCAATTTCAAATAGGGTAAAGGCTCACGATAAATAGCACAAAAACTCCCGACAGAGCGCCAGAGTCGCGTCGGTGAGTTCCCCGTCCTTTCGCGCATTCAACGCGCCCACTACGTTGGTGGGAGGACGCCATACTCGCCCCGGGTGTTTCTTTATATCTTCTTTTCACAACCGAGGACGGAGCACAAGCTCCGAAAGCCACATGCCCTTCTCGAATCCCCGTCACTTGACATCGAGCACGCGGGGGGCATCACCGGACGGCTTGGGAAATCTCGTCTCCACGGCGCCTTAAAAGGCTGCCACCCTCCGTAGATCGTTAAGCAGCACGACACGAAGCTGAAAGACCAGATATCATCTTGGAGAAGCTTCCAGAACTATCACTGCTTGGCTCTGCTCCGGTTGAGTTATTAATCGCTGTCTTTTACCTTCTTTCCCTTTCCCAAGGGTACCAACCTACCTTCTTGTAACTTTCAACAATGCTACATAGCAGTATGTGCTCGTATTGCTGAGCCTCATCGTTCAAAGACGTTGCTGGAGCTCGGCAACGTACGCACATAAAGGATGGGTCTAAAATGGCGCACATGGATGTACTTCCTTGCTCTAGCACCCGCCGCGGAACAGCAGGGAGTGGGAATCTTTTGGTCTAGAGAACCGCAAAGTCTGCTCGCTCGGCATGAATAAGATCTGCGGTCCTCAGTGCAAGCTTCAGTGACACGAAGAAGAATGCTCAAAGCTATCGGGAGCATCTTATATACAGGCGGAGCGCAGGATCGTCATGCGCAAAGTCTTCGTCTGCTCATCTGCCTCGTGATGGAGTAGGGCGACTGAAAAAAGATCACCGGCGGCTGCGGATCACCTGGTATTCCTCGCTCACGTGTACAGCGGCGGACAAAACCTCGTCTCCGCGTGCAATGATAGGAAGGGCGAATGGGTCATACTTGCATCCGGGCGGGCGCGGCCCTAGCTGTCCTTTTGGTCTCAGAAATACTTTGCAGTACACTCCTCCTCACGCTTCTGGGATCCGTGAGGGTCGGGGAGACCGGCATCAGCATAGCCAGCTGGAAAGGTACTTGGAAGGCTGAACATATGGGGAAAGGGGATAGCGCATGCCATCACAGTTGAGGATACAGATCCGGAAGCGAGAAAAATGAGGTTGAAGACTGAAATTTTTACAAAAACCAAGCAATCGTTCTCATTCAAAGAAATATTCTATACAAATCCGAGAGTGGCCCGTTCATTAAGTGCGATCCTGAAGCCACGAAGAAAACTAAGGCTCAGGCAGGAGCTTCTCAAACTTCTCCTCTCGCCGAAAAGCATAGTCCCAGGCGGTAAATCCACGCACATCAGCAATGCCAGCGTCCACTCTCTCACCAAGCTCAACCAGAAACTCAGCTGTCTCGTAGTGCTCGTTTTGGACCGCGCATATCAAGGGAGTACACCCATCCACGTCAACCGCATTCACATCCACGACTTCCTGTGCGTAGTCTGTAAGCAGTTCCACGATGCCAACATGCCCTTCCCTCGCCGCGCACAGAAGCGGCGTCGCACCGCGCCAGCCCATGGCATCGAGATGGACCCTCCCGGGCCCAAGGCTCACGAGGGCTCGAGCGATAGTCTCGAGGCCTTTTTCCGCGGCATACGCAAGCGCCGTTTGCATGAACGCCTCCGTGCAGACGTTGACGTCGACTCTGTCCGGCGGGTAGGCCACGAGGGCTTCCACGGCTTCCAAATGGTTGTGCACCGTGGCTTCCTGCAGCGCCGTCCGGCCGGAGACGTTTGTGTGGTTGGCGTTGACCTTTTCTGGGCCGAGGTCCATGAGCAGGTTGACTATTTCAGCATGCCCATTTTGTGCCGCCAGCATGAGCGGTGTGTTGCCGAACTTGTCTTTGCGGTTGGGATTGACGGCGGGGAGGCTGGTCAGCAGCTGTACGATTTTGTAGTGTCCGAATTGTGCGGCGTAGGATAGCGGTGTTCGCCTGTTGATGTCTTTTATCGTGTCAACCGCAACTCGTCCCTGACCGTGGTGAATGAGCACATCGACCGTGTCATAGAATCCGTTTCTGGCGGCGGCAGTGAGCGGCGGGCGGCGGCGGCAATGTGTGATGGAGTTCAAGTCCACGGCGTCTGGTCTGAGGTCGATGAATAGCTGCACGACGGCATGATGTCCGTTATTGATTGCGTGGCCGAGAGGTGTTGGATAGCCGAACGCCACTCCAGAGTCAAGACGTACATCAGAATCGAGAAGTACCTTGACGGTTTCTTCGTGCCCTCTGCTGCATGCCAAAGCAAGGGGAGTCATGATGCAGTGTTCGTCCTCGAAATCGATATCAGTGATTTCGAAGTGAGATCCATTGTGGAGGCTGAGTATGCGCGTAAAGATCTCCACCAGCCCAAAAGATGCCAGAGTGTGAGACCAGAGCCAATATGCGGGTTCCTGGCTGTACCCGTTCCAATAGCCCTCCGCATTGCTTGCCTGGCCGGCGGCGTATGTAAGGCTACGGTTTCCCAAGAACTTCCGTAGAATATTGACGAAGTTCTCATTCTGTAGCAGTTCTTGTTCACATTTTCGCGCATGATGACCCCAATGACGAGAGGCGTATCGGAGCAGCTTATGGCGGTCAATCCGTTCCTCGAAGCTTTGATCACACGTCGCTCTTCCGCAAGAGAAGTCTTCGAATGTGAGGTAAGTAAGACATGTGGTGGAAATTTTCGTCTGAGCAGAAGCCATCCAATTGGGAGGGTTGAGGTTGAGATATTCTCTTGTCGTGTAATGAGCAAGGTGGACAGTGTTGCTGCTGCGGTTGATTATAACCAGCCCAGCGCAGAGAGAGACTACTTCGGAGCAATCCAGGAGGTCTTTCTCGTCGATCCGACAATCACCCAATCTAATTGTTAGTGCTGTCTCCAGCTCTTTCACACTCATGGATTTCTCGGCGTTTGCCACCCAACGTAAGACCTTATATGCCCATTCACGATCTTCTCCCTGCTGATCATCAATTCGTTGAATTGTTGCGTGATATGCTCTTTTAAGTGCTTTGAGACCTCGAGGTCCTTGTTTGAGTACACTCAAGGCTTCTTTAACGTCTCTTTCCGTTCTCTTTGGCTTTAGTAAATCAAAGTAGAGATCGGCGAGAAGGAACCTGTATTTCTAAAATTCAGCTTTGGAGCTTGTATGTATAAGCTACGGCCACTTACATTCCTTCAACCATGTCGGAGATACCCTTTGCAATCTGGACCTTCAAGGCCTTATTTCTTTGCATTACCCCTGAGATGTCTCGTCGGCTTTGGAGGTGTCTTAAAACATCTTCCTTTCGCGCAGCTATTTCTAGTCTTAAATCGTGCTGGAACTCCTTCTGGATGATTGGGATATCCCTAGATGTGACTAAGAGTTTTACCGCCGTAGTCTTCTGAAGGTAGCGTATTCTGTCTAGGAAGTGTGGACAGATGTCGTGATTCAAGTTTAAACACTCGTCGAGGCCATCCACTACAAAGTATACTCCGTCATAGGTTCTCGCAATTGTTAGAATGGCCTCTGTCAACTCATCGATCGTAGGTCTTCTCTTCTTTTGACATTCCTCGTCCAGGTGCGTAATGGCCTCATGAAGCTGAGCTGTTCCTGTAAGCTGATTTGTGGTTTTAGCAAGCTGACTTGTGGTTTCAGCAAGCTGGCTTGTTGTTTCAGCAAGCTGACTTGTGTTTTCAGCGAGCTGCTTTAGTAGTGCGGCGAGCAAATGACGTGATGACTGCTCATTCCTCATGTCGTGTTTGCAATACAGAAATGCAACAGCAGTATTGCCGCCTTTACACCGGGACATCAGATACTCAATTACAACAGATGCAGTCATCGTCTTGCCCCCACCAGGGACGCCAGAGCAAAAGAGAGTTGGATTGTCTCCTTCGATCCAAGCCTGGAAGACTGGAAGAGTTAATATCCATTGCCCGGTCTCATCGCACTTCTTCTCTAAGGCGTCGGCTTTGATGGCCGTGTAGTTGACGTTGCTCAGCCAGTCGAGGATATCATTTTTCCGTCTTTGCTCTAAGTCTACCAATGGTTGGCGCTTTGAAGGCGGACAAATCTCAAGACGTATACATACCTTGCTGTAGTAGTTCCACGTTCTCACTAACAGAGTCAATCGCTATATCAGATGGGAGAAAAAGTAAGCGATGGATTTTGATCACGCTTGGTACGAAGGAGGCAAGAACGCACCCGTTTGCGCAACCTGCAAAACCTCTCTCGCCAGCCGCTCGCCCTCGACCTCGACCTTCGGCATTTCCAGCAATGCCTCCTTAGCGCATGCTGCTGCAGCGACGGCAGCATACCTCTGCCATCCATCGTTCTTATGCGAGTCCGCATAGTCGCATATCCCACGGAATACGAGACAGGGGAAGTCATTCATCAGCCCCGCGGCCTCCATCTCGAAGCAGATGCAATCACTGAAGCGGTCTCTTATAGCGGGATCCTTGACGACTAGGTTCCCGGAAGCAATGACGCCGCAGTGCAGCACTGGGTCAACAGACGAGCGTTCCGCACGGTCGATTTCCATGTCCTCGAGGCAGTCGTCGCAGTCTTCCTCACCTTCTGGGTGCGGATACGCCGCGTCGAAAAGCCGGTCAAGTTCCCGTCCAGGAAAGGCATAAGACGGTCTCGCATTGCTGAGCTTCTGGAGCATTTCGTTTAGGAGATGCGGCAGCCTGCTTTCTCCAGCCTCGTGCAGTTGCCTAAGCACGCTGACGGCGTTAAGGAGCGCCCTAGGTGGGCTGTTCAGGAAGCCTGTTGGTCGGAACTCGCCACCAACGACGGCCTTTCCGAGGTCGTACTGGTACACGCCACCCCCTCCAAGTCCGCCGCCGGGCTGGCTGACGACAACGTCGCCCAGACGGATATCGCGAAGTTCGCGGTATCTGTTCGTTTTCCTATCTCTCTTGACTTTCGGGATACCGGCTCCGATGCCTACCATAAGGCCAATACGCAATGAAGGAAAGCTTGAGAGCATATGCATCGCAGCGGTGGCGGCGGCAGTCGTCCCCATAACGCCGCCAGGGAGTGAGGCGATGACCACATTGTGATCGCCGATGCGGCCGAGGATGTAGGAATTCTGGTCTGCCGCATTCTTGGTGAGCGGCGCCCGTCCGTAGAACTGGTCTAGAGCGGCTTTCGCAGCAACGGCCTCGTGGGGGAGCGCGGCGATCCAGCCGACTGTGTATTGGTCGTTCGTCAAGGGCTGTTCGCCGCCGTCACGTGTGTTAGCATTGGAAGCGCTTGTGGTGAGTTGGAGACCCTGTTGATGGCTGTATGAAGCCTTCTCATGAGGGCTTGAAGATGCATGCTGAGAGGTTCTGCGTTTAGAAGGATGGAGATGTTCCGTGCGGTCATCGGAGGGTCGCGCCCTTTTTCCAGTCTGGCTGCACATCGACTGGTCCATCCCATTTATCCTTGAGGGTCCTGCGCTTGATGGGAAGATCGGTGAGAAGTGATAGACAAAGTATGAAAGGATGCGCCACACGAACTTATGTGACAAGCCATAGAGGTCAACGCCAGCTGAGACCCGAAAGTACTGAGGCTGAGACAAATTGCCAGGATGGGGGCGCAGCATGACGGCGGTAAGCCATAAGTCGTCATCAGCCGATCTCCGGAAACAGTAAATGTGACCGACGCAGTGTATTGGAACAACAGACAGCCTATCGGGTTCTGGGGCTGTTTTCAAGGCTGACAGCGACCCTTATCTGCGGAGCGGGCCTGATTGTTTTCCCTGCTGCCGCCGAGAACACCACTGCAGCTCAGCCCTGTTCAGCCTCAGCATGGCGACTGCTGCCTACTTGTGTAACTTGTTGAAGCCTCGGATTTAGGGCTTTTTCCCGTCAAACTCGCCATTTTTCTCATAGTCTGTCTGATTACACCACCGTGCTAGATTTCCGTGTAGCACTACCGCATGTCCGTTGGGACACCATGGCCACCACTTTGCCGCCATGCAGCGCACTTCTTCGCGAGGCTGCTGAGTCGTTCAACAGAACCTCCTGCTTGAATGAAAAAGCATTGAACGAGCTCCGGCAATCTTCCTTTCATGATTTGCAGGAATACCTTGCGATTTTGCAAAAAGAGCAGCGGAGGGCGAAACAGATGATGCACATGAAGAGATTATCCCCGTTCCTCGACGTTATGCAGCGCTACGCATCAGTTATCGAACTAGCTGGGGACCGATCTAATTGCATTGCCTACGTATGGGTATGTAGCGCTCATGCAAGCAGACCGTAATGTTTTATAATTAGTAGCGCTGCACAGGGGTCAATGAGATTTCTCTTTCAGATAAGTCATTGAAGAAGACCCGAAAAATACACGACACTAATCGTACAGGCAACATCCAGCTATTCGGATGCATTCAATGAAGTTTTAGATGCTTACATGAAGATTGGGATGAGTTTCCCGCCCCTGGCTCAATATACGAACGCCATTCGAATCAGCCCAGCCAGTCAGAAATTGCTGGCTTCTGTATTTTAGGAAGTGCTGGAGCTACACCAAAAATTATTAAGATTTGTCAAGCAAGGTGGTACGTTGAAATTCCTACGATAAGATTGCATTGTTCTGCTAAACGCAGCTTCCACCTGTTTGCTGATGCTCGGCTAGCAGAGTGGGAACAGCTATTTCACTCCACTTGGCGAACGCTAAAGACCACGATCGCACATGTCGATAATGTGCTACAATCATGCCAGAAATTTTTCCACAATCTCTCCAACAGTCAGCCCACTGAAATACAGAGCTTTGAATGGCAAGCGGAGTCTCAGGCCAATGAACTCCAAAACACTCGAGCATCTGGTAAAATTGAACTGCACCGCGCGCAGGAGCATCGGCATAACACAGTCCAACAGTGGCTTTGTGCTACTAATTCAGAATTGAGGCAGACGGACTCACTCAAGAGAAGGTTTGATGGGACAGGCAATTGGCTGACAGGCAATTGGCTGCTACGGGATCCTCAATTCCAGCAGTGGTTCAATCTTCATCAATGCTCCGATCCGTTGCTCTGGTTGAAGGGAATGCCGGGAGCTGGTTTGTTTGCGATTTTAATCCTGAGCGATACTGGCTAACCCAGATTTAGGCAAAACAGTCCTTGCATCTCTGGTCATACGACAAGCACAGCAGCTTCCGAACGCAACCGTTGTATTTTTCTACTGCAAACATACTGATGAGAACAAGAACGGATTTCTATCCGTGACCAGAGGAATCTTGTCTCAATTGGTCAAGCAAAACGAGACCCTACTACCGTACCTCTATGAAGCTGCATCGAACAGCGGTGACGCGGTTTTGTCTAAGGAAAATATTGCAAAGGAATTGCTAGAGCGAGCCCTTAAGTGCTGCAGTAACACGTACGTTGTCATCGATGGCATTGATGAATATTCTCGGGAGGACCGTAAAATGATTTCGTCCTACTTCCGGTCAATAGTTGAGTCAATTCCTAAAGACGATCTCGGCACTCTCCGTTGTCTATTCGTCAGTCAGGACGATGGTTATGCCCGAAAGGATTTCCAGAGACTCTCGGAAACCACTGTTACAGCAGAGAACAACAGACAGGACATCTCAACGTTTTGCAAGCACTGGCATCAGAAGATTGAAGGAAAGTTTGGTTGCCTCAACGGGATGCAACATAGCATCTCGAAACTTGTGACTGCTAGATCTCAAGGTATGAGCTCCACGCACTTTAAACTACTCTTGCTAATGAAAAGATGCCAAGGAATGTTTCTATTCGCGAAGCTGGTGACCTGGAATCTCTACGAGCAAGAAAGTCGGGAAAATCTTGAGAAAGAGCTGGAGAGAATGCCCCATGGGCTAAATCAAGTGTAAGTCCCATTAACTCTCCATGCGTAGATAGAACGCTCTAATAGTCAAAAACTAGCTATGAAAGGATCTTGGAACGAATTTACACGGCATCAGCAACCTCTCAATTGCGCCAAAAAAGCACGCAGAGGCTTCTCGGATGGTTGACATTCGTTAAACGTCCTCTTAAGTGGTACGAAGTTCAGGGAGCAATGGCGCTCGATCTTGGAAATGAGACTGTCGACCCCAGTTCGACGTTTCAAGATGATTGCAAAGACATATGCGCTTCCTTGGTCGAGATTGGGTCAGACCAGTCGGTGCTCTTCGTGCACTCTACAGTCAGAACGTAATGAAAAGTCCTCCCTTTTCTCAAGCTCACACAATTGACGTTGATGAGCAGATATCTGGTTCAAACTGGCCATGTAAATCCAGTCGATGTGGAAAGTGACCTTGCAAATCTCTGCTTAGAATATCTTTCCTGCTCGAAGTTTGACAAGAACATCCCAACAGCGGATATTGAGAGCGGGATAATTTCTGGATTCTATGCATTTTCCGACTATGCGATTGCCTTCTGGGCGCTTCATTTGGAAAACTGCCTCCCGGAATTGCACCAATCCAACCAGGGACGCTTTGAGGAGCTGACAACAACACTCGAGTCATTTCTGGACGAACAATGCACCCACAACTCAAAGTCTCACGCCTTGTCAAATAAACTCAAACAGAGGTTGGTGCCCCTAGAGCAATATGGCTTTTACGCAAAAGCTTGCTCTGCCATAGTAGCCCAGAGAGCTCGACTGCGACCAACTGGCAAAACATCCACAGATGGAGAAGACCTCTGGGTCTTAAAATCTATCTCGCGAACGCGGGCTATCCTAGAAGAATTGCCACACTCACCGACCAGCTCTCCGGACAAATTAGCGCTAGTCGAGCAGTTATACGGTCCAAATAGGTTCAAGTGCGAGAGACTGAGCTGCCAATTTTTCTACCACGGATTTCCAACCAAGAGTCAACGCAAGCAGCATGCGAACAAGCACGAGCGGGCATTTACATGCTCAGAGGAGGGATGCCCTCAGTCAATCATTGGCTGTGTAACAGCGAAGGACCTGGAGAAGCATGTGTCAGACTCCCACGGAATCCACGCTCAAGAGGATGACACCGACTTTCCCGACGACCTGGATGTAACAGAACCAGGATCCAAGGCGAAAAAGACACCAAATATCTTTCATTGTTCTCTCTGCCCCAAAAAATTTACGAGAGCTTTCAATCTGAGATCACACCTTCGCACTCATCTAGATGAGCGTCCATTTGTCTGTGCTGTGTGCGGAGCGGCGTTCACTCGGCAGCAAGACCGCATCAGGCATGAGATACTCCATTCCGGAGAAAAGAAGTTTGTCTGCCGGGGCGTACTAAAGGACGGCAACGGATGGGGCTGTGGACGGCGTTTCCACCGGGCGGATGCTCTGGGTAGACACTTTCGAAGTGAAGTTGGTCGAGTTTGTATTCGGCCGCTGTTGGAGGAGGAAGCAGCGAAGAATGGGTGGGATCTACCGGGGATGAGTGCACCGAACCCTGAGCCGGTAAATCAACAATTTAATCCTGGCTTGGGCGGGATGGAGGTTGGCCTTCCTGCAGAGTTACTGCAGCAGTATCCTGCTATCGCAGGTATACAATGGGAGTCACTTCCTCCTGAGGAACCAATGATTGAAGACACAGAATAAGATAATGTAGACAGGTTGCAATATTGCAGTAGTTGAAATAGCAATTGACCGTGGTTTCCATTCAATCAGTTCGAATCATTTCCGATGTAGCAACAATACTGTCATTAAGACCGGAAGTATTATTTCGAGACAGCTCACATTGAATATTACTCCTTCCGGTCAAACAAAAGACCGAGCACGCCGGCCGCAGACGCACCTGCCGGGTTCCTGAAACCACTCGGAGATCTTCACACTGCCGGGTAAATCATACCATGCAGCCGTTGCTAGCGCCGGGCACCCGCAGCGTTCTACGAAACAGCATGTTCCCCAATTGGTTTCATCTCCGAGCCGCATTGCTACGTGGCCAAGGTCGGAAAAGATGTGTCGAAGAGTGAAAGGGGGGCTAGACTGAACCCTTGACTGACCGCGGATAGGTTTGGTCGGCGGAGGCGGCTCCGAGAGACGAATGGACTTTTCGAACTTCAGGGAAAGGGGGCAGTGGGAGAAGACAGCGCCTTTCAATATTCAACATCAGTGGGGCCTGTCAAACGTATGCGCACATTCTCCGGCGCGTGGGAGGAACTGAGGTTCACTAAAGCCTGTGCTGTATGATCACCAGTTTTTGTTAGTTCCATACGGGACCAGTTCTCATGGGACTCTCTCTTCCTCTCGAAGAGTCCTCAAGAAGGATGAAATGGCGAAGGCAGTCCGGGCTCGTATGCCAACTTTTCTCTAGTAAAATCGTGTCTGGAAAGCTTACCTAGACTCAATTGTTCTCGTTTGTTCAGTCAATGCGGTGAAAGAGGCGGAGAGCATGGTCAATAATAGCGTATATCTCAGAGCTTTCTTGAACCTTACCGACGCAGAACTGTCCAGAAGTCCAGGCCGGTGCTTGCGTGGTCCGTTTATGAGAAAAGTGGAGATCACGGGGGAATCGCACTGAGCTCTCTCGACGTCTTGAAGATACAGACTAAGTTCCGTCGTTTGAAGTTGCTGAGCATTGACTTGAGGATGGTCGGGCAGGGATATACCATGGATCTTAAACAACGATCATCCGAATAGTGCCGGACCGATGGCAATAGCGAACTGTGCAATGCAGGTGGGTATTGCAGCCGAAGGCTATGGAGCGTGGATTTATTTTTTTCGCTCATTTCATAGGTAGTTGAAGCTATCGTCCGGATGTGTATGTCGAATTAAATCTACGCCAGCCATCGGCTGCGAGAGAGGACTGTGCATGTGGTTATAGCATCCGAATGCTAGTGTGAATTCATTTTTCCCTCTTCATTTCAGATGCTTGCCTCAGGACATACTATAGGTAGTTGAAGCAATCATCGGGAGAAAGGTGTAGAAATCATAACTGCATATCCGCGTCCAGTCGACGGTTTCTGCTCCCTATGCGTCGAGTATTGTTTGGGGGTCGTTTCGTCTCGCCGTGCGTGGTGAGGGGCATTGTGGCACCCTGTGCCGAGGCCCTGGTATTTCTTCACGATATTCTTCACGCTAGCCTTCGGGTGTAATACCCACCTGCACAAGTTGTCGCAGCGCAGTGGCCTACAAAAGTGAATGCTCTCGTCAACGTTGTTTGACGAGAGACATTGCACCACCGTCTTCTCCATAAGCATTCACCGCGGATATCAGGTAGATGTATGACCTGAAACAAGCATCCGGACGTCGACCGCAACTGCCAACGTCAGCAACGATGCAGCGTCTCTCGCAAGACAGAGCCGAGAAGTGCAGAATCTTTCGTAAGCCGCATCGGCAGTGGAGGAGCTTAAACATCCCGCGTGCCTCCCAGAAAAGCCGTGTGAAACAGCGTAATTAGCTGCATAAACGCCCACGAGAGGTCTCGACGCCGTCCTGTCACGCGAAGATTAGCCCATGGAGCCACCATACCCACCATTCCATGCCGTCCGTTTCACAGTCGCGTTCTCGATCCGCTTCTCCAACGCATCAAAGGAAAAAAAAAAAAAAGACAGCGCAAAAAGGCGAGCCCCTCTGCGATCCGGTCGTGCGGTGAGTGGGCACCTACACCCGCCCGCCAGAAGCGCCCTGGGGTAGGTGAGCTGGGTCCAACAGAAGACACAACGCACACGCGCGCACGAACACAACAAGCGCGTGGACACACAGACGCCAACAACAAAACCACGCAGAGGCCGGACGGAGAACGAAAAAGCAACGAAAAGAACCGCGTCCGTGTGTAAAACAAGGCGGACGACGCCAGAAGAAAAAAGCCCATCGGCCCGTCCCCCGAATCTTCAGTAGTGAAACCTACCTAGCGATCGGTCCGTCGCGAAAGGAATACCCGAAGGAAAAAGAGTGAGGCGTCCCATTCTCCGTTCCCCGAGTCGGTATCTCCGACAAGACCATGTATATAGCACCGGTCGTGTATGTGTGGAAATTCGATTCTTTTTTTTAGCCGTAGTAGGTCCACGCAATTCGTGCGCACCCAACTATAGCATGAAAGCCGTGTGTATGACGATGGCCCGGCATTCGCCTTTTGTCGCTGCCTTGGTTGTGCACGCATTTTAGCGGCGCGGGAAAGACGACGGTTCTGCCGAGCGGGTTGGTGGAGAGGGAGGATCCACCGAGGAATGAGCCGCGCTGCTCGCTCGATACCGAATGCAGCAGGTATGTGACACCAATGCCGAATTCCCTCGCGGGTTCGAAGATTCTGCCGTGTTCCTGAGCACAGGCGCAGAAAGGATTGCCACGATTGCGGCTCTCGTTTCACCGCTCAGGGCCCATAGATCAAAGCGGTCGCAATCGACAGGAGAAGCGAAAAGTCAGAAATCCGCGAGTGCCACGAGTTGATAAGATAGACGGCGGGGAAGACTATCACAAGCGGTCTATGGCTCACCGAGTAGGCGGGTAGATGGATGGTTGTTCCTGACCGCCAGAGTTGCCCCATATCTAGAGTGCGGTCAGGGCAGCTCTGTGAGCGAGGGCCCTCAATGACGACGCGCACGACTCCAGATGTGCTGACCTCGAGTCATGGGACGATGGGTCCTGCGGCGACCAAAGACTGGGGTTGGTTGGGCGTCGGCAACAGGGACCGAAAACGGCGCGGGCGATGACGACCAGGCGGCCGGGGCAGCAGAGCACAGAACATGCAGAGAATAGGAGTGAAGCCAGGAGAAGGCCTTTGTTAGAACAGGGCGTGTTGGCAACGCATGAACGAGGGCCAACTCATCGCACGAAGCGGCGGCCCCAGCGCAGCGCTGGCATGGGCAGGAACGAGCGTCAAGACAGCGCGGCGAACGAGGTAGCTCCACGCTGAGGGCGAGATCTCGCATCTGGTGGTGTGTGCCGCGGCCGGGTGATTTACCATGGGCGCCTAAACGCAGGGTCTGGAGCTGTTGGGGCCAGCGAAAAGCCTGCTCGTGTCGGCACCTGCAAAACGGGCGCCGTCGGTAGTAGCAGTACCGAGTTCCAGTGGTGACGTTGGACTCTCTGGTTGCTGTGAGGCGCGATGAGGTTTGGGGGCTTGACGGACGGCTGCATGTCGGTTGCGGCCGAGTGCCGTTAGAGCCGCGTAGGCCTGGGCGGCGGCGAATGGGCGTTGCGATGGGGGAGCGGCCGATCGCCGGTGGTGCACATCAAAGCGGATGCAACCCCAGCGCCTAGGCACGGGAACATTCTTGGCCAAGAATAGCAGCCCTGCGCCTTCTCTCACGACGCCAGCGGCGGTGGATTGAATTGGGTGGCGAGACGGTCCGAAGCGACACAAGCACAGCCATCGCGCCTCGAGGGCTGCATCGCGAGTCCGTCTTGGTGCCACAGCCCAATGCGGCTCGCCTGCTCTCGCGTGGCGCTCCCTCCCGTCGCATGCGCGAGCGCGATGCCTGGACGTCAACCGCTGCTCGCAATCACCCAGCCGCCTTTCGGCACAGCGGATCCTGCACCAGGCCGGGGTTGGGGTAATCACACGGCGCGGCGAGTGCGATGCTTTCAACGGCGCCCGCGGAGTAATTGGATCAGCGACGCGACCCCTAGCCGGGGCGCCAGCCCATGCCAGCTGCGGCGAGACACTGTGTGACTGTGCACCGAAGGAAGCGCACGCTCACCCAGCGTCGAGTCCGATCCCGGTAAGCGTGCAATTCTACTGTGCATGACGGCCGCGTGAACCCGTGTTAGTGGAGGGCGAGCCGGGGACGCGCAATGCTGCATCGTGAAGGTTTCGCGCGGCGGGGAGAGGAGCGGTCGGCGGCGCCAATGGATCGCGCACGTCGGGCGGGTGGCGGTCGTAAAGGCGCCATGTTGGGAGCTGGTGAGAGCATCGCTTGCAATGGCCAGGGCGCCTGGCCGTGCTGAGCTCCTCCGCAGCGCGAAGCCCGGGCCTCTGGGCGTCGGCGTTGGCGCGCTAAGAGGGGCGGCGACGGGGCTTGGGAATCGCTGCCCTGTGCGCCTGCCTGCCTGCCTCTCGTTAATAAACCCAGGCTGAGCATCCCAAACACCCGCCTTCACTTTTGCACCCATCCTGCATATAAGCGCCCACCACCCGCCGGTCTTTTTCACCGCACCTAATTCCACTCGCTCCTAATCAACCTCGAATCAACACCCTCACTCCCAATCAATCACCATGAAGTCCTTCTTCTTCGCCGCCGGCACTCTGATCGCCGCTGCCTACGCCCAGGACGATGTACGCTCTCCTCGCACCCAATTGACTTCCTGTGCGCAACCAGCTAACCAATTCGCCAGGCCGCCTCATCTGTCGTTAGCTCGGCCGCCTCCGCTGCCAGCTCTGCCGTGAGCTCGGCTGCTTCTGTTGCCAGCTCTGCCTCTGCTGCCGTCAGCACTGTTCCCTACTCCAACGGCGCCACCTCCTTCCTCACCATGACCAACTCCCTCGGCGTCGTCACCGGCCAGCCCACTCAGCCCGCTGCCGTCACCTCGCAGCCCGAGGTCGCCACCATTCCCGCCGGCACTGGCCTGTACACCATCGCCATTGGCAACGTGACCAACATTGTCGTCTCTGCCGACAGCACTGCCACCTCCATTGTCAACGGCCCTGCCACCATTGTCAGCACCTCTTCCGGCCAGGTCGTCATCTCGGCCACCGGCACTGCCGCCTCTGGCTCCGCTTCGGCCACCGGCTCCGGCTCCTCTGCTTCTGGCTCTGGCAGCTCCGAGTCTGGCTCGTCCGAGACTGGCTCCTCTGCCTCTGGTACCGCCTCTGCCTCCGGCTCCGCTGCCTCTTCCACTGGCGCTGCTGCCGCTGTCAAGGTTGCCTCCGGCGCTCTCTTCGGTGCTGGTGCCGTCTTCGCTGCTTTCCTGTAAGGGAATCGATCAGATTTGACGGAACCACCACTCGATACCCCTGTGCGATCCCACCTTAATACCTGATGGGCGACATGTTTATTACCCTTTCTTTTCGATTGTAAGCACTTCTGCTTCTACAACTTTGGCTTTTTGGCTACAACGCCTTTTTATCACGATGGATGCGGAGGACACGGGTCACACTTAATGTAGTCATGCATGGCACCTGGCGCAAAACAGGTATACCAAAAATCCTCCTTAATTGCACTTCCGCTCTCTTGACACGGCCTCGTCCACTGGGCTGCTGTTGAGAGTTAGTAGCTAGTTATCTCCAGAGATAGTTAATCAGGTGGAATGATACCCTGATAATGTTATACACTACTTCAAATCACTCTCGCACCTTTCCATGTGTCTAGCTCACTAACGTTCTCACGAGATCGCTCTGAAACGGACAGCGTCGCACTCCGCACGAAAACAAAAAGCACGTCAAGGCTCCCCCGTTTGGCGAGATCTGTCGATCATTTCGCGTCAATCCTCTTGTCCAACACAGTAAAACTCATTAGCGGTTCGGCCCTGCCACGGAGGTACAAGGCCTTCTCTTTCCAACCTCCTCTGCGTGCTTTTTCTCGCACTTTCACACGAGAGGTTTCTCTGGCCACTACGAGCTCCAGCTCCATCGACAAACTCTTGCACAAGGCGAAATACACATTGCCCAACTCACAGACCTACCTAGGTTCCACCCGACTCAGCCCTCTTTCCCTTTCCCACGACTCAGATTCTCCACCACCCACATCGACCAAACTCCACCGCTCTCTCAGCTAGTATCGTGTCGTCGCGCCGCGCATGGCGCTCGTCGTGTCACCGGGCCAACCATCACCGCCATCATCGATCGCGCACCCCACACCTGAAACCCCAGCCACATCGATTTTTTATCACGCAAAAAACGTCAATGGTGTGTGTGTGGGGCCATCTATCATCCACCCCTCGTGTTCTCCACTACCGATGAAACCATCCGGCATATGCAAAGAATAGTGTATTTGGAAGGCGCCGTTTCTGATCACTTTTTCGCTTACAAGCAACATCCCAACCCGCCCCAGCCACACGCCCGATAAGAAAGCCACAGCCTTTCTTTTTTCCTCCTCCCTTGCTTTTTTCTTCCTTTGTTCGGACCCCCGCCTCCCCGCCATCTTTCCTGTTCGGTGATGGCGTGAAATTGGACCCTCGAGGGACAGAAAAGAAGTAAGGGAGGGAGAAGATAGTAGTGAGGGGAATGGATGATCTAAACTCTACCACCCAGCCCCTCATCCAAGGATCGCGGAGCTGCACGTCAGATCGAACGTAGGAAGGAGGCGAGGGAGAAAGAAGAAAAGACTTGGAAGCCGCGAAAGAAAAGGAACAAGTACTTATGCGTGCCACCGACTTCCTTTTTCGTCAGGCTGTGAAGAAAAAGCAGGGGGAAGCCAAAAAGAAAAAAGAGCAATTTCGTGAGGATTTAGAGGCCGCATGACTGCAGCAATTATAAGGCTAAGTGCACTACTAATCTATTATCGTGGTGTTTGTATAGGCACCCAAATATCAGTAAGTCACAAGCATGGTCTCCAGGGCTATTGCTTTTCACTTTATCTTTTTCCTTTCACTTAAGCTCAGCCTTACCACCAACTTATCACTCCGACTTACCCGGTCACTTCCTTTTCACTCAATCGACTCAATTACTCGCTAACTTCCTTGATTCGCACGGACATCCGTTAACCTTCTTTTCACCACAGCAAACAGCAATCACCGACCACCAAAATCGATGACAGCGACAGGCACAAAAACTAAAAGACCAGTCATCCCCCGCCATTCTCACTGTCTACCACCCCACTCTCCATCCCCCCCAAAACTCTACTTCCCCGGTACATGCAAAACCAGAACCCAGCAAATGAAAATCCACGGACAGAGACAACGACACGACGACCCAACAAACCCCCGACGTCACCAAAAAGTCCACGCAAGCCCCACCCCCGGTGCTGACTAGTACCACCACCACCGCTGTCGCTACCACCACCATCGCCCATCACCACTCCTACTGCTACTACTAACTGCTACGCACTTACGCAACGCATTACTACATGACCGTCATGCGTGCCACGCGTGCATGCATGCATGCATACAGCTGCACACGGCTGCGCTGCGCTATGCTGCGCTGCGCCTCTTCCCACCCCGCGCCTGGCCTACGACATACACGCAAACAATCTTACAGCCTTCCCATCTTACACGCATAACCTGAAACACTCCCACCAAACAAAAGATGCCCAGCCAGGGCATACGCAGCCGACCGATCGACCGACCTGGCCCGGGGCCGGCCGACTGACTGACTGACCGGCTTACCGACAGCTACCTAGCGCGGGTGAAGAAAATAGTAGCAATGGTCTCATCATCATCAGCTCATCAGAACTAACCGGCGTGAGGAGGGAGGGAATGACTGTACGTACCCCGCCAATGGGGAGGGGCAAGATGTGATAGGTCAAAAAAAAAGTATGCGCTAGTATCAGGCATCATCATCATCTGTTGCGGCTGCTGCAGCTGCAGCTGCAGCTGTGACGACTCTGCAATGCGGGGTCGTCACGAATGCAGGGTGAGTAAGGATGTAGTAAGGCGAAGCATGATGTAGTCGTCGTCATCATCTGTGAAGAATAGTGTAGTAGTCTAAATGTCTAAATCGCATTCCAAATAAGCAACCGACCAGTGAAAAAAAAAGGGACGCTAAAGAGGGGAAAAAAAAAGGATGATGAATGATGACGACGCGATAGTCAACTCTTGTCAGCAACACCATCCTCTCAAGCCAAATAGCAGCGTCCCATTATACGTGACACAGCGAGGGGAGGCGCAGTTCGCACACATCACATGGGAACCAATGAGCTTTGATGAAAGAAGTGAATGAGCAAAAAGGAAAGGCTCGGAGCTCAGCTCAGTGGAATGAGCGTCTCCACGAAAACCTTTTCTCCATCTATTGCGTCTTTTTTCCTCTTTCGAAAACAGAAAGAAAAAAATCCGTCTGCTACAGAGAAAGTTTTCTAATGTTTCCTCCCTCTCCTCCTTGTCATCGTCAAATCCAATGTGTGGAAAAAGAATAGTAAATCTCATCTCCATCCTTTCCACCAGGCCTATGGTTGAAAAGGCCGTGGGTATTTTTTATTCGTAAAATCAAACGCCATTTTGCACCAATTATACCTAACCCGTCTCCTTTGGGTTGTATATTCCTGAACGTCTTTGGTTGTTGAAGACGTCTGTTTGAACCTTTTTTAAAAAACGCTAACCCCGCCCGAAGCGAAGTGAGAAACGAATCCCGTGTGAGAAGATGCCGTTGAAGACAATTACTTTTGGTATCATCCGATCGTAACACATGTTGAAAAGTTCATGCGGTGCCGCTAAGCAATGCAGGAAAGAACACTTAGTAGCGGTAGCTGTGGCACTGTTAGCAGACTGAAGCTTGGTAAGAAAGAAGAGAAGGGAACGTACTGGTCGGCCTTGTAGGGACCCTCGACGGGCAGGCCAAGGTACTCGGCCTGGACAGGGGTCATCTTGGTCAACTTGGCGTTGACGTGGGACAGGTGAAGAGCGGCGACCTGCTCGTCGAGAATCTTGGGCAGGACGTAGACGCCGACGTCGAACTTGCCGGCCTTGGCGAACTCGATGTACTTCTCGCCGAAAGCCTTGTCCTCGGCCTTGAACAGCATGATCTGGGCAAGGACCTGGTTGGTGAAAGAGCAGGACATGACGAACGAAGAGTGGCCGGTGGCACAGCCAAGGTTGACGAGACGACCCTCGGCAAGGAGGATGATGTGGCGGCCGCTCTTCATGGTGAAGCGGTCGACCTGGGGCTTGATGCTCTGGACAGAGGCAGCGTTGGCCTTGAGCCAGGCAACGTCGATCTCAATGTCGAAGTGGCCAATATTGCAGACAATGGCGTCGTTGGGCATGGCCTCGAAGTGGGCACCGGTGATGATGTCACGGCAGCCGGTGGTGGTGACGAAGATCTGGCCGATGGGAGCAGCCTCCTCCATGGTGGTGACCTGGTAGCCGGAAACGGCGGCCTGGAGGGCGTTGATGGGGTCGATCTCGGTGACAATGACACGAGCACCCATCGAGTGGAGAGCCTGGGCGCAGCCCTTGCCGACGTCACCGAAACCAGCAACGACAGCGATCTTGCCAGCAATCATGACATCGGTGGCACGCTTGATACCGTCGACGAGCGACTCGCGGCAGCCGTACAGGTTGTCGAACTTGGACTTGGTGACGGAGTCGTTGACGTTGATGGCGGGGACGAGCAGACCGCCCTCCTTGAGGGAGCGGTACAGGTGGTGGACACCGGTGGTGGTCTCCTCGGAGACACCGTAGCAGTCCTTAAGCATCTCGGGGTACTTCTTGTGGACGAGGGTGGTCAGGTCACCACCGTCGTCGAGGATCAGGTTCAGCTTCTTGTCATCCTTGAAGGCGAAGAGCTGCTGCTCAAGGCACCACTGGTACTCCTCCTCGGTCTCGCCCTTCCACGCGAAGACAGGGACGCCCGAGGCGGCAATGGCAGCGGCGGCGTGGTCCTGGGTGGAGAAGATGTTGCAGGAGGTCCAGGTAACCTCAGCACCGAGGGCAGTCAGGGTCTCGATGAGGACGGCGGTCTGGATGGCTGTGGTGGCGGTTAGCTCTGCGCTCGCTCAAGGCGGGGCCGAAGACGTACTCATGTGCAGGCAGCCAGCAATGCGGGCGCCCTTCAGAGGCTGGTCGGCGGCGTACTTCTCGCGAGTAGCCATGAGACCGGGCATCTCGTTCTCGGCGAGCTCGATCTCGCGGCGGCCGAAGGCGGCCAGCGAGATGTCGGCGACCTTGAACTTGTTGGCGGGGGCAGACATGATTGTAGAGTAATTAGAGGAAGGAGAGGTATGGAGAAAGAGGAGGAAGATGGGAGAGAAGGGGTGGTTGAGGTGGGGAAGAAGTGGTGTGGAAGGGACGAAAGAATCTTGGGCGCCCGCAGATACTTCAAGGACCCCACCGTCGGCATTCTGCCTCGCTCAACACCCGCATTCGGCGCACGTGGGCGCGCCGCAAAGGCGGACTAACTTTGACGCCCTCCGAGCTCCTGTCGGGCACTTTCCTCGGCGCTTTTTCTTGCCGCAGAGCTGTGCCTCTGCTACCGGCACCTTGATGGCCTTGCGCCGATTTACAAACTTTTGTCTCTGTCGACGCTGCGCCGCTCCGGAAATTTTTTCTTTGCCACTGCTGTGGCACGGCGACTTCGAGCTCGCTTCAGGAGCCTCACAATTATGCCCGATGCCTAAGGCGACAATAATGCCTTTGCGCGCTTTAACCCGGCGCCCTCCGCCTTTGCTGATATGTCCCGCGGTGCTCGGCGCCGTCGGCCTCGAGCCTCACTTGACAGGGTCTAGTCCGTGCTTCGTGCTGCTCTTCCTTCGGAAAACATCGGTCTCTTTTAGCATCAACACCTGACCTGCTTTACCGCCAATCCTCGCATTCTAATTCGATCCCTGTGCGTGGAAGAAGAGGTCAAACAGAAAATATTGGGGAGCGTGCGTCAGAATCTCGATTGGAGAGTTGAGTGAACAATCTTAAGGAAGCTTGGCTCGGCGCCGACAAAGACAAAAATGTCGCCGGTCTAAAGTTCGCCGGCTGCATATCAAAAAACATTTGATTTAAGTAGCTACAAAGAATAGGCCCTAGTGACATAAGCGGCTTCCTTGTTTTTTTTATGTTATTCTCTACTGGTCACAATCATGTTGCAGCGTCACGAGATCGCGAGACAGTCTCTTCCATCTCGGTAGATAGAGCACCCCTTTTGAGTAAAGCTCATAGGAAAGATTATAGATCCATTTCGGATAGCCCGATCAGGCTTTGCGACGACGGACTTTAGTCCAGAGCGCTTCGAGTAAATCTCAAGCTAACGCCCATCTAAGTATCCCGGCAAGCTTCCAAAGCGGATACCAATCCATTCTCCCGGATCCTGTAGCTACGGGGCAGTCAGTAAAGCTAACGAAATCGCAGGTGGTATACGTAGGCTCTGAATGTGGAACTCAAACGCTAGATAGCCAGCGGAGAAAGTGGTCTCATCTGGTACCGGTCCCTTTTCACGAACATGGAACTGCGACAAAACTTAAGATACCACGTGCTTGGGCCAATGCAACCATTGTATACTTATATGCCAGAACCGAGAAAATTTGTTGACTCAGCCTCTTCCACAATATTTTCCACCAAGAGGCAACATATTCTGCCAGCGCCATGGAACAAGTGAAACAACTACCTCTCATTGAGTAGTAGAATCTTTGTACTATCATAGGAAAAATAGCACATCACGCACCTACTGTTGAGAAGTCCACCAAAACGGGATACAGATGCAAATCATTGGGTAAGGAACGCAGTGCTTACTACATGATCAGAGAGAAACGTTGCAGCAAAAAGGCGCCATGCAAACAGATGAGAATGGTCCAGGGCGGTATTGCAGCCGACGGCTGGCATGAATTTATTTTTCTCTCATACAATGGGTAGTTGAAGCTATCATACAGATGTGAATGTGGAATTAATAATTATACATTCGTGTCCGGACGATAGCTTCAACTACCCATACATGTTCTTTTCCGTTGTGGGCCTGCCATTCTTCGAGCTAGCCATCACCCCTCTGTATTGCTGGATTATGCATAGCCATATAGACTGTCATACAAACTCAAAGCAGAGAGAAATTTAAAAGAGAAAAATGTATAGAAAAGCATGGGCAGCTTCAGTAACAACAATCTTATACCAAGATATTCCCACTCCATTATCCCTCGATGAAAAAGCAATGCCTGTTGACATTCGTTCCGTATCGGCCGTCCAAATAGGGTGTCTAACTACTATCTCATAGACTCTTTCGACCGGGAAAGATTTAACGACAATAAATTGCAATCATGCATGACTACTCCCTCCGCACCATCAGATCTCAAAATAAAATCGAGTCCCGCTAGACAGTCAATCAAACCAAGACGGACAAACAAAACACAATCACAAAATTCCAAAAAAACGAAAAGACATCCTAGCCAAGTTACATTACCGAATTTCCCTGTGTGTGTCTGTGTGTGTGTGGTCTACTGTGTACACTATGTACCACCAAACTACCTCCCACCAACCGCCTTACAAGGCAGACAGGAAAAAGAAAAAACAAGAGAAGAAAAAGCAAACAAGGCAAGCAACGACGACCATCGCTTCCTCCCCCCAGTCGTAGTCACAAAACCCTCATTATCTTCCCTTTCTTTTTTCGACACTGCCAAACCTTTTGGAAACTTCGCATTGCTCATCTACTACCAAAGTTTCCCTTCTGCCCTCCCTTCCCTTACCTTCTCCCCGCAACCGTTCCTTCATCTTCCCATCAAAACAACAAAAAGGAAAAAACACCTACTTCCTCCCAACGCTATTCGAGAAGAAGTCACACTTCCACCACCACCTCTCCCTTGAACCTCAATATAGAGGTCCCACCTCCTCGTCTCATCTATCGACGTGAGTGCAGAGGGAACAGAAGAAAAATGTGGGGCTGTGAAGAGAAAATAACAGGTTAATTAAGCCAGAAAGCAGCGTACAGTGCAGCTTCCCGTCGCTGGTCATGCCGAGGCTTGGGATAAGGAAAACGAGATAAGAAACAGGACCTGTAAAATTCAAAATTGGAGGTATCAAAGTCTTTGGTGTCGCCAGCTCGTGCGGTGGCTTGTTTGTTTTCCCGCTTTTGGACTCGAAAATATGTGTTGATAAAGGACGGACTGGAGACATGGATTGAATTTACGGCATCTGGAGCCGATGCGTGTGTTTGAGGGTTGGATGTGCGGCTAAGGGACTGATGTCGCGGATTGATAGCTGCAACAAGCGCTTGATTGAAGTTCGAGTAAGGGGGAATATGTTGCAGCTTGGGCGAAGTCGGGCAAAGGCCGCATGACCAAAGGTCATGGAAAGCAAAGCATCCGCTGATCAGCGCAAGCCGATGACGCTCTGTAAACAATACATCAGCGAGGAACGTTCGATACACAGCGCCCTTGCTGCAGCCTTCCGAAACACGGATGCGTGCACGTTGCGGAACGGGAAAGCTGCAACAGGGTCCTCAATCATAATGAGACATTGACTCACCATTTCCAATGTCCAGACCCTCCGAATCCACACCTTGAGCTGGCCATCCACACCCTCAACGTTGTCAAGCTCAACACCTTCCCACCAGCAACGACGCGCGGGTTTGCGCCAGAAGAGCAGCAGCTTTTGCGCCATCCCAACCGCATTGCTGTTCAGTTCGTTGCCCTTGATGTCGGTCCGTAGCCGCGCCAGCGCGATGCTGCAGATGACGGCCTTGTTGGGCTCACCTGCACGGTGGCCCCAGCGATCATCGTGGTTGAAGCCGCTGTTTGACCATAAGAATCAGTATGTCAGCTCGTGCTCTCTCGGCTGCAGACTTGGACGAATGTGGGGCGGAGAGGTGGGACAAAATGCGCGGAGCAGAAAGAACAAGCGGTGTGGGCGGCTTACCCGGCTGTGAGCATCTCAATCAAGTGTTGTTCCGTCGTGCCCGGCTCCTCGCTTTTTCTCAGCCCGGAGAAGATACCATCCTGCTTCAGCAGCGCCTTGCCTGCAGCCCGCTTGATCTGCATCATCTCCTCCTGCTCAATTTCCCGCTTCGGCGGGATTACATAGAAGTCTAGGTCTTCCCGTAACACAATGATGCCGGCGCGGTCCTGCAGCATATCCCGTGCAGATCCATGCATGGGCTCAATGGGCACCGCCTCGGCTGGATGATCGCCCACGAGGGTGGAGGGCGAGGGTGGAGAAGCGGGTATGGTCTGTGCGACATGTCGGAAGAAATCGAGCATGTACTGCAGGGAGTTGGGGTCGTACTGGGACGGATAAAATATGTCAGAAAGGTACAAAGAAGGGGACGCGAGGTGGGATCTTATAGCCTCAGCTTTGAGCGAGGGAGTTGCTTGCGCGACGGGCGGGAGGGCCGCAGGCGCATTGGATGCAGGAGGGACGGGAGCGGCGCTTGTGGCCGTGGGACTACTAACGTCGACAGGATATACGTCTCCGTCGGGATAGGAGCTCATGTGCCCATCAGGGAGCAGGCCGTTGGGGAACAGCGACAGCAGCACAAACTCGGGCAGCGTCAGGAGCTCATCTCTCGAAAGTGTGAATCGCACGCCTCTGCATTTATTTGCGAATGTCAGCGCCTGTTATCGATGGTGTGATGGGACGGCGCAGCGTACCGAAGCTCGAGCGTGATGTTCTCATCGGATGCGCCTGGCGAGACGATTAGCGGGCGAGCGCGACGCAGGGTCTGTAGGCGACTGACCTCCGAGCGTGTTGATCGGCGGGCCTCCGCCCTGGGAGACCTGGGTGATGATGCTCGCGGGACCTCCTGCAGTCGCCATGACGTACGTGAAAGACTCGAGTGGGCTGGAGCCTTCGCTATATGGAGGCGGTGGTTCGCCGTCGTCAAGGTCCTTGCTGGAACTAGCGCCGTCCTTGGTGTCGTGAGGGAGCGCGGCCTTGGTCTCGGCAACGGCGGCGGCAGCGGACGATGAGGGCTCCTCGAAGGGCGGGGCGGGGGCGAAGGCGGGCGGAGCCTCGTTGTCGTGGTCGCTCTCCTCGTCCTGCGGCTTGTCGGGGTCGTCGTCGGTGGGCTGGTGGTTGGGGAAGTAGAGCGAGGAAAAGGGAGGGGGATATGGAGAGTCGGCCGTCGTGGCAGCGAGAGACGGGTCAGGGTCGTGATGGTCGGGCGACTCGCGGTGCTTGTCGGGGGCGCGCAAACAGCCGCCGTGCAGTGGGGAGTTCAAAGGAGTGACAGACACGGACGAACCGCTTCGCGGGCGCGGTGGTTGCGACAAGGTGACGACGGGGTGGTGGGCGCTGGGGCTGGAGCTGGTGAGCGGTGTTGATGTGGAGATGAGAGATTAGCGGTGCTGGATCCCCCTGCGCCGAAGCAATTGAGCAAGCGCGCTGGCCGGCCACGGACGTAAGGCAGCGGTCAGAGAAGATAGCGGGGCATTACAATAGGACTTCGACTCTCTGGAATTACGGGGTCGGCCTGCGGGCGTAGCAAGCGCTGAACATGAGAGTCGGGAGCGCAGCTTCCAGGGCGTCGAGGTTGGAACAGGCTTGGCCCGCTGTCCATGCCTGAATAATCAGAGGGGCGCCAGGCATTCATCTGCAGCGCCGCCAACCAGCTTCACCTAACCCGCAGCCGCGTGCCAGCGCCTCGCACGCGCCCCGCTCACGCTGCCTACAAACGGCTGCGTTGAAGCCAGCGGTGCCTTCGCGCGCCACGCGAGCGCAGGAATCCGCACCCTCGCTCGGAAATGGGCGAGTGCGCCGGCACTTGTCCCGAGCCCGTCGTCATTACCGCCAGCATCTGTGCGCCTGTGGTGAGGCTGCACCGCGATCGCTGGCCAAATGAGCTTCTATGCTTGCTCGCCATGCCAATCGAACAACCCCGTATACACGTGTAGTCCGGCCTTCCGTCCGGGCCCGTTTCTATTTATCACCGCATCACCAGCTACCATTGTTTCACGTTTTGCAGCGTCACCGCCAGTGCATTGTCTTCTACCAAGCAAGGGCGCGTCGCTTACAGTCCCCTCTCGGAGCCGACGGCTAGCGTGGATTTGTTTCTCGCTCATGTCATGGGTAGTTGAGGCTCTCGTCCGGACGAAAATGTAGAATTAAAGATTCTACATACACATCCGGACGATAGCTTCAGCTACCTACACATGTTATTCTTCTGAGAACGAGTTGAGCCATAGTTACGCCTGGGGCCTTGCTATTCTTCACGCTAGCCATCGGCTGCGAGAGGGGACTGTACTGCCAAAACCACCAGCTCCACTCATTCTCCATCAGCACTAGCGTTCTTCAGACCTAATGCTTCTGAACCACACCCGCTTCGTTTGCTTGAGCCGCGATACGCTTCTTGTAATCGTTGACCGTACCGTCGAAATGCTCGATCGTGCCGTGGTCACACACCCACAGGGACGTGCACACGTTCTGCAGCATCGTCACATCGTGACTGACCATGAGCACACCGCCCTGGAACTCCCTCAGCGCCGTCGACAGCGCATCCATCGCTTCGATATCAAGATGGTTAGACGGCTCGTCCAGCACGAGGATGTGGGGGTTCTGCAGCGAAATGCAGGCAAAGGCCACACGTGACTTCTGTCCTCCGGAAAGTAGCGCCATCTTCTGCAGACCCGTCATGCCCGTGATGCCGAACGCTCCGAGGTGCCGGCGATACTCTTCGTCCGTCTTACCCGGGAACTTCTGGGCCATGAAGCCGACGGCACTCATGTTCAGGTCCAGGCCATCGACGTGGTGCTGCGCGAAGAATCCAATACGAAGACGCGGGTTCTGCGAAATGAGGCCCTTTGTAGGCTGCAGCGCGCCAATCAGTAGCTTCAGTGCTGTCGTCTTGCCCGCTCCGTTCGGACCAACGATACCAATGCGAGAATCCAGCTGCACGTCGAGGTCGACATTTCCAAGAAGGGGCTTGTCCGCGCTGTAGCCGAAGTTCACCCCGCTCATCTGGATGATCGGCGGCGAAAGCTTCTCGACTTCCGGGAACTTGAAGTGCACGGTGTACTCGCTCTCCGGGGCCTGGAGCACAGGCATCTTCTCCAGCTTCTTGATTCTAGACTGGGCCTCGGACGACTTGGCGGCATTGTAACGGAACTTGTCGATGAAGGCTGCGATTGGTGGTTAGCTACCAACCAGTGAAGCGTGTTTTATGTTCCCTACCTTGGAGATGGGCGCGCTCCGCCATCTGCTTCTCATATTCGCGCTTGGCAGTCTTGCGTCTTTCCTCTTTCGTGGCGTAGAATGAGTCTGGACATAAGGTTAGTCCTTGTTTCGGATTCATTTCTCCGCAAGGGGGTCCTTACCGAAGTTGGCACCCTTGTAGTAGTCCAGACGCTCGGAATGCTGGTGAATGATGTCCGTGGCAACCTCGTTCAGGAATGCCCTGTCGTGGGAAACCACAAGCACGGTACTAGGGTAAGTCTGCAGATAGTTGGATAAGAACGTGATCGACGGGACGTCCAACATGTTGGAAGGTTCTGCGAGGTGTCAGCGGGGGTTCTCTGCCTGACTCGATTGTCTTACCGTCGAGAAGTAGCAAATCAGGTTCGCAGAACAGCGCTCGAGCAAGCGCCAGCCTCATTCTCCAACCTCCCGAGAAGGTCTTTGTGGCAAATTGCTGACGTTCCGTCGAGAAGCCCAGACCTGCAAGAATACTGGCGGCACGAGACTCGGCTTTGTCTGACTCCATTTCCGCAAGCTTTCCGTGAATGTCGCTCAGCGTCACGTCAAGACCTTCGCGTTGCTTGTCAAGCTTGGCAGCGTCGGCCGAAGTATCGGCCATGGAAGACCGCTTCTCCTCCAGCTCTGCCAGCTCCTTGGTGATTTTCTGAGGGGCTGTTAGCCGTGCACGTTTAATCTACGTTGAACAGCAGTGCTTATCTCACCTCTTGCTCTTTAAGCAAGTGCTTCCTCCACACGTCGGCGTCCAGGACAGCCTGGAGAGCGGGGGTATCATCACCCGTAATCTAAAAAGCAAAGTCAATCTCTGCAATATGGGCAATCTGATAATGTTCAAATCTACCTCTTGCTCGACGTGAAGAATGGAGATGTGCGTAGGAATGGCAACTTCTCTCCGACTGAGGGCACGGAGAAGCGTAGATTTGCCGATACCGTTCTGACCGACCAGACCATACCGGTGGCCGTAGGCCAACGTCAAGTTGGTGTCAGTGAGGATCCTGGTGCCGCTGATGGACACATCAATGCCATCGACCTTGATGTCCTTGCTCTTCTGAGCCGAGTCGGCGCCCATCTGCAGCGGGTTGACCATCATGAAAAATTCTTCATACGACTGGGTCTCGGTGGGCTGGTCGAGCAGACGAGAAGCCTCATACTCGACAAAGCGCATCTCCTTCTTCTCCTGCTTGGCGCGGATCTTGCGCTCGGCCTTCTCCAGCTTCTTGCGGTCGACTTTGGACTCGACCCGCCTGGCATTGGCGGACTCCAGGTCGACGGCACCGCTGGCCAGGCCGAGGGTGGACGAGATGTTGCGCTGCGAGCCTACGTGGATGGCCTGGTCCAGCTTCTTGGCCGAAGGGGCCATCTGGCGACGCTCGCCATCGACACCGCTGTTGAGCTTGTCGATGAACTTGTCGACGAGGTTCTGGATAGTGGCCTCGTTCTGGCTAGAGTAGTCACCTGACGCTGAGACAAGCAGGGCGGTGATAGTCGCCGCAGCCTCGGCCAGCGGCGAGGGCGCGCTGGGGTCGGCGTCAGGCTCGAAAGAGTTTGCTGCATGCTGGAGGTAGCCCGCGCTGTACTCGGACAGCACGGGGTCGATGTGAGGGATCTGGGCACGAATTTCAGCCTCCATTGCTGCGGTCGGTGCGGAAAGCAGGTTGCGTGAGCCGATATCGCGGCGAACTGAGCAAGAAATCTTGCCTGTGGCGTCCGGAGTCTGGCGTAGGACCTAGCGTGCGCGGTGCGATTCTAGCGGCACACCGCGCGCGCTCATTGGCCCGCGAACAACGGCCGCCTCAGCAACAGCATCGCCCTTGCGCTCTTCCAAAATGACCCGAGCCCTCTCTCCACAGATTGCTTTTCTTCCAGAATGCAGCCCAGCGATCGGTGATGCGCCATGGGCTGTGCGCCGTACCTCACAGTGGGCCATCGCCGCCCAGATCCGCCCACGCGCCATGCATGCGTGCAAGCAAGGAATAAGAAGCCAACCTCAATTATCTGGCGCGCTATTTCGCAGTGGGTGGCCAGGATCTGCCGGTAAGGCGCATCGTGGCGGCGGAGAAGAGCAGCGCTGTGGAGCCGGGCGCGTCTCGCTGGACACAGGATCGCTTCGGCCAGCACCGCGAGACAGCGCGAGCGAGTCGGTGGTCTTGCGGACGGCCTTTTCTGAAGCGTGAGGATCTGTGTGCTCGACCACGGCATGCTGCTGCCACACTCGACGGAGCCGCCGTACGTCTGATACAAGCGCAGGGCGGCCGGGATAGCTGTGCCGCAAACCAGCCTCATCTGCAAGGCCGCATCTGACGGAGAGGCAGGGTGCGGGCGCGTTGGCTGGCAGCCAGCCGCCGTGGAGCTGCGCTGACGTGCTGTTGGCGGGCGCCCGGATCTTCATGGGAGATTTGCTTGCTATGGTTGGTTAGGGCGGTGGGCTGCCAGCTGAGCGCTGCAAAGGTGCACCGTCCCCTCGACCGGGTAGCGCTGCCAGCCGCCGTCGGACACGCATTGGACGGCAACGGTGCTGAGACCGGCGCCCACTCGACGGCAGCGCAGTGTTCAGGGCTAGCGGGTCGCCTCAACCACGGGTTGGCTGGACGGAAAGAGACCCTGCGAGGGCAGCATGCAGCAGCAGCTGTCCCTGACTTTTTTTTTATTTTCTCGCGCACCGAAGCGCCAGCGTCACGGCGGCCAAGCGCAGCGTGGGAGTGCGGTGTAACGGGCGGGCGTTGCCATACAACTGCCTGGAGTGCACGACCCTCTGTTGACAACATTCCACCTGAGAATCCATGTCCCGGTCCTAGTACGCTTTCGCTTACGAGGTTGACCCATTCAAGCCGCCGCCCAAACTGTTGTCCGTCGATCCTACCGGCTCTAACAGTCGCAAGCACCTATAGTCCGTGAACTCCTTGGTCTCCCCGGCCAGCGCAGCTGTCCCTCCGTATGACAGCGTCTCCACCCGTCGCTCGCTTCTGAATTGCGGCGTCCAGCTGCCGCATCCCTCCCATGGTGCCCTCTTCCTCCGCTATGCCATAATGACCACGACCCACGCCGTCACGAGTCTCCTTTCTCTTGTGCCTTGCAGCTGGGAGGCGGCTGAGTAACCAGGAAGCATGAAAACAGTACCCACGGTAGCTATCCCATCCACCGTCCGTTGTTGTATCAACACCGCCTCTACTGCGACATGCCCACGAGCGCATGTCTCTTTGCGCCCTCTGTGACCCTTGACGTGCTGCCCTCGTCAATGGCTGACTCGCTTCCGTGATACAGCTGTGCGCTTCTGCCACCATTGTTGGCCTATCCTCCACCGGCCTGGCTCTCGGCCGCCCAGAATCGCAGCAACCAACACCGTCTTTTGAGTCCAACTTCGCCCCCATCGTCGAGCGCCCGCTGCCGCCGCGACCGCATACTTCAGTCGCCACGCAGCACCCCCCGCCGCTGCTCGCTGCTTCACCGCTGGACGACGCCTTCGAAACTCGCCCAAACAATGGGCCCGCGCCAATGCGACGACCACGAGGTTTGACGCTCGACAGCGACAGCCCCCGGCTGCGCGCCGCACAGGAGGCGGGGAAGAGGTTGTCGACGCTGGAGCAGGACGCAGGCGGTGGCGGTGGTGGTGTTGTTGACTGCCGGGAGATCAGCGCGCGGGCGCGTCCGTCGTGGGTGAAGCGCCTCTCGATTGTGTCCCTCTCGCAGAGCTCGACGCGCTCGACGGCGAGCCCTGTGTCGCCGTCGTACTCGAACGGGTCCATGGCCTTCTCCATGGATGGGTCCAGCGCACCTATGATCGCCGGGAGCGCGCCGGTGGCCCCGCTGCCTCCAAACAAACTCGTTAAGCGCTCGACTTCAGTCCGCACGCCGGCGGGGCCTGAGATTCGCCCGTCCAGCTCGTCGCGACCAACGCTGCGGAGGCCTGCGACGAGTCATCAGCGCTCCAGGACGCTGGGGTCGCGCCCTGCATTCATGGATGTGCCGCCAGGTCGTACTGATAGCGTCGCCGCCACTTGCCCCCACCGCCCCGACCCGGAGATCCGCTGGAAGCAGTTCTTCTCAGCCAAGGGTACCGTCGCTAAGAGGCGAGGATTGTCTGGAGATCCGAAGGTTATTACGCGGATAGTCCCAAGCGAGAAATACCACCCGACCCTGGTACTGGCCAACACGGTCACGGCTCCCACACTGGAAATGGACGACACTGCCAGCCAGGCCGGCGACAGCGATGATGCTCGGAGCCGTCCGCAAACTCCGGCTTTCGTCGAGCTCCCGCCTTTGAGCCCCACGTCTATTTCTGAAACCCCCGCAGAGGCACTTGCATCGCCCGAAACAGGCCAAGGAGCAGATCGTGCCCGGCGCCCCTTCTCTTTTAGTGGCTTCCTCGGAAATGTCCCGCTGTCAAGGAAGCCACACCGTCGGCGTCGCCTGTCAGCCGACGGCTTCGTGCGCGCGAGCAGCCGCCTCTCCACTGCAACCACTGCCTCGACCCGAGAGGGCTCGGGCGCAATGACCTACGACGAGGTTGACGCAATGCCGAGCGACTCGCTCCGCGAGGTCCATTCTTCGTACAGCAGCCACACCGGCGACATCGCCGACGTCAGTTTCGAGTCGAGCAGACCCTCATCCTCGCCCGCCTTCGAGTCACGCACCGTGTCTTTGAGCAACACCTCCAATCACATCCCATCTCGCGTCCCCTCTCAGCATGGATACAACCCACCCGCCGCCCGCCCCGTCAGTCATCGCCCTGCGTCCCCTTCCTCTGCGCCGATTCGCCATTCCCGTTACTCCATTACCCCATCCGAGCAAGCTTCGACCCTGGTCGGCTCCGATTCCGAAGCACGCATCTGGTCTGGAGAAGAGTCCGACACCGATCTCCAGAGCGACACCGTTTTCGATTCAATGCGCACCAGAGGCACCCGAGCCTCGTCAGGCGCCCGCGGCCCGACCATCGAAACCATCTTCGACGAGTCTCCCCGGCCTTTGAAACCCAAGATCTCACCATTGAAAGATCTGTTACCCAAGGGAACCTTCCCGGAACTAGACAAGCATTCGACTATTCAAGAAGAGGAAAGCAACTTCTCAACACCGGTCCGCTCGGTAGTGCCGGACCGTGGGACTGGGAACGGAGGGTCGCCGACACCCGCCCCTCGCAGCGCTTCCCGGTTTTCTCCCGACATTCCTTCCTCACCACCCAAACCGGTCAGCCTCGGCGTCCTGGAATGGGACAACAGCGCTGATGACGCCGACGATGGTCAGTGGTCTTTTGACGAAGACGACAGCGACCTGTGGGAATTGAGCAGTGAAAAGACTCCTAACACATATCATGCCACTAAGTTGTCTATCAGGCGCAGTCACCCGGTCCTCACTGGTTTCGACCCGCGGCCGGTCTCGATTTCTGTGGCGCCACGGCCATCGACTGACACTTTTGAAAGAGATGCACGAAGTAGCATTTTTGACTGGTCCGAGTCTGCTGTCGCTGATTGGAGCGTTGGCAACCGAACACCGCCTCGCCCCATGACCGTCCATGGCAAGAAAGATGCTCATGGTAGAGGCAGTCGCTCAGTCGGCAGACGGGTACCGAGTGGTCTTCACGCGCGCAGTCAGAGCGTACCCGTCGTTCCAGACGTAACCGGGAAGAGAGATCCCAGGATTACCAACAAATTCGGCACCTGGGGCGTCGGCAGCAAGGGTGTTACCGAGGACTGGAACGACGACTTTGATTTTGGCGACGGTGATGACGGCTTGGGTCCAACAGGGAACGAGAAGGTGGAGAGTCCATCGTCCATGTTCGTGCCGAAGAGCATCAGGGAGCAGCAAAGCAATGTGCTTGCCAACATCGGCTTGCTCAGGGAATGGGGTCTCCTGATTGAGGAGCTGAAGGATCTTCGGGCGCGTGCCGCAACCCTCAACATCTTGGAAGGCCCGTACAAGAACATGTGGCAACAGGTGGAGGGTATGATCGAACTAGCGGATCAGGAAGTCGATGATGAGCCAATCGTGCCGCAGCTGTCGGCCCCGTCATCTCCTGGATTCGACGCTGACGCCTTCGACGAGCCCCGCACTGCCACGCCAGCTTCAGGTCGTGCAAGGGGACGGTCCCTCCTTCAAGCCGCGAAAGACATGAGCCATTGTGCTTCTCCCGCAATCTCGGTCGGAACTAAAGGAAGACGAAAGTCGATCCTGATTCCTACAGACGACATCTTCAGCTGCCCTTCTCCCACACCCAAGACGCCTCAGGATACGCCACAGGTCATGCCTACTACTCGTCCACGGAAAAACTCGGAAGTTGTCGCACTATCGGTAATCGAGGCGCTCCAACAACGCAGGAATGCAGATCCGCTCTCCCCGAACTCAGACACGCCAGCCAAGAAGGTCCCGTTCGACACTGGGACTCTCAAACACATTGTGCCTTATGTCAATGGTCTCATGCACCAGGCCAAGTCAGCCCTGCGTGAAACCGAACACCTCTATTCCAGCCCCGTGCACACCCCTACCGGAGGCAACTCCCCCCTCCGCCGTTTCTTAGCCGCCGATCCATCTGACGAATCTCCTTCACGCCGAAGTCGACCTCGCTCACGAATGGCTCTTTCGGATAAAACTTTTGATGCGAAAGACAGCGAGCTGGTCGCCAAAACGCAACAAATGAAGTTAATGACGGTCATGTAGAGTTTACGGCCACGACACACCAACCGAAAAAGGAGGAAGCAGGAAGAAGAAAAAAAATTCTTGTGTTGAATTTATCAATACGACGCCGTATGGCCAGCGTCCACCCCGAACACGACTCCCCCACAAAGGCAGGAGCAGGGAGTAGGAGCTTCATACAGGTGACACATCATTTCCTTGGTTTGTTTAGATGCTCTTTTGGGAAAGCGAGAAGTTTCCTGGTTCATCACAGCCTTTTCCTTTCACGGTCGTCATCAGCGGGAAAGAAGCGCGTGTTTGTGTACCTGTTTCCATTGGGTGTCTCTGGTTTCCTTTTGTCTTGCGGCATTTGAGCGAATCTTTCCAATGCGTGGTCTCCAGCAGCATAAGTTTCTCTGGTTTGGTTCTTGTATGTGCAAGCCTTCGATTCTCAGCATCATCTTCCGGCTCGGGTCCCTTAAAAAAATCGACCTCTGGTAGGCACAGGCGCGGGTCTGAGTAGGGGTTCATTTCTTCCCTATTGAACGCACAGCAGCAGCAAAAACGATGCATGTGGGAGTGTTGTTTGTTTGCCTTATTCTACATTTCCTATTTTTTATTTTTTTGTACCATTGTCATATCATTGGTTTCCTCCTTTTTTCTTCGCTGCGGCAATATGGATATGGTAATGACAGGGTATGGCAACCTGGCCGGCTTGCTGCTTGCTCGACACACACGAAAAGATGCCGGCGCCAATGGACGCCGAGGAACAGCAGCGGGTTACATGCGGATTTGTCAGTTTTGCGGGAGGCACGCGCGGACGGCAAAGCGAACAACCGGGCGGCGCGGTTACTATGACGGCAAGCCTTCTCCGTCGGCCGGGACGGCCGGCACACTGACGGAAGCAACCGCTGGGTCTTAAGATTTGGGATCACGGACGGGTTTGGATATTTTGTTATTGTAGGAAAAAAAGGAAACAATCAGCGGCAATTATTTTTTGCACGCAAGTGGGTCGTCACGGTCGGTATAGCATATAAATAGGTCTGCCTCAATATACATAGAACAGAGGTATTCCCCGTTGCAAGCATTGGATCTTCTTCTCGTTCCGGCATTGGTGCTACGCGCCGAGCGGGCAACACCGGTGACGTGTGGATTGACAGATGGTATTAACTCGGGGATTGGGTACAAAAACAGGAGCGCCGGGCTGAGGCGTGCGGAATTGAGCATGCACAGCAGGATTCTCGCAGAATGCCCAAAAGGGCAGGCATGGCCGGTGCCTTGTTTCGATGGGGGCCATGGGAGCGATTCATACAACAAACAACAACAACAGCATCCACACACACACCAACTTTTTCGTCTCTCCTGCGGGCCTTGCTGACGCGCAGCCGTTGGGGTGGGGCGGAGACAATATAACTGACACCGTCTCCCTTGCGTTTTTGGGGACGGGCTGAGAGTGAGGAGGAGAGACATTGATTCAACGCTGCTGCGGACGAGATTGGGGCATGTTGACGAGCGTGCAGCCAAGAAAACAAAGACCCTGGTCGGTGAGACGTGACACCATAACAAGCCAACGTTTTTTTTATTCTAGTGATGATCTGATGTCTGTGTCTTGCGTGTGTGATCGACGCGCTTCTCGTACATCATCCAGCAAGGCCCGTGCCTTTTTTTTTTTTTCCAAACTTAGTGCAACGACGAGAGAAATAAGCGCAGGACACTACTACCGCGTCTAGAGTGGCCATCGGATGTATGTTGTATGTACGTACCGTTTTTTGCCCATGGGCTTGCTCTCGGCCGACTGCTTTCGCATCATGCACACGCCCTGCATCCACAGTGGTACGCGCTAGAATCTACGATTTTCTCGGAACCCCCCATCCATCCCTTCCCACTACCACTACTTTTCGCTTCGCTTCGAGCCGAACAGTGGAACAACGTGGGCGACGGGGCCTCGCGCTAAAAAGCCAAGAGGTAACCGTAAAGTTGGCGTTACTTGCATTTGCCGAAGTGTGGCAATCATGGCTCCGCGGGGCTGGGAAAGATCGGTAGATGCGTAGAGCTAGCTACTCGCGTCTCCAAACGGGCCTCCCACAGCATTCTCCGCATTTCATCATCGGTTCGTTGCGCTAAGATCAACGTCAGCTGCTTGCTTGCTTGCTTGCCTGCCTGCCTACTTCCCTGACGCGCATCCCAGAGAGAATCGTATTCGTCCGCCACACACACGCTAATGATCCTCGTTCTCGCACTGCTTGCCTGCCTGGCGGGTTGAGCTAGCTACGCTAGTCGCTCTCCCGCTTTTCTTTCTTTCGCTTGCTGCCGCTGCTGCAGCAATAGCGCGATTGATCAATTAATAACTGTCGCAGCAGCCGCGCGAGTAAGTATTGTAATAAGCGGGATCGAACAGCAAGCAGGCAAGGCAAGGCAAGGCAAGGCAAAAGAGAGCAGCAAGCCTCACAAACCGATCAAGATCCCACCAACCATGCCACCTCCTTCCCTTTCCGGGGTCCTCCCGGCAGCCATCCTTGTCCCCTGGTCCAGAAGCAGTCGACTGCCCCAAACCGACGCGTAGCCCGCGCCCCACCACGGCCGCCGGCAGCCCCCAACGACGGACCATCTGCTCGGCTTCGTCCCGCTTTTTCGCTTCCTCCTGTCTTCCTCAACCCATGCTCCATTTTCCTATCTCGGTTGCCCCACCTTATTCGTCTCAACTGGCGCCCGGGGGATCCTCCCATGGCCGCCGTCGTGCAGCGAAGATCGTGGTTCGTTCGGAAGTCAGCCCGACGGAGGAGGGTGGCTGGCTGACTGTGCTGGCATGTCGATGCCCGTCGTTGTGGCTGAAGGGTACGTACTCATCAACGATGATGAGAGCATAAACCCGCGGCTGCACGCATCCCCCGCTTTTGCTTGGCATGGCAAGCATACCTACCCACTACTGCATACCCTACCCCTCATTTCTCCTTCTCTCTCAGTCGGAATCTTCGGCTGCCTGCCTGCCTGATTTCCTCGCCTGTCCCCCTGGCCCCTCACCCTGGTCCCTGGTCTCGCATCATGCTTCTTCTTTTTTTTGGAGGGGGCAGGCCGATCTTTTCACATGCGGTTTATGATTGCTTTTTCTTAGCCCCCACCGCCCCACCGTTTCGAGAGAGCATGTAGGTCCGACGCTTTGGGGGGGATGCGTATATGCATGCATGCATTTCCCTGGGTTGAGCCGGGGCGTGGGGCGCGTTTCAGGGCCCGGCCGAGGTAAAAGACATGGCTTTTCTGTTTGTTTACTTTTTTTTTTCTTCTCTCATGAGTGACTTGCATGTCGTTGGCGGGTGGATGGCGGGTGGGGGATTGCCTCAAATGTCCGAATGTTTTATGGTTAACCATGGTTCGACGAATAGCCGTCGTCATGGTGTGTGTCTCGCGGCCGCAGGAGGGAGGCGGATGTCGGCCGTACCGGAGAGAGGGAGGATACGTACGAGGTCGCAGGTCTCGGGTGGGTGGGCTCCTGGGAAAAGGAATGATCCTTCGCCCAATTGGGTTTGTGGGGAACGGTACCAGACTTGCGTGGGCGGTGGAGGCTGTTGTCTGTCCGGACAATTGCTTCACTGCCACAGCAGAGTTTGGTTGCCTTTGGAATTGAGTGTTTGCGGCTCAATCACTTTAGCACTCACTGTGGGGTCAGGTTCAGGTCTGGTTCGGTTCACTTTAGTGTTCCTCAGTTATCTGAGGGGCAATTGGAGCGTCCATCTGGATGCAGGTTGCACCAAGATCGTAAAAAGGCAAGGGTAGAGTTTATATGCATCTATGTTTATGCGAAAGTAGGGCTTCTCTTAAAACGACTCCACTGCCTTGGATGCGAATTGAAGCAAAAGTAATTCCCATGCGCAATGGTTTCCACGAGCATTTCTGCCCCCGAACCCCTTCCCCGCTCTCTCAGTGCGGGGAAAGGGCATAAGCCAACAGGCTTCGCGCGTTCCACAATCGACATCACCTCGGGAAAAAAGCAGGACATTTGGTCAGCCGGCAACGCAATGGCTTACCTTCGGGAACTGATTACTATCTCCTTTCCCTTCCCCGCCAGGCAACAGATCTTCTCGGCGGCGACGACCACTTCTCAATTGTAAACTCGCTACCCTCGATACCTTGGCATCCAAGAGAGACAAGACTTCGCTTCGAGAAGTCTATCATCTGTGCACGTTCCGCATAGTCCGTTGTTAGTCACAAAGATATTACTGTATTCCGTTCAGTGCCGCGTCGGCATCGACCAAAGGAGGGCGATTTCGTCAGAATATCAAGCTCCCGTCCGGACCTCTGAAGCGTCAGAAACACGCCTGCTCGAGATACTCCTGGAAGTCAACCAAGACTAGACGATAGAGAGACAAGAGGAGCTACAATGCGCAAAGGCGACGAACGTGTGATCCACCACGTCGGTGGATACGGTCCTGATGCATATACGTAAGAGAGCAATATTCCTTTCCCTCCCAGATTCACTGCTCCACCGCGCCCATGGACCCACTCCTCCCTCCCTCAAAAGAAAACCCAACTAACCCCTAATTCCAACCAACCGAACAGATACTACCCCGTCCTCATCATCGGCGCCGGCGAATCCGGCATCGCAGCCGGGTGCCGCCTGAAGACGTCCCTGAACGGCTTCGACCAGTTCCGCATCGTGGAGCGGCAGTCCGGCCTGGGTGGCACGTGGTGGATCAACCGCTACCCGGGCGTGGCGTGCGACGTGCCGACGGTGTTTTACTCGTTCTCGTTCGCGCCCGAGACGCGGTGGGGCAAGTTCCACCCGCCGGGAGTGGACATCGTGGCGTACCTGGAGAAGGTGTGCGAGCGGTGGGGCATCGCGGATAAGGTGGAGTGCGATTGTGAGGTTAAGAGGGCGGTGTGGCGCGAGGATGGGGGGTTCTGGGATGTGGAGTTGTGGCATCTCAGGCGCGGGGTGGGGGATTTGAGTTATAAGGATAGGGAGAAGTTGTTGGCGGAGGGGGGAGAGGAGGCGGTGGTCGTGCGCAAGGAGAGGGTGCGCGCGAAGGTGCTGGTGAGTTGTGTGGGCGGCCTCGTCGAGCCGCGCGGCTGGCCGGACGAGGTGCCGGGGAAGGAGCGGTTCGAGGGTGCCGTCTTCCACTCGGCGCGGTGGCGGCACGATGTCGATGTGCGCGGCAAGGACGTCGTGGTCATGGGGACGGGGTGCAGCGCCGCGCAGCTCGTGCCGAAGCTCGTGGCGGAGGAGATGGGCGCCAGGCGTGTTACGCAGGTCATGCGCTCGCCGCCCTGGGTCGTCCCCAGGCAGGCGCCGCCGGGCGGCGAGGAGTGGTGGGAGCGCTGGAGCCCGACGCTGCTGTCGTACGTGCCGCTGCTCGACCGCGGGCTGCGCCTGCTGATGGCTGCGGGCGCCGAGTACGACTTCCGGCTGTTCAAGAATGGCGAGTGGCACGAGAAGGAAAGGAAGAAGTACGAGGCGAAGCTGCTCGCGCACATGCGGAAGACGGTCCCGGAGAAGTACCACGAGATGCTGACGCCGGATTACGGTGTTGGTTGCAAGCGCCGCATCTTCGACGCTGCCTGGTTCCCTGCGCTGAAGGATCCGCGCATCGAGCTCACGACGCAGCCTGTGGCTGCTGTGAATGAGAAGAGCGTCACGTTGGGGCCTGGTCGCACGTATCCGAAGCGCTCTGAGAATGAGGAAGAGGAAGCGGAGAGGACGATCCCGGCGGACGTCATCGTCATGGCCAATGGCTTCGACACGACCAAGTGGCTGCATCCGATGACGGTCATCGGCCGCGATGGGCAGGATTTGGTCGAGGTGATGGAGCAGCGTGGCGGGTCGCAGGCGTACCAGGGCACCGCCATGGACGGCTTCCCCAACTTCTTCATGATCTTCGGCCCCAACACGGCGACTGGCCACAGTTCGGTCATCCTGGCGACGGAGAACATGGTCAACTACGCGCTGAAGTTCATCAAGCCCGTCGTTCAGGGCGATGCTGAGACGGTCGAGGTGAAGAAGGAGGCTGAAGAGGACTACACTAGGGATCTGCAGCGGAGTCTGAAAGACACGGTGTGGACCAGCGGATGCAACAGTTGGTATTTCAATAGGAAGACGGGATGGAACTCGACGACTTATCCGTAAGTGTTTCGTTTATTTAGCGAAGTAAAGAAGCTGACGTGAGGGTGCTGCAGGTACACACAGATCTGGTTTACACTGAGATGCATGTTCCCCAAATGGTCCGATTGGAACATCACTTACACGAAGAGAGGCCTCTTGAAACTGTACCTGCAGCACGGCCTGCGCGTATTGGCTGTTTTCGTGTTCCTGATTGGTGGATGGAGGGCTCGTCAGAGGGGTCTCAAGGTGACCGATCTGCGTGCAGCATTGAAGCATGCTGTTGAAACTGCCATCGATAATGGAATTGGCCTGCTCAGCAATGGAAAGCAACTGTTGTGAGGAAAATTTTCTTCGTATTCTCACCCAAGGCTGGAGGTTGCGTCTGGAGTTCAGGAATGAGAGGACAGGTTGTTAGATCTTTTCGAGAACATAACTCTTAAATATCAGCAGAAAATGAATAAACGACGTTTAGAATTGCGGAAAACTTCATCTTGCGAGCTTGAAGAGCTCAGACTGGTGAGCTAATCTTTACACTTAATGTTTCCAATAGAGAACGAATTGGTGGCATCAACCCAAGGAATCAACCGGCTTTAACAGGGGTTTCTGATGCTTAGTTCAATCAAGCTTAACAGCATCGCGTTCTTACGTGAACGGTATCGATTGCAGCAATCTCGCAGCGTTTGTGACGCCTGGTAGCTCTGTGGGTCCAAAAAATATACTTTCCGTCGGCAGCCTATCTCTAGAAAGATACGGCTCCGCTATAGGAAGCTGAAGCAGGTATTGGATAGGTTTTAAGGTTGTGAGCTGTATCTGAGCACGGGCACTCTTGTACTACTCAGGCAAGTAGAGTGCAGGACGTGGTACGAGAGATGCTTGAGAGAGATAGAATGTTATTGATTGACATTGCGATGGCGCTGATTGGCCGCTGGGCTGGCCTCGGATGAAGATTGTTAGAGTGAGGGGAGGCTGGATCGAGGACGGAGCGCCTCCGCTTTCCCCACGCCGCGATCGACGGCTTGACGCAGCAGCCACGCCCTCCGGTCGGCGACCTTGCTCGCTCCCAGTCGCCTGCACCTCCACCAGCGTGCCAGCATGAGCACCAACGGCGCCCCGAGCGCGAGCCCCAATCACGAGGGGAACACGTCCGACGCTGCTCCGGGCAGCAAGCGGAAGAATCCCGACGGCTCTGACGCGCCACCCACCCAGCAGCGCGCCAAGCGGAATCGCTACATCTCCATCGCCTGCAACGAGTGCAAGCGGTACCGCGCCCGCGCCCCCCACCTCGATCGAGACGCTGACCCGGCCCTAGGCGCAAGATCAAGTGCAATGGCCAGACGCCGTGCCAGCGCTGCGGCAACCTCCAGCTGGAGTGTCTGTACGCGCCCAATTGCTGCAACAACTTCAAGGACTCTGAGTGCGCCGCCCCGCTTCGATTCGGCTTCGTTCCGCGCTGATCCGCCGTCCGCAGGGAGTTCAAGCGTATGGATGCGCACATCCAGGCGCTGCAGGACCAGGTCGACACGCTCTTCAACAACCTGAACAGCCTGCGCAACCACGTCGACGCCAGCGTGCTGGGCTCCGACCCCTCGCCCTTCCCCGATAACCAATATGCCCGCTCCATGTCCATTTCGCAGGCCTCAGCTCAGGGCCCGCAGTCCAACGGCCGCACCAAGCAGCCGCACCAGCAGCAACAGCCCAAGCACCCCCGTTTCCACGGCCCCACGAGCAATGCTTTCAATCTCGGGGTTGCCAAGGCCAACCTGCAGTCCATAGGCATTACCGCCACCGACGAGGGTGCTGAGGAGGGCGTCTTCACTCAGGATGCGACGCCGCTCGATAGTCCCCGTCTGGCTCCGCTTGCGCCGCCTCCCAGTCAACATACCAACAAGCCGGTGCTACATACCACGAAAGATCCCATGTGGGCCATAAACAAGGACGAGGCTATCAGGCTATGCCACGTCTGGCACGAGGAAATGGGGCTGATGTATCCGGTCTTGGACATCGAGGCTACCATCCGCCATGCGACTCTGCTATACACCTTCATGGAGGCGGCGCATAGGACACGGCTGGTTGAAGTATCATTTCCCGGTGCCGACTCTATAAGCGACGATCAAACAATCATTCTGAAACTAGTCCTGGCCACTGCGCTGATTCTAGAAGGGAGCGGAAAGAGCGAGCTGGGAACCGCCATGTTCCAGAGCATCCGGCCCAATGTCGAGGCCGTGCTGCTGGCCTCAGTGAATGTCCGGGGGATCAAGATGCTGACTTTGACCGTAAGTCGACCCTGCCGTTCTGCATTGTTCGCATCTAATTTGCATAGGCCATGTATCATTTTCACCGAGATGAAGAGGACACGGCTTGGCGGATCATCGGCCTGGCCGCACGCCTGTGCATGGAACTCGGCCTTCATCGCCGTGAAACGTACAGCACCATATTCACCGAAGAAGAGGAGCGCGCTGCAGCAATTCGGCTGTTCTGGTCTGTGTACGTGCTTGATCGAAGATGGTCGTTCGGCACCGGCATGCCATTCGCCTTCGAGGACACCGACATCGACCCCAATGTGCCAAAGCCGGTTAGTAATGTCGCTGCGAGTCATGGAAGACGATTATCTGACTCGATTCAGGACGACGCTACACCCTATCTCAACTGCATGGTCACGTACAGCAACATTGGCTCCCGCGTGTGGAAATCGGTAGCGAATAGCGATAATGCACCAATCAGCAAGGAGGAGATTGGATACCTTGACTACCAGATCATACAATGGCATCGGTCCATTCCGCCAGCCCTCAAGTACCTGCATCCATCATCTAGCAATCCCCAGGACCAGCAGCCGGTGACGCGCAGCATACATCGCTTCCGCATTCTGCTGTACCTTCGGGCCAACCAGATGCGCATTCTCATCTACCGGCCTGTCCTGCACACGACATCGTCCATCATGGAGGACATGACGGCGGCGCAGACAGTGGTGGACGTGGCGAAGGATACAATCAACGTACTGACGCATACCAACCAGACGACAGACATCTACCGCAGCCATCAAGTCATGTTCAACTACTTTCTCATCTCAGCCCTGGCGGTCCTGCTGCTTGCCGTGTCGCACGCGCCGGCCCAGTTCAGCGAGTGCTGCAGGGACGAGTTCTACATGGCGCTCGACCTGGTGCGCGGGCTGTCGGCGAACTCGTACGTCAGCAAGCGGCTCTGGCGTACCATCAAGGTGCTCAAGGAAGTGGGGCCAAAGCTTGGCCTGAACCTGCGCGGGGGGAACCATGCAGCGGTCGATGCCTCGGACGCGCATTCGTCGGCGGCCGTGGCCATGGCCGGCCTGGCCGGGCACCCGGTGGACGAAAATTTCCTTTTCGGGAACGGCAGCAGTAACCGGTCGACGAATGGCGGCGGCCAAGGGCAGGGCAGCGTTGCTGGAACTGGTGGTGGTGGACGGGCTAGCGAGAGCCCGAACGGAATGGCCAATGACCTGACGAGCCTGTTCGAGGCAGCAGGCGGGTTCGCGGCGAGCACGGGCTTCGCGCCGCAGAACGGATACCTCATGTCTGCCAGCGGCGGGGAGGGAGGGCCGCAGGCCGGGGCGGAGATTGTGAACGCAGTGTTTGGGCACGACGACGAGCTTGCGAGGATATTGAGGGACTTGTTTTGATAGCGCGATGTTATTCATGTAGAGACCATGACGTTTTAGGAAATGGTTAGAAGGTGCACATTCCTCGCTGATTTATCTGGCTGAGAAGGGGATAGCAGAGCTGCAGCGCGTCACAGGCGGCATGCGCCCACACAGCGTCGAACGTCTGGCAACTCGATTACTGCTTTGGGGCAAACCGGGACTGTGTTGCCCGATGCGGCAGTCAGCCCAAGGACGGACGGGCGGGATTAAGTTGATCCAGACTCCTGATCGGCGCCCAGGCGCCTGGCGCGGGCGGTGTGATGAGCTTCATTTCGTCGGCATGTGAAAGTGACGAAGGTTGAGCTCTCACCACACTTCGATTTCACCTCGGGCTGCTTTGGAGCTATCACACCCCACAACGTGTACAATCAGCCGATGTCTCAGCCCTCCGCCCGATCCAGCAGCACGGCCTGAGGCATGCGCAAAGCGTCCCACCCCCCTCCAGCAATCATGCGCTAATCACAAATAAGCCCAAAGTCCTGCGTTGGCCATGTCGCAGTCGCACCAGAAGCACCACCACCACCAGCACCCGCCGCAGCAGCAGCAGGCCTCGGCTCAGCAGCAGCCACACCCGCACCCGCCCACGACCTTCTTCCGCCTCCTCAAGGCCATTTTCCGCGTCTTTCTTGAGGTTGCTTTCTTCTGGCAGCTGGTGCGTCACACATTGTTGTTGTCTCTCTCTCTCTGAACCACCCACCTACCCACCCACACACCCCAACGACGGGGGGCCCGATTTTTTGACCACAACGCACCGCCGGCCTCGCCTCCGCGCATGGCTAATGTCGTGAAGCGTCTGTACGCCTGGTGGCGCACCAAGTCGCCCCGCGATGCCTTGCTCGAGACCCTCGCCGACGCACGCATCTTCGAGGAATGGGAGGCGTCGGCATATCAGCTTGACGAAGTGCTTGGATACGACCTATGGTACTGTTTTCGACTTTTCCCTTCCCCTCCTCCCCTGCATTGCCTCTCCCCGGGAGCAATTCAATGCATTCATTCCCAATGGCACACCTAACTGACATGCGACCCCCTGCAGGCGCCAAAACCCAACCAGCAAATACTACGACTACCGCCTGATCTACGAGCGGCTGCAAGCCATCATCGAGGCGCGCGAGGAAGACGACATCCTGGGCCTGGTCAACCTGCTGCGGTCGGGCCTGGTGCGCAACCTGGGCAACATCACGGCGCCGCGCCTGTTCAACCGCGCCTACGCCGGCACCAAGCTGCTGATCGAGGACTACATCACCCAGGTCGCCCTCGCCATCGAGTACGTCACGACGTACCCGACGACGCCGGGAAACCACGGCAGCGGTCACCACGGCGGGCAGGAGCAGGGGAGTTTGACGAACCAGGCTAAGCTCGATGTCCTGCACGATACGCGGCAGGCGTTTGGGCGGAGCGCGCTGGTGCTGCAGGGGGGCGCGATCTTTGGGTTGTGTCATTTGGGCGTCGTGAAGGCGTTGCATTTGAGGGGGTTGTTGCCGCGGATTATTGCGGGGACGGCGACGGGCGCGCTCATCGCGGCGTTGGTGTGCGTGCATACGGAGGATGAGGTGCTGGAGTTCCTGACGGGCGAGGGCATCGACGTGACGGCGTTTGCGCGGAAGAGGATTAACGATGGGGCAGGAGGAGGTGATCGTGAGAAACAGGATGCGTTGTTGGATGCGTATTACCTGCAGGAGGGCAGCTGGTGGGGCGCCACGCTGCTGAGGCGGATGGTGCGGTTGGTGAAAGAGGGGTATTTGTTGGACGCGCGCGCGTTGGAGGAGTGCGTGAGGACGAATGTGGGGGACTTGACGTTCGACGAGGCGTACGCGAAGACGAAGAGGGTGCTCAACATCACCGTCTCGACGACCAGCGGCGGCGTGCCGAATCTGCTGAATTACCTCACAGCTCCGAACGTGGTAAGTCCTGTTGCTCTACATCTTGCCATGTCTTCAACCTAAACCCCGTGCTAACTGGCCTCCCAATTCCACAGCTCATCTGGTCCGCTGCCATCGCCTCCAACGCCTCCTCCTCGACCGCCGCGCACCCCGTCGTCCTCCTCTGCAAAGACGAAAACGGCCGCGTCGTCCCCTGGGCCTCGGCGCAAGAAGCCACCTTCCGCCCCTGGACGCACGCGCAATACTCACAGTCGCCCAACGACCGCGAATCACCCTTGCACCGCATCGCCGAGCTCTTCAACGTCAACCACTTCATCGTCTCGCAGGCGCGCCCCTACCTCGCGCCGTTCCTGCGCTCCGACCTGCACCACCCCAACCCGCGGCAGGACGGGAAGTGGCGCTTCAGCATGCCGATTTTGCGGTTGGTCGTGCTCGAGGTGCAGCATCGGCTGAATCAGTTGGATAGTCTGGGGTTGCTGCCGGCGGGCATTAGGAGGTTTTTGTTGGACGAGAATGTGCCGGGCGCGAGTTTGACGCTCGTGCCGGAGTTGACGCCGCGGGATTTTTGGAGGCTGCTCGAGTATCCGACGAGGGAGAGTTTGGAGTATTGGATCTTGAGGGGGGAGCGGAGCGTTTGGCCGGCCGTCGGCGCGTTGAAAGTAAGATGTGCGATTGAGGTCGAGCTCGATCGCGGGTATCAGCTCGTGCGCAGGCGCAAGCCGATGGATGTGCAGGTTGTGCATCAGCAGCATGGAACGGGTGGTGGGGTTGGTGGTGGGGGTCATGGAGGCGGGCATAGGTACGGTGGTGGTGAGCATGGTGGTGGTGGGGGGCAGGGAGGCGGTGGTGGTGGTATGGCGAATGGCGGGAGGAAGGGGTCTGCTGCGGGTTTGCAGATGATGACGACCGGGGTTGTGGATTCGGGGAGGCGGGTTCGTGCGAGTAGTTTTGGGGGAGATGGGTAAGGGATGGATGGTCGGAGTAGGGATTGGTTTGGTTGGTTCGGCAGCAAGTTGCAGCGGAAGAGGTAGAGATTGGGGGGTTTGCCATTCCTCCGTCTTATTCTTATCTTTTCCTTTTCCATTGGCGATTTTTTTCTTCCGATGAGATGAGGATGTTGAGACTGTTGCTCTTTGCTCGGTATCGGGCTTTCTCATTCTTCTTCTTCCTTGGCATCTGCCCTGCATGAAGCATACAGCAGGGCCGGCGCAAGCACGTGGGCGTCAAAAGTTGGGCTCAGCGTACACGGATTTAATATATAAAGAGGACTCTCTTTTTCTTTCTGATGCTTCTGACTTCGCTTCGTTGAGTGGGTGTGCTTCATTCTCATGCAAATACTGTTTCCGACATTACACTTGTTTTGCCGGAGCCGCTTGGCCTAATATACTCGGCTTTCGTCGCGGTTGTGGGCTGGACATGTGGAGGAAATGTCCCGGTAGGTGTCTTGTCCTTGTTCATGTGTAGGTGGTGATGGTGAGCTTCAGCATTGAAGGCGTGATGATGGTGTGCAGCGTTGGTGGTGTGTGGTGATGGGCAGCATCGCCGCAGACTGCGGGTGATGCTGCTGAAGGAGCTTGGGGCGTGCGTGTTGTGTGTTGGTGGGTGAGAGGGAGAGGAGGGGACGAACGGCAACGAGTACTCGTTAAACGTGTATCACGAAACAACAAGAGCAGTGGGGCTTCAGCTCTCGTTCACGAACTTACTGCTCGTGTATTGTTCCGGCTGTCGGTGGAAGCAGTACGGCGGCGAGGTATGCGGGCTTTTATAAAGCGTCCTCGATGCCAGCACTGGGGGGAGGGACAACCGGTGATCGTGGGAGTCTGGTGATTGTGGTTGTCCGGTGATCGTGAGATCCTGGGTCGTGGCATGTGCTTGTGGGTGGATGGTGGGTATTTAAGAGTGCTTCTTCTGAGGGATTTCGGGTTGTTGGAGTGTGTCTCAGCCCATTAGCGGCTTCGGACTGTCAACGAAAACCTATTTACTCACTCGTCGTTCGTGGTTTGGGTGTTTCCACGCCTTTGCCGATTTCTCGCTTTCTGTCTGTATCAGAGCTGTGGTGAGGAAGACTTGTTGCTGAAGCGCAGCAACTTGGTGGAATGATGAGGTGCATCTGCGTTGGGTGATTGATACACAGCTCTGTACATCGCCTGTTTACATGATAAGTCAGCGAAGCACAAAGTCTGTTCCGGCAAGGAGGGAGACCGAAAGTGGTATGAATATCTGGATTTCACTACAACTCACAGCACTGCGCTGCTCACTGAATTCAATCAAACGAAGATCTAACTTCAAAGCCTGGCGTTTTATATGCCTCTGCAGCAGCTTTCGACGTTGTCACGAGGTCATCCACAGGACTACAGTCATGACCGCACAGCAAGTGGCAAAAGAATCCCACCTTCCCAGACCAGCTTCACCGGAGATGTTGCATCCCGCTTGCGTGACATATTGAATCACATGGTTCGATACATGTGTGAAACATCTGGAAACTGGCCTCAAAATTCGTGTATCTGCTTGATCAACTGCGTACGAAGGGAGAGTGCAGGGTCCATCGCAAAGCACGGACAGACAAAGACTCGTGCAACTCACTGTGGTCGCGTGCCAGACCGTCACTGACCGAAGCACCTTCCTCCAGTTTCTGGACATCTATTTAAGGATGGCCGAAGATGTGAATGGATAATCCGTCGTACTTGGGACTCCATCCCCGGTAATATGCTGCCCTCTACGCTTTTTAACTCGTCTGTCCCTCTCGGGGCCTCGGGTAGTACATGTGCTCAAAGACCTCGCTGAAGCCTGAACTCAGTGCCGAGTAGATCACGTAATTGATGGAAACCTGCAGAAATGAATGATGAAGAGATTCGACAACCATGATGTAAAGATGTAGAGCACCTCGTTTGTAGAGATATGAACATCTGATGTAGTACTCGGATGTCAGCGTGGCGTCCCCATGTTCGTGCCATTTCGTTCTCCAACCTCCGAGACAGTGCTTCGTTGCATTTGCCATGTGGTTGTCTTGGCCTTGCAGAAGTCGTTGAAGATGGATGAGTGGAGGATCAAGGCTCCGATTTAAGTGACTGGCCAAACCTCCCAGAATTCGCACCGGCAGGTGCTCCGCCATCGTGTGATCTAGACACGAGGTGGGCACGGAGCCCTTGCCTGCAGAGAAGCTACTTTGTTCAGGCTCTGCCCAAGGCTTCTTCTTTAAAAAGGCCCCGGGGCCATCAAGATTCACCTTCATGGATGATAGAACCTCCTTGTGGTTTGTCCAGCTGTCACCGTGTTCAACGACGACGACTGTTTGTGGGGGAGAGGCCTTGTCCCGTAGTACCCTCAAAGCCTTCGTGTATCCAAGAAAGGACGGAGGATGAGCAGAGCCAAGATAAATGGATGATGCTGTGCATATACATTTCAATGCTGCTGTTTCGAATCATCCATATTGCTTTTGAGGTTGGCGGAACACAGAATGAGAGTGGCCAAGACCGAAAGCCGAAGTGCGCAGTAGAAATCCCCTATTCAAGTGAATAATGGGGTTCAAGTCCTGTAGCGAATCCTCTGCAATGAAAAGACTACAGACTTTAAGTATTCGAGAGCAGCTACCACAGCATCCCCGCACTGGGATGCGTTGAATTCCATGATTTAGTCACGAGCTGATGCACACAAACATGAATTGCACGTGGTACATTGACTTCACTTTCCTCTCACGGAATGAGTCTTGGCTGCAAAAACTATATTTACAACGTTTTTCTTCCCGACCAAGGTCATCTACCCTGTACACTTACGTATTATTATCATGGTCCGTGGAAGTAAGACAACAACACTCGGCTTTGTCCAGTTGGCTCTGGGAATCCTAATATCTGGCCAAGTGAATGGTTCATGCAGTGACGCCTGATGTCGAGAATGAATGATGATACGCAGCATCAAATGATTCGAAATGCGCATCAGCACTTATCCAGTACACGATCTGTTGACATTTAATTCTTAAGAGTAGCATGTGGACCATCAACAAAGGCAAGCAGAACACGAAAAGTGTACAATGTGCGAGAGGTGACTTCAACCTTGGATCCAGTGCGGGACGTGGGTGCGGAGGTCGGTGGGTTGGTCACTATGGATTCAATTAATATACGAGAAGCTACTTAGCACAAACGTCACATGGATACCATACATATGCGTCAAAGCTTACATCACAGCTTCTGCCACAGGCACAGGGGCCATCCACCTGACTGAAAGCGTGTGCCTGCCGCGACCGGCGTCGCTGTTCGAGATAAATATCGTGTATGTGAACTGAGTTCATAGCACTACAAGCTTCAGGACTTTTGTTTATGATACCTCTGGTGTGGTTCACTTGGCTTCTTGGTCTCCGGCTGCGGGCCACCAATGCTCAAGGGTCGAGAAGTGTTGGTATCACAATGAACGGAAATTGCTTCCCAACAAAAAATGCAAAAGCTGAGCTTCAGCACAATCGCTTGATGATGGAGCGCAACTTTGACTTGAGCAACGTTGTGGGAATGAAAAGAGACGTTCATTTGCGACATGGAAAAGCTCAGGATGACCCGGGGAACCGAAGAGCAGTCGTTCTCTTTGAGAATCGCAAAGGCGTCCATAATGCTCGGCGTGCTGTGCTTAGTGGCTAATGCGATTGGAAAGAATGGGTTTTATGGGCTCATGAGGTTCCAAAAATGGTTTTCGCACGTGGTGCATGGAGCACCAGGACCAAAAAAGAAAGAAAGACAGGAATCTCCACGTGGTCACCGATTCATGATATGTCAGCAGCCTCGATGCCTTTCACCTAATGAAATGAGCTATTCCAATAAGTTGTAAAAGACATCGACCATATCGTAGCACGATCTTTTCTGGCTCACGAACGCCAATACCGCAGAGAATTCCGAAATTCGAGCCTCAGATTTAACTCACAGAAGACGGATATTGTGGAGGTTACGAGTGATCTGGACAGTAGTGTGAGCGAGACATCCTCATCGAGTAAAGAGAAGCGGTCAAGTATATGGCCCTTCTGGGGTACTTGGCCGGGTTGATCAAAGATGAGATTGGTAAAAAACAAAACGGCCAATGTGGAGAAAGGGGGAGACTGCTGTCCATGGGTCACTCTATTTCTTTGGTGGCGTTGTGTTTGTGACTTTAAGAAAGGATATGGCATATTACAGGGGGGGTCTCGCAGCCGACGGCTAGCGTGAAGAACAGTAAGGCCCCAGGCACACCTATGCCTCAGGGTTTTCTTCGAAAAATAATATACATAGGCAGTTGAGGCTATTGTCTGGATAAGAATGTGGAAATGAACATTCTATATATACGTCCGGGCGGTAGCTTCAACTGACTATGACATGAGCAAAAATAAATCCATGCTAGCCATCGGCTGCGAGAGGGGACTGTAGACAAGACTTGATTTGCAAAGCTCCTTGTGAAGGGGATGGAGGACCACTGATAACTCGGAATTCGAATTCGAAGGTGTACTACGTGTTTATCTTTGAAATCTGGCTAAAAGGGGCTCCAACCGCGACCACCAGCATGAGCATCCCGACAAACCCGCATACAGCAAGTCCGAAAGAGTAATAAAATATTATGTTTCTCTCGACGCCGAAGCGGAAGTAAATCAGAACAAATTGAACTCCAAGCATGGCAATCGCTATGACGGTGGCGCCGAAGAAGACGAACCAGAACAGAAATTTGAAAAAGCGAGAATCGTAAAATACTACTCGATCCAGTTGTGGATAAACAACAGGATTCCCAACAGCCAAGGAAGCCTCTGGGCTTGAAACAACCAGTGGAAGTTTTGAAGTGGATGCTTGCTGTTGGGCATGATTGTTGTTGTGCGGAGATGGTGACGAGGACACTGATGGATCACTAAGTCCTACAGAGACTCCTGAGCCGGCCATCCCGGTTTCAAGATTAGATGATGCTCCGCGAGCGACGTTGTTCGCGAACTCGGTGGCGCTGCCGCTCTGTCGTATTGGAGGAAACGGTAGAATTTGATAGATACTGTACTCTTCTCGGACATCTTTATGATCTTGTCATAGGTTAATATTGTGAAATGGCTTCCTACCGAGGTTGAATGAGGGTTACGAACCGAAGAACTCTTGGGAAATACTCATGACCGGGAGGATCAGCATGAGAACTGGGACAAGCTGACCAAATGTCCATTCTCGTTCTTCATCAAAGCGGTAACTATGGCGGATTGCGAGAAGATTGACAGTTCCCCATGCGAGGACAACGCATAGTATCCAGATTGATGCGACAAACGATGTGAGGAGATCATAGATGACCAAGCTTACCGCATAGAGCCCCATGAGTTGAGAGTAGGACCAGAGCGTCAGCTTGTAGATGAAAGGCCGCTTACGTTTCATAGCTCGCCGGTGACTATTCATTCTGCGGATGATGTTTTTGAGAAACGTGCCGGGTTTTTCTTGAAACCAGGTTGCTGCGAAATGGGAGCTGTCCTTGAACAGCGCCCCAACCTTCCAGATGTAGCTGATAATAAGCAAAATGATCGATATTATCCGCAACGAGTCCATATCCTGCAAGTGTTCCGCCTTCCATAAGTCTGTAACCGGGGTGAACTCCTCGGGTTTGCAGGGGTCGTCATCAAGCGAGTTCGTGAAGTCTTTGGACGTTGTCGGTATCAAAGCACAGAGGAGTAGAGCGAAGAGTATAGTCATTCCTATGACGCGGATGGCGCGTACAGGTCGGTTGGTTTGCATGTGCCCACGAAGTACCGCAAGGGTTGTCAGATGGACATTGGACGACATCCAGCCAAGGTATACGACGATGTACCAGTGGAAAGCAGAAATGGAGTTGATCTGTACAAATCCAGCAAGCAAAATGGCGATCCCGGTAACGATTTGCTGGTCACTAATTGATAGGATGCCCTTCTGAAAAGGTTGATTCCATTGTGAGTTGCGGGCCTTGAAGCGGAACATCTTGTGGTCGACAATGTTCGTACGTTCTTTGGGAATAAATCCCATGATAAATGCGATAATAGTCACACCCAAAGTAAGATATGCTGAAGCTAGAAAAGCTGAGAGAACCTGCAAAGCTTTGTGAGGCCAATTCTGAGAATGGGACATAGAAACCTACGCCAACGCCTGAGATATCGGGGTTTGCAGCGTCACAGTCCGTAGGTGTCGCCATTTCCTCGAATCAATATGAAGAGATCTTTTGTTGTTCGTCGAGCACACCTGAGTGCAGCGAGAGGACGAGAATAAGTAAGGCATATACGGCTCCGTAGCTGAAATGCTGCCCTCGGCCGAGCTACAGTGGCTTATTACTTTTTCTCAGCTCGTGTGGTGCAGCATCAGCCATGTGCTCCATATTTAGCATATCTTCATTGCACAGCTATTGAGGCTGCGACGCCAAAACCAAACATTAGTACCACGCTTGGGAAAGGAAAGGAAATGCTTACATGTGGCTGCTTCGTGATCCGCTTGCTGGAGGGTGTGATCGCCATTTTCACGAAAGCACGACAACGCCTACGGATAAGACATTTCTTCTTGTAGTTCAGGCTCACCGATACAAGGGTTACAATTGAAAAACCTCACAAAAGCCATTACTTAGATTGAATACGAGGTAGGGTTGCTTTTATTGAAACAAGGAGACGTTAGTTGAAGCATCCGTCGAGACAGCGGATATGTGAACATGGGCACCTGGAAAATAGCTAATTCAATCACCGCGACCTTTTTGCAATACCAGCCGAATCGGCCTCGGATATCTGACTGCCGTGCCATTGCCTTCCTTAAGGGCCAACTTATCGCTGTCATATTGTGGTGTACTTACGTCTGGCTCCCACCTTCTACAACAACGAGTGCGGTTGACTCACCGTAGAGTTTTTCTATAGCAGTTCTATTTCTTTTTAGAGACCTGAAGACCTGAATTCAAGACTTTTCAATGTAGACCACCCTTAAACCTGTACCTTATTGCGCGGTGCTTGAGGATCTCAGGGGAGACGGTGGTTCGACTGACAGAAGCAAGTCTCAAAAATAAACAAATGTTGTGATGAACCTGAGTCGACTATATAATGGGGGAAATAGAAGATCAAGTTTAGTGGAAGTTTAAAGGGATGCAACGCCTTGATGTCTGAAATTTTGAGAGCTTCTGAGGTACTTGGATGGGTTCTATTACGGCTAACGCCGTACGACTCGTAATACGCTTACTCGTTTACATCTAGCACGTAAATTCTGTTACTTAAATACTTCTCTCTTTAGAACTCTTTCTTCTCTAGCAGCTTCTTTTCGTACGTAGAACCATAGTTGAATTCTTATTCGCTACGCTTCATAACAGGTTCAATGGTCAATGCGGAAAAGGGGAGAATCCGTTGTCAATCCCTACATGCATACGATACTGGTTGAGCCTCAAAAGCTTTCAAACTTTTGAGCCTCAACAGCACTCAAGAGATTTCACTTCCGCGGAATCATCCATGTGTGGCCGCTTATAGGCAAGAGCGGCACCGCTCCAGCATAGCGAAGTAAGTCAGAGTGATACTCGTTTCATCAAACAGAGCATTAGAAGTGGGGGGATGATTGTTCCGACAGGCGATTATCCAGCCAAGCTGTATTACTAACAGAAGATCCAGCGAAAATACCTCATCAACGCGCCGAAGCCGGATCTAGCAAAGAACGCCGAGCCTGCGGCGGACATCCGGTTCCACCCAGACCTCGATGCGTTCTTGGCAAGGCGTGCGAGGAGGCTCCTGGCCGGAAGGCTGGAGATGGTCATTAAGCAAGAAATCTTGCTGGCACTGAATTACTTCAAAAGTGCGTAACAGGGGGCTTCAAAGCCCGGCAGAGAGTGCTAAATTCCTTTTTTTTCTTTTGGTAGAGCAAGAACTCGACGACGGTCAAGTATCGGTAAAAAGTTTCCCGCTCTCGACACTCGCGCACCGGCTTGTGGTAGCTTCGGAGGAGATACGCGGCGGTCTCGGGGCTTTCATCCTCTGTGGGCTGGATGTGGGCCAGTTCTCTCCAGCAGGTCTTGCAACTGCCTTCCTATAGTGATCCGATGGTGCTTCAGACTGCCATTACCCACAGCCATTGTCGGACTCTGAGGTCTTGTCAAGTTTTCGGCAGTTCAGTAGACCCGAGCTGCGCCGGCTTGTGAGCTGTGAGCTTGAACTGGCCATGCAGAATTCCACTGGTGGCCTCACAATGGCGCGGATTCTCCGCATCGTTTGTGAATCACACGAAAAATTGTTTACCCTGTTTGGGCGAAATGGACACCCATTCACTGTCGAAGAAGTCCAAAATGTCCCACCTGACCAGCCACCCGATGCCATGATGCTGGATTCAATGGTGGCGAACTCAGAAGGTAGTGTCAGGATTGACACCCTCTCCGCTGAGACCATAGTTCCCACCATACCGGTATTCCAGGCCGCTAATGATTCCATACATTCAACGGTATGTCGCAGCCTACTGAAAATCATCAATGGACTAATGTACAAGGTGACTTTGACTTCACCCCTCATGAACTAAGAGATGACGGGCCGCTTCGATCGACAAACTGTTCGTACGGTTATGGGCAAGATTGGAGCTGTTAGTGGGAAGGATTTTTGTAGTTTGAGCATCCTGTGTATTGCAATAAATCTATTTCCACTTATTATCTACGGTTGAGAAGTGTTAGTGAAAGATGCTTGCGTGTATTGAGACACCAACATTTGCATCTCTCTTCCGCGGCGTCCTCTCAGGTCACGCCGCTGGAGCTCACTACGGAGATGTTTGGCCCCACTCCTAATTCTTGCAAAGAGAGCTTGATCGAAAACTTTTTCAAGGTAAAGCAGCCGTAAACTGCACCTGGCTGCAATGGTCAAGGGTCTCAGCGGAGACAATCCTCCAAGCGACCGAAGCAAAATTGAAAACCGAACAACCAGTTGATGAACCTGGGACGATGATAGAAAATAGGAAGATTGAGTTATAAAGAAAATTTAAAAGTGACATGAGGCTTCGAGGAAGGAAAACTTAAGAAAGAGGTTGAGCTCCTTTCGGCGCTGCGAGAGCCGCCGGGTGGGCTTCGTGCGCGCCATTCACTGACATTTCAAGCGCATTACAGACGCCGCTGAACCTCCAATGCATATCAAGCACTTTTCTCCGGGCTTCTGAAAGCATCTCGCATGGTTCAAAGTTGCGTGAATCGCAACACTGCTGCTCAATCCGGCAGTGACGATGCTGCTGCTCCTTCCTCGGCCGTGCTTCCCTCGTTGGACCCTTCTTTCCCAAAATACTTTAATGATGTATTGGAAGATGTCTTAAGCCGTGTTTCCAGTGCTTCATTTCCTTCAGACCGAACATACCACTGTATTCTCTAACCACAGTCATACGTGCTCATTATCATCACTCAAACCCCTCACTCACCGACTCAATTACTTACCACCACTATGTCCAGCGAACACACCGCCGACCCGGCCCCCCACGACCGCGAAAGCCCCTCCTTACAGTTTGACAGAGCCGCCGCCGATCCTCCTCTCCAACCCGCTCAGCCTCCAGACCCCAGCGCCGCCGCCGCTCCTCCTTTCCAACCCGCTCCGCCTCCAGACCCCGGCGCCGCCGCCGCCGCCCCCTGTCTCCCCCCCATCCGTACCTTCCGGCAGTCCTTCCATTCGCACTCGGGCCACCGCGGTCTCACCATCTGGCAATCACGGTGGATACATGCACAACCGCCACTCTCATTCCAAGTCTACCTCACCTTCGCCATAGACGAATGGACGACCTGGGAGATCGAGGCCTTCGCCGAGACGCTGTGGTACCAATGCACGCCGCCGCCACCACCACCCACGACGGCGGAAGAGTGGCAGCAGCAGCAGCAGCAACCGCTCATACCGCTACCGCAGCTACTAGCGCACGAACCCCACTCGCTGCCCATCCGTATCGACATCACCATACTCGGCCCCGTCGCCGAGCACACGCGGAACATCACGTGCATGCAGCACTACCGCATGACACGGCACCTGGACAACGTGCGCATAGAGGACGGCACCGATTGGCTCTGGCCGGCCAGCCCGTCGTTCCGCGGGCCCAACGGCGTGCAGTATGAGGGCTTCCTCATCCAGATTCTCGATCCCGCATACCTGGTGACCGGCGGCTTGAGTTTGGTGTTTTTCGACGCCATGGCAGGTACAAAGAACCCGGCTGACGATAAGTACGACGCGCTCGTTTGGGTCCCGGCCGTGCCGACTGAGGGCGACGGAAATCTGTGGACGCGGGAGTTGTGTCGTGTGTGGGAGACGATGAGTATGGTGAAGGAGTGGAGTGAGGCTTTTTATAAGGCGCTGGCGGTGGGGAAAGAGGAAGAAGAGAATAGAGAAGTTGCCTCGTCGGTCTATTAAGGATTGAAAAGTGAAGTGGCATCATCGGGGATTACTATAAGAAAGGCAGAGCATCGTTCGTTGGAGCTGTGCTCTCGTTGGCAATGGAGTTTCTTTCCATGAATTAATAGAAAAAAACCTCGGGAACACTTCAATGCGCTAATGGTTGGTGACGTATTTGTGCTTCGTCAGGAGTATTTGGGCGGCCTGTTGTTGGACAGGTACAGCGCTTTTGTTTTGTTAAAGTATCGATTTCAATGCTGTAAATCATGAATGTTGATGGTGCCTGACGGCTGGGGTGGCGCATTATGTGACATTTATTTCCATATGTGAAGGCGTGGCGATCACATACCCCGTCCAGACCAGTATCAGAGATAGATGCATGAGATTTGTCACACAAGTAATCCGAATGAAAAGGTAACAAAAGAAAGGGACAACGGCTATGTGAGAGGGAATGTAGGTTTTTTTATTGGCAGATTAGGTCTTGCTGTAGCGGTTGCGGATCACTCGTTTCATTGTAGGAGTCAAGCTTCATAGCATACTATACTTCCACTTAATTAAAAAAATATAAATGAATGGGCGTTACAACGAAAAAGAAAACAAACGAAAGTGAAAGGATCGAGCGGTCTTATATACAGTACAAGCTATGCTATCTTAAAAGGGGTTTTTAAGTCTCAACTGGTGTGCGGTCAAGCCGAGGTAAACCACGCTCCTGAACTCCGTTGTCAGCGCGAGTCATCCTGCAGTCCTGCAAAGCTCCACTCGAAATTGTCGCATCATACGGAAGGTTTGCAACATCCGCCACATAGAATAGTGTTGTATAGAACGTGTCTGCCCGTTGTCTCTCTCCGTCTGACAGCGCCTTGACAGCGCTTGGTCGGGTAGGCTCATTGTTCTTCTTCTCATCCAGTGTGCTCACGCCGGTGTCACATCGAGGAGTGTCGTTTCGGTCTTGTCTTGCCATCCTCCATTCAAGATTTATCTTGCCCTTCAGTCTCAGCTCCTTTCCTTGTATGTGGACTACCTCCTCCCCGGAGTCCAGAGGTTCGATGCTGTCTTTTGCCTCTAGTTCTGCAACGACACTCAAGAGGATCAGGTTCTTCCCCTCATCGTTGTTGACAGCGGAGAGAAAGAACCAGTCATCCCTCCTTCGTGTTGGGTTGTTGAACTCTATCTTAAGTGATGAATTCGGGAGTATGCAAATATGAGAAATCCTTATGTCACTCGCTATTTACGAAAATATGAAGTTTTAGAGGTTTATGGTTCAGGGAGACTGTTGAGCTACAGGAACAGAGCGAACTGATACTTCTTTACCCTCTACATGTCCTCCAGGTTTGAAGCAGGCAGAAAAGTTTGAACAGGGCGTAGATATCATTCACACGACTCGTAAGCTGTTGTTTGGCCGTCGGGATAAGAACAGAAATGGGAGAGATGGCGACGAGAAGGCGCAGGATAGAAGGGCTGAGAGAGCCTTGTCCAGACATTCTACCTACGATCGCCGATCATCGTCTTGGTACTGCCTAAGCCACTATACGACAGGATACTTACCGTTGGCACTGCTTCTAAGGAAGCGCATTCCAACAGGAAAGCCTATCCGCAAATCCTCTCAACTGCATTTCAATCACAAAGTTCTCACATACAAAGCCTCATATAAGCGGCACAGCAGCCTACACAAGGATACACATTCGTATCCGGGCAAGTTTCGGGAACACAGACGCACACTGATATCGACACTTGCAGCTGCACCTCCCCGTCAGCTTGCATGAGGGGTCGAGTATTGTCTCGTAATTGGTTAGCCTCTGTGACTCACATATACGCGCGCAAACACACAGTATGCAAGCAGCTGCAGTGGAAGATCGTGTTGAGCAGGTTTCTCATTGGCGTATATTGATGAAAAACCTGTATAATCTGACGTGGACCAGCCTCAATGGCTTACTGGCCTTGCTTTTGACAACCAATGTACTGAGGGCCGGACGGAAAGTCCATCGTCGAGTATGTGAGCGGAAAGGGAATGTAAGAAAGGAGGTGGATAAATCTGCGCATCGCACGAGAAGAGCCATCAAAAATACATGGCGACACCCAAGCTTCGTTGGTGCTCGTTATGTCCTTTTGTGCTGCTGAGCGTAATTTCTTTGTCTGAGCTGAGAGACAAATTCGTATTTCCTACGGGTCTGCATCCTACATATTCCCTTTCCGTTTCTTCCTGCATGATGAGGGGGCGCAGACCCGGCCTCAGCCAGCCACGTCCCTTACCTGCAGACACCTTCCCATCTCTCCATGCCAATCTGAAGCAAATCATAGCGTCTCTTGGCACTCAAAGTCACAGAACCCCAACCATTAGGCAGAGCACCATCTACATGATAGCCGGCTCCTTAAACAGCCATTGGCATAATCGGTGACGTAGCATCCGTTTACACATCCTCTTCTAATGGCCAATCATTTGTTTTTCCTTACCTGAGCGCTGAGAGAAAGGAGGATGAGGCTGAGGCTGAGCTGGGATTGATATTACGGCTCACACTAGGAATTTAATCTGTCATTTTACTCCTTCGCCCTACCTGTCGCAGTAATTGCCTACCAGAAACCAGCCCTGATGTCGGAAGAAGACCTCGAGATGGGCATCGTCAACCAAATGACGACCGAGCCCAGCGATGCGCCACCCCGCCCGTCGGGAGAGAGGACGAGGACAATCTACAACGCGGGAATGCTGACCATGCCGGCGGGCCATCCCAGGCTCGCCGAGCTGATGAGCCGACGTCCGCAGATGAGCATATATCGACGCTTCGGGTACCTCAACACGCAGAATCTACTATACATGCAGGCAGAGTTGGTTGGTCTCGAAAATAAGCTGAAGGTCCTCCAGAAGCAGGACGCCGGAGAGATCAATGAGCAGGTGCCTCAAGATAATAATCGACGTCGAGCCGGGGATTGGAAGGAGTTGAGCAAAGCCATATTCCCTGCCACTCAAGAGGCTGGAGGTCATAATAATGAGGAGTCACTTTCCCGGGGCGCTTCATGTTGTGGGCACAGGAGGTGCGAGGAGTGGTGCTGTGGGGAAAGGAAACCTCATGAGCACTGCGATCAGTGGAACCTCGCCGTGAAGATAAGCGAGAAGCTTCATCGCTACAGTAAGTTTGCAGCTGTCCCCTTTGCCTCTTGTTGCCACATGTAAAAAATGCGGAGGTAAAGCATGCGCCAGCATCGTACCGTTCATTAATATTCTTATCTCGATCAGACGACGCCCTCATTCAGCAAATGACCATCAACTCTGCTGGGGTACCTAATTCCTACGATCTCAAATGGATTCAAAGCTTTGTTGCCTCGGATACTTTCGGGATGAAAGGCGCCTTACTGGGCGAGGACAAGCTTCTCTGGGGTGTGAAAGAAAGTTGGGACGAAGCAGAACACATGGATGAGCTGATCGCCCTAGCTTCACCTCCGAAGCAGAACCCTTTATCCGAACTGCTCTTCAAAAAGATGATGAAATTGATTCTGGACCCAGCGTCGGTGTGGAATAAGGTCTTGAGGATTCGAAGCTTGCACGACAGGGCTTTGTTTGGATTAACGGCCGCGGCCACGAGCGCAGTGGTTGCCACTACACCAATTTTGTCTGTTGTGGTTCTTTATTTCACTCCAAACATCAGTGTACGGCTAACTATGTTGGCCATCTTCAATTTGTTGGCTGCTTTTACCCTCTACATTTTCTCCGACGCCCAACCTTTACAAGTCTTTATAGCATGTGCAGCTTACAGTACGGTCAACATCGTCTTCATTAGTTCCAATGAAACGGTTAGCATATGATCGGATATGGAAGAATGAGTTATCTGGAGCGGCAAGTGCTTGCCGAGCGTCATTTTTTCTTTATGAACATAGCGGGTCAGCCCAAGTTTGCTAGTAGTCGTTTCGTATCAAATCGCCTTTAGACGACAGCATTATTCAAGCAACCAATCTAATTTAATCTTTAAGGAGTAAATAAAGCGGCCAATCTTATGTGTAATGAGCTCTATCAAAGTATGAACTTGTCTCTGCACATGATAAGCAACAAGTGATGTCAAAACTGGGAATCTGTGGAGCAAACGGACCGGGACAATCGCGGGAGTCAAGTTTAGAGGATCCGTGCTTCTCGTTACTATCCTCGAGCAGGCGAATTTACCTCTGTCAGCTGGGGAAAGGAACCATACCGTTGCGCGTAGGGAGGAGAGCCATCTCTCCTCTAGGGCCGACATTATAGGGAATGAAGGCCCTACCTTCCAAGACGTTTTGCTCATCGTTCACTATCACCCAATACCAGTGGTACGTCCTCCCAGGGGTAAAGCAAGGGCATTCAAGGAATGTGCAAGTTGCTGAAACCAGTCCACAAAGTTTGAGCTCTTTGTCGTCGACGTGGATTGTTTTGTGCAGCGTGTTTGGAGCGAGGGCCAGCTGAGAACTGTTGCGTAGGTGCTTTTCCAGGCTTCTGGGAAGCAAGGCGGCACCTACTACTTCTTTCCTATTGACAAGTAATTGAGTATGATGGGTACAAGTTATGAGGGGGAGGGGGGAGCGGCGGGGCATACATAGTGCTGAGGTTCGTGATTTTGAGGATGCTGTTACTTGAAGAATGGGAGAGTTCCACCCTCGCAGGAATATGAACTCCAGGCTCGAACATCATTTCATATACACTAGGCGCTGGCGGAGACTGCAAAAAGTTAACATTCTTTCTGAGATATAAGCAGTAGGTTAACTGGATTGTGTACCTTCGTTCGGCCTATTTTTTTGAGTGTGTCTTTTGTGACTTTCCTGAGGTTCGATGCCCAGTTGCGAATGACTTTGATTTCGTAAAGCGTGCCAACGCTAATAGGATCTTGCGCAGTCGTCAGTGTTGGGATGACCAAAGGCGAAATTGTAGATGTCCCCTCCGATTGGCGATGAAGATACCGGGGCAGTGAGGGGTTGAGTGAGAGAGCATGACTATCAAGAGACTGAACCATTTCTCTTGATTGGCCATGGTTTTGTGGGGATGTCTCATCGCTCTTCACTTCGAT